ACTTTGCAAACAGTTAGTTGATGCTTGAAAGGGACTGACGAAAACATGGGCGAAATATTTTAATAACGCCGTAAAATAGTTGAATTAAGTAAAAATTAGTTAAATTTTGTGTCATGATACTTCAATAAATACATTTAATGTATTTGCGAAACAAAAACATGAGTTTTGAGTAAAGGAACATATACTCACCCATGGGCCAAACCTTTTTCTCGCCCATGGGCGAAATATTTCAATATCGCTATAAAATCGTTGAATTAAGTTAAAATGAACTAAATTTTGTGTCATGATACTTGAATGAATACATTAAATGTATTTGCGAAACAAAAACATGAGTTTTAAGTAAAGGAACATATTCTCGCCCATGGGCCTGCCCATGGGCCTACCCATGGGCCAAACCTTTTTCTCGCCCATGGGCGAAATATTTCAATATCGCTATAAAATAGCTGAATTAAGTTAAAATGAGGTAAATTTTGTGTCATGATACTTCAATAAATACATCTAATGTATTTGCGAAACAAAATCATGAGTTTTAAGTAAAGGAACATATTCTCGCCCATGGGCCAAACCTTTTTCTCGCCCATGGGCAAAATATTTCAATATCGGTATAAAATCGTTGAATTAAGTTAAAATGAACTAAATTTTGTGTCATGATACTTGAATGAATACATTAAATGTATTTGCGAAACAAAAACATGAGTTTTAAGTAAAGGAACATATTCTCGCCCATGGGCCTGCCCATGGGCCTACCCATGGGCCAGACTTCGCCCATGGGCAGGCCCATGGGCCACACTTCGCCCATGGGCCGGGCCATGGGCGACATAGTCTAAATATTGAGTTTTTAAACAATTTTTTTTTCATTTTTTCATCCTTGGTATGTTCCCATGAAAACGGCATGTTTAATTTTGTAAATACCTTTAACCGAGACTGGGCAAAGACCGTAGAGTTTCTGGACTTTTGGGTTTCCAGAATTAAAATGGGACGTGTTAATTAAATTTTCTGTAACAATATAAGTTCAACACAAATCATGTCGGACAGACACTTTTTTATGTACAAGTGTTTCTTACCAAAAACCAATATAAATAAAAGTGTGTATCTTTAAAAGATAATTTTATTCCATGAGTTAGAAAGGTAATGTACAATATATAAACATTTTTTACATAATATTTTTTATTTTTAGCAACATTAAACAATGTTGATGTGCAAACTTAGGGTTACGGACACACCCTTCAGCTAAATTTAACCGCAATTAAGCAGTTTTAATTAAATATAAAATACATAATAAGAATTACTGGAACTTAACTTTCAGACACCATGGTATGTTCTACGAAAAACACTTGTGTTTAAACATATCTAAAATAAATATTTTAATTGTTATTCAACTTGGACTAAAAATCTCACTTTTTTTTAGAATGACCCATATATTACCACAAAAATCGTTGTTATCGTTATTAAAAATAGAGGTGCCGTTTTCGCCCGACACATAGTAGCCGTTTTCGCCAAATGCGGTGCCGTTTTCGCCAGAGAAATCGGTGACGTTTTGCTGAGGTGCCGTTTTAGCCTGCACCCGAAACATTCATGCTCAGGGACAAAATTATCAAATGGAGAGAATTACCACAACTCAAGGTATATATTATATCAGCGATGTCAAACCAACCAAATACGGTCATCAATTGTTTCTTTCCAATTACCAAGAAGATTATATAGTCTGGTCTCCTAGTAATATGAACAAAGAACTTAGTAAAAATGTTGAGTATCACTTCGTTTAAAATAATGGTATACGTATGAATAAAAATAATAGAGAATATTTTCATGACAATTTAGTTTAGTGTTATGACTATCGTTGAATCGCATCATCATTTTTGCATAAAAAATTCAATCTGTAGTAGCAGTATAGGTATATAAATCTGGCTCCAGTTGAAGTGGTCCAGAACCCCCATTACCTATCCTACTGAGGTTGTTGGAACGGAGACGTCGGATCACAGTGTCCCGGCTAATGTGTCGATTATGTGTTCCTATGGTCTGTCGAGCACATTCACTTGCAGTTAGGAACGGATGTCGCTGGTGTTGGGTAATTTGCCGATCTTGTGGAGGTGTGGTGACCCTAGGACGACCGCTCCGAGGAAGGTCATCTGTGGTCTGTGTAGCATTGTATCGATGCAGGAGACGGTCAATTTTGGTTATGTTAACGTTGAAATGACGCTCAACATCTTGGACAGACTCTCCAGCTTCCAAACGTCCGATAACCTGGTTTCTCTGAATTTGAGTTAGGCCCCCCGTTACCCCCTGGATGCCACAGGGACATATATGTCCCTCCTCTACAACCCTCACTTTGAAGTCGAATAAAATTCAAATACATCACCCACACAACTACACTTTACAGTTTTGAATAAGGTGGGAAATTCCCTGTTCTGTGATATCATCCACTGGCATTTTAGGCCAAGCAAAAGTACTGAACATGACCTCTGAAAATTAGGTTCATCGTAAATGTCGCCATTTTTTACACATTACTAAATCCCCACTCACGGCGTTATTTACAGTATGTTTTGAAATCTAAATTTCGGATATTTACTCGAAGAAATGAATTTCAAAAATAGCATATTAGTAATCACGGGTATCTGTCTTTTATGAAATCACCAATGATCATTACAAAACGTCTCCGATAACCCTAGAATGTTTTGGAAAAAACGAAAACACGAACGCCGAAGTGAACTTTCCGCCATATTGGATAGTGTTTACAAAATCACGTTTCAGGTACACCGCTAATGAGACGCCTGTAACATCACGTATATTTCAAACTTATCTGCGATACCTACATCCTTGAATTCCTCATACATTTTAGAATCAAATGACCAGTGGTCTTTGTCACCAATACAAAGTGGCTAGATGAAATCAAGCAAAATACGTTAGGTGTGAAAACGCTGTGCTCGAAAAACTGCACATGGTTGAAATGTAAACAAAGCAAAATTCATATTTTACACAGTGTAGCATATTCTCCTATTTTGAGCTATCCATTCGTCTATTCGTTCAAGATATTGGCTCAACATTTTCAGAATATGCATGGGAAGAGAATCGTAGGAAGAATTAGGGAATTTCAAATAGATACATTGCAAAGATTTGATATTTTCAACAGAAGTTGTCAAAGTTACCGTTCTGGTTGACGCCATGACTGACGCAAAATCACGCACAACGACAACGGTATTTATCGGAATTTCTGACTATTTCCGTTTGTCTCAATGAAAATTATGACAACAAATAACAGTACATAGATTGTCAGACTGTTTCTTATTACTTACATGTCACATTTATGTTTATACGATCCCTGAATCAACGAAAGTCCCCTCGTACAATCCCGCGTACTGTTGAAAGTGTACACGCCATTTTGCAAAAGTTGGTCACAGGTAGTGATGTAGTACATATTTAGTAATTTCTTTGAGGTGAAGGTCCTTGAATGAGAGTGCACACGATCACTGTATCATGCTGTTTACAGTTTCAGTTATGGTGTATATTTTGCATGTCTTTTATACATTTTTTCACACAATTAATTTCACTTTGGATATTTGTCAATGTTCAAAATGAAATCATACGTTCATAAGGCCACAACATGTATGAACGAACCTTTGATAATCTCCTGTTTGTTTGAACATTAATTGTTTACTTAACAATGTGATAGGTTTATAGTGTCGACTACGATATTTCTTTCCTTTGGAGAAGTGTTACAAGATGAAGTGTAAATGTAACTGCAGCATGTACGTATTTCTTGGGATGTGTAATAAGTCAATATTATAATTTCATATAACCAATTCAATATCAATGAATAGACGTTTCATTTTATTTTATATCTAAAACTGAATATATTACTTTAACAAAATGGATAATATATGTCGGTAAAATATATGCACACATTTCTGAAATGTCTTGGTCTTGGATTTGTCTTTTATGTCGTTGGATACAGAGAACAGTGATATCTAATGATTCGCCAGGTGCGCGCGTTAGTCACAAACAATTTACGAATTATTCCTCTCGTAATCATGCAATGGTTACATTATTTTTTCAATATTGTGATCACAGGATAGTAAACAGTTTACTTTATTTCTCCAGGAATTGTAAAATGTATAAAAATAAAACCCAAGTCAGGTACCCCGTAGGTTCAAACGTATACGATTATCCTGATAATTCTATACCAATAGAGCTTTCTTTGCATCTTTTATTGTGTAAGAAAAAATAACATAATCATGAACAAATATATGTCCAATATTGAATATAATTTTGGTTGTTTTGAAATATTCTTTTGGGAATTTCAATACGTAAATTGATCCCAAACAGGTGCGTGTCTTGTCCAATTAAGATATACGATGAACTATCTAATTGTTTACATATTCAAGACATTATTTACTTGGTGAGAGCAGTTATTTTATGTTGTGTCGAAAAAGCGTCAAATTCCGTTCCACACATCGAGATTTTCCATACCATGAACGAAAATTAGTGGAGATATATATTAATCAAAATACCAGTGTCGTCTTTTTCCGATGTTATCAAAGACATAAAACCAGCCATGACGTCAAAAGGAATCGTGTTATTTTTAGGGTATTTCATTACATTTGATGATGAGGCTTGTGCTCCATTAATAATGATGCAACATTAGTCAAATTAGACTTACACAATCAGGAGAATATTGGAATCTAAGGACTAAGTTATAGGTTAGATAGGGCCATCCATTTCTCTATTACCTCCTTTTTATGAAGTACGATTTCATCATATCTTATGGGTATAATTTATAACTAAACGTGTACAGTTTCAATATCGATATTTGTGTTGAAATAGTTTGGTTCCTCCTGAACAAAACACCACGAAAATATATTGTCCTTACCCACAGCTAATTCTCACCAAGTGACCTGAGTTACAACAAACTAGAGCTAAGCATAGCGGAGTTATGCCCCCTTTTCTTTGTACGTGTGTAACCTCTCTGTCACCTTTTGACGTCATAGAGAAAAATCAGTTTTCGTCATTTACGGCATGCTATTTTTGGAATTGAATGTATGTCGTTATACATACGCATATAACTCCATTTGATATGTAGTTATGTCGTTCAGATATTAGGCAGTATTTTGTTCGCTCACAGTTTCCGTTAAGCTTCTTAATAAAAATTTTTGTCACACAGTACTTTTATCGGTGTACGATAAAAAGCGGAGAAATTTACTGTTTTTCAACGCAGAATAAATTCTCGGACAACACTTAGAAGTGTTTTTTTTAAAAACTGGTTTGATATGTACTGTTAAATTTACTCTATCAAATAAGAAATTTAATATTCTCCACCTCTGCGTAATTTCATAGCCAGAGGTAGATCCAGTGCCGCGTCAGCGCAATTCTCGCACAACCTTCACTTTTCCGATCTTAGGAAAATGTGCGTCAGAAAAAAAACTCGGCATCCAGAGGGTTAACTTTGATTTGATGAATATCAAATTAGATATTTAGTGATCGTAACACTCACACACACACACACACACACACACACGCACACGCACATTGTATACACTTTATAGCTACTTGTGATCAGTGCACATATTTTTATACCTTTAGATTGTGCAGTTTCATAGTGGTTAGTAAGAATATTTTGTGAATTTATACTTGTTTTATCACAAAACATGTGAATGAGTGAATGTCGTCTCATACTGCAGTCAGCAATATTGCAGCTATATGAAGGCAGCCTGTAAACCAGTAATTGATACGCACACCATCCTAGTAAATAAAACATTCGCTCGCCATGCCCATTTCTGGTGTCCCCGTCGTGATTTTGCTGGGATATTGCCAAAAGATGCGTAAATCCATGCTCTCTCAATTCAACATGCCATGCCTTGACAGACAAAACGAAATACAAAATATAACATTTATACTTACAATTTTGCAATGCAGTGTGCTTCATCAATGAAAATTGCCATCAAAATCTTCTCTTTAGTCAGGCTGTGTTCCAAGAACTGTCTCTGGACTTGCAAATATTATTATGTCAGTGTTACCAGATTGAATATCCTGAATTGATATTTGGTCCATTACATGTACAAGATCATCATCATCATTAGGCGTAGGGTCATGTTGACCCTTCAAATAAACAGATTTCATGAATAGAACACTTTTCTGTTTCTTTTGTTATTAGTGCCACCAAGGGTGAAAAAACCATCACAGTAGCATGGTTGGAGTTATTAAGTTTCTTAAACACGAATGGTGCTAATTCAAAAGTAAGTGATTTTCCTGATCCTGTTGGAGAAAAAAAAGGACATCCTTTCCTCTGAGGTAACTTACAATCACTTGTCTTTGATGATTCCTGAAGTGATCAATTATGTAACTGCATTACCTTCCATACCAACAGTTATACATGTAGTTAAGTTAAATAGAGGGCGTACATACTTAAAACACAACATCAATCCTTTGTTCCGTTCAGCAGTGTGTCAGATTCATGATGACCACATGTGTGGAGATCAGCCATCCAAGGTCACCCTGGTAATCTCCCCCCCCCCCCCCCCCCACACACACACACACAACATTTACGCTTCTTACAGTAAACTAGATGGTGGGAGCACTACCAGTGCTAGACTGTCATCTGAACAAGATCAAATAGGAAGGGAATTTTAAATACTAGCCGCTATTTCGACCGGTCCTCTCCCCAAAATGACATGACAGTGGAATAGAGCTAGCTTGAGGTGACTAGACTTGCTTTTTGTATGCATTACTAGATGATTTTTTTAAATGAAATAAATATATTCCACGGTCATTGGTGCAGGACTAATTGTGTATATCACCTGAATTTTGGTCAATACCTGAAATACTCAGTCGCCAATACAGCCCCTATTTCATATTAGGTTATGAAAATACATGTCGGTTGGAGCCTGAAGCCTGAAGTAGAATTTAGGTTATTACTCGGATGATATACATGTAAGGCAGAAAATTGATGAACTTCTTTATTATGAAGAACACAATGTTTGGGACTAATATCATCAGTTGAAGGAGTAACGTTCTGTTCCACACAATGCGTTTCACTTCTGAATGTTTTTCTAAGAGTTGATACATACACTTGCCTTGTATATATGGTTGATGTACGTCGAGTGTCTCAGAAACGCGGGATCTGCAGGTTTTAGAGCTGAATACAGTTGTGATTCAACGAATTCTTTTTTTTCTGACTCTTCCTCTTATTTCGTTTTTCAGCTTAGCATTGTGTATACACAACGTAATTAACGGATTCTGACATCAGCCACATATCTCGGACCACCCCACGAGTCTCTCTTAACGTTAGAACCGTTCAATTCACGTTCCGCTTGGTGTTGCCACACCTGTCCGCCATCTGCTGTTGAGATACTGTAACGGTTCTCGTCTGAAAAGAGGATTTCTCCACTGCTGGTGCTGTGCTACCCACTGAAGACGGTCCAGGAAACAAAGAAGAAGACTGAAAGGGTATGATTTCTATTTACTAACTTCTTTTGTTAGCAAATAAGCGGCCTTCAAAAGCGACTATGCTTGTCGTAAGAGGAGACTAACGGGTGGTCAGACTAGCTGACTTGGTTGATACATGCCATCGTATCCCAATTGTGTGGATTGAGTGTGGCGATAAACAATAAAAAACAAACAAACAGTTGTCTCAGATTATTTATATTTAAAAACATGTATATATTTGTTAAAAGTATGTTTCTATTATACTGCTCACACAAAGTAGGGGATATTGAAAAGTTACGACGAAAAGCTTCAGAATTATGTTTAATTTTCATTGGGAAACAATAATAATGTGGAAATAAGGATGTTAAGAAACAGTTTTGAAAGTAATGACTTTGATCAAGCTGCAATTTCATTTTGTCGACACTGGAAAGTTCATGAGGGGTAGAAACCCAAAAGTTGTGCTTCTATGCTTTCTTCTGGCTTGGATCATCCCAATTGCTCTCAATCTTTCGTCTTCTCGTAACCTTCGCATTGTGGAAAGTGGTGAAGTGATGGATGAACTTGGTCCAAGACCCATGTTAACACCCATTTTTGCACGTGAGGCACGTGGATTTTGTCATTTGCACGTGTGACACAAGATGTGATTTCTCATCCCCACCCCCTGGTACGTTTGAGTGCAATTTTCCTGGATGCAAGGGCATCTGGTGGGTCATTGTGAGGCTTGCTCAGACGGACCTATGCTTTTCCTCAATCATACACAAATGTTTTGTAGGCCTCTACATTACTGTCTTTGTGCCACTGATTTTAATTTCAATATACCCTACTTTTTGTGAGCAGTTTATATCCTACACATAGTAACAAATTACTATCAAAAAACCTTAATGAAAGATTGTTTCTGAAACTTATACAGTGGAAATTTATTTCAGATACCACTGGGAGTGCTTCAAAAAACGAACAATTCAACGACCAGATGACTGACAACATAGCGGAGTTTCTTCACCAGTTCGTTCCTGGCCACAGTGAGGACCTCAGTGACCGTTCTCCATCACAGAAGGTGCTCAGCGGAGGGGACTACCTCACCCTTGAGAGGCAGAAACAAGCCAATCATGCACTTACGAGATGGACCTACACCAAGTTCCAGATTACAAGGGCTTGTCCCAAAGATGGAAGAGATCCATAACGAAGCTGAATTTCTAAAGGTATATGTAATAACTGCATTTTCTGTAATTGCGATTTAACAAAAGAAGGACAGTTATTGTGTGGTTTGTAAATTGGTTTATTGTTTTGTTGCAAAAGTAACGGATTAGACTCTGTGTAATACCTGACTACCTGAAGATATTTCTTTTTCAGGTTATATGGAAACACTTGTACAGCCTCCTCTAACAAGTCTGTTGGCACTCTGCATGCTGCAAAGGAGCACAATAAATGCGGTGAATGTTACTCAGGATCCTCATGACAACTTTTACCCATGCTCTGAATTCATGGACAAGGTCACCACCGCCTACATCGTAACTGGGGGACTACATTACTTCCAAATGGAACACCTCACTTCTGTCCCAACGTCAAGTTACATGGGTGCTGTTGGCAATCCATATAAAATGATTGATTATTTTCTAGGTCATGCAGCAAAACAGTTTGTAGACAAGCACGTCTTACCGGAGGTTCCTCAACAGCCAGGTCATGGTCTCCAAATCAAACACACTAGCCTGCAGGTACTGTGGAAAACTGTACCAGAGACCAAAAGCTCTCCGCAAACACGAAGTACGTTTGCATGGATATTCTGATCCGGAATATAATGCTGAAAACAATCAGGATTCCACATCTTCAGCAGAATCAAGATCATCTATTTATCACTACACCCGTCTGTCTCTCATGCTTGGGCTTCTTCGAATAAATCACAACGATTCCATTCACATGGGAGATGGTGGCAGCATGATGAGACTAGTAAAGTGGTTCTGTTTATACTACAAGGCAAGCAAATGTCCAAAGTATGCATATGGTCTCCTTTGAAACACAGGCAAAGGCATATGCTCTCCTATATGAACGGCAGGCTTTATAGATTGATATGGAACCGCACAGTCAACCATCAAGGCAGAGAAGACACCAATCATCCCATCGACCTTGACTTGGAGCATTGCAACAGGGCTTTCAAAGATGATGTACACACATACAAGGGGAGGTACACAGATAAAAGACGATTCTCAAAGTCAGCAGAAGTGCGCTGTCAATGGAAGAATTATGCCAAAAATACGACAAATTGGCATTCCGCAAGAAAAGTTCGGGAAGGCATGGAGTTGTTGATCCTTCTTGGTGATATTCTTAAACTTGTAGAACAATTCCATTCCTATGCAGCTCTATTCAATGAGGCCAACAAGCCACTGCCACAGAGAATTCAAGAACATGCTGAGTGACATCCAAAATTGGATTTCAGAAAGTCTTAAAGTCTTCAGTAGCCGCACATACTATAACATCTGAACCTTTTTTCCCGATGTGTAATTCAGTGTCACATGATTAAAACGAGACCCTGTTGCAAAGTCGCTATCACTGTATGTTTCATGATCTTCATGTTCTGAGTCTGAGTGAGATGATGAGCTATCACTCGAGTCAAGGGAAGTTTTGTACAACTCAAGAATATCACATCTACGTTCACTACATGGGGTATTGCATGTCCATGAGTCTCTGCAGTCACCGAGACACTTGCAAGATATGGCACAGTTGTCCATAGCACTCATGACTTCAGTAAGCTCAACTCGTCGACATACGTTGGTTCTGACATACTGTTTCATTTCATCCGAAATATTCCGCCTGCCACTGAGACATTGTCTAAATTTCATGAGAAGAGCATGTGCCTGCTTTTCTGGATCCCTGCCTGCTCCGTCCTTGTCTCTTGAATATAATCCTCAACATTATTGGCTGGACCATAGTGGATGACGGTTTCCACACTTTGTAAGTCCCAAGCTGAATGGTGTTGAGCAATGGACTATCAAGGGACTATCATCCTCTTGAAACCATTTGGATCCATGAAGGACTGGGACACATATTTCTTCACTTCCCTGTTTTCCTTCTCATTCATACATATTCTGTATGTTGTTATGCATGATTGATGTTGAACTTTAATTGAAACTTTAGCTTGAAAATTGGCCGATTTCTTTTATGAAATTTAACTCCTTATAAGAATAAGATCAACATATGCAAAAACAATTGTTGTTAGATGATTATTTTTTTGTAACTGATCAACAAGATCAACTTTAGTGTTTTAGTGTTTTAACTTAGCTAATGTAATGTAATACAGTGGATGTATGCATTCCTTTTTCATAAGGGCATGAACATATATTACATAATGCCTCTACCTGGGACTGCGGCCAAACTTACAAAATTAACCCTTGTTTGAGAGTAACAAGTATCAAGTTCATGATGATTGTAGAAGTGATTGTATGTATTCATAAATGTGACACATGCACATTTTGAAATGTTAATATTTGTGCTTTAACTTTGATTTGATGAATATCAAATTAGATATTGTATACACTTTATAGCTACTTGTGATCAGTGCACATTTTTATACCTTTAGATTGTGCAGTTTCATAGTGGTTAGTAAGAATATTTTGTGAATTTATACTTGTTTTATCACAAAACATGTGAATGAGTGAATGTCGTCTCATACTGCAGTCAGCAATATTGCAGCCATATGAAGGCAGCCTGTAAACCAGCAATTGATACGCACACCATCCTAGTACATAAAACATTCGCTCTCCATGCCCATTTATGGTGTCCCCGTCGTGATTTTGCTGGGATATTGCCAAAAGATGCGTAAATCCCTGCTCTCTCAAGTCAACATGCCATGCCTTGACAGACAAAACGAAATACAAAATATAACATTTATACTTACAATTTTGCAATGCAGTGTGCTTCATCAATGAAAATTGCCATCAAAATCTTCTCTTTAGTCAGGCTGTGTTCCAAGAACTGTCTCTGGACTTGCAAATATTATTATGTCAGTGTCAGGGTGAAAAAACCATCACAGTAGCATGGTTGGAGTTATTAAGTTTCTTAAACACGAATGGTGCTAATTCAAAAGTAAGTGATTTTCCTGATCCTGTTGGAGAAAAAAAAGGACATCCTTTCCTCTGAGGTAACTTACAATCACTTGTCTTTGATGATTCCTGAGGTGATCAATTATGTAACTGCATTACCTTCCATACCAACAGTTATACATGTAGTTAAGTTAAATAGAGGGCGTATATACTTAAAACACAACATCAATCCTTTGTTCCGTTCAGCAGTGTGTCAGATTCGTGATGGCTAGCTTGAGGTGGCTAGACTTGCTTTTTGTATGCATTACTAGATTATTTTTTTAAATGAAATAAATATATTCCACGGTCATTGGTGCAGGACTAATTGTGTATATCACCTGAATTTTGGTCAATACCTGAAATACTCAATCGCCAATACAGCCCCTATTTCATATAAGGTTATGAAAATACATGTCGGTTGGAGCCTGAAGCCTGAAGTAGAATTTAGGTTATTACACGGATGATATACATGTAAGGCCGAAAATTGATGAACTTCTTTATTATGAAGAACACAATGTTTGGGACTAATATCATTAGTTGAAGGAGTAAGTATTACACCCAAACGTTCTGTTCCACACAATGCGTTTCACTTCTGAATGTTTTTCTAAGAGTTGATACATACACTTGCCTTGTATATATGGTTGATGCACGTCGAGTGTCTCAGAAACGCAGGATCTGCAGGTATTAGAGCTGAATACAGTTGTGATTTGACGAATTCTTTTTCTTCTGACTCTTCCTCTTATTTCGTTTTTCAGCTTAGCATTGTGTATACACAACGTAATTAACGGATTCTGACATCAGCCACATATCTCGGACCACCCCACGAGTCTCTCTTAACCGTTCAATTCACGTTCCGCTTGGTGTTGCCACACCTGTCCGCCATCTGCTGTTGAGATACTGTAACGGTTCTCGTCTGAAAAGAGGACTTCTCCCACTGCTGGTGCTGTGCTACCCACTGAAGACGGTCCAGGAAACAAAGAAGAAGACTGAAAGGGTATGATTTCTAATTACTTACTTCTTTTGTTAATTAATAAGCGGCCTTCAAAAGCGACTATGCTTGTCGTAAGAGGAGACTAACGGGTGGTCAGACTAGCTTGACTTGGTTGATACATGCCATCGTATCCCAATTGTGTGGATTGAGTGTGGCGATAAATAACAAAAAACAAACAAACAGTTGTCTCAGATTATTTATATTTAAAAACATGTATATATTTGTTAAAAGTATGTTTCTATTATACTGCTCACACAAAGTAGGGGATATTGAAAAGTTACGACGAAAAGCTTCAGAATTATGTTTAATTTTCATTGGGAAACAATAATAATGTGGAAATAAGGATGTTAAGAAACAGTTTTGAAAGTAATGACTTTGATCAAGCTGCAGTTTCATTTTGTCGACACTGGAAAGTTCATGAGGGGTAGAAACCCAAAAGTTGTGCTTCTATGCTTTCTTCCGGCTTGGATCATCCCAATTGCTCTCAATCTTTCGTCTTCTCGTAACCTTCGCATTGTGGAAAGTGGTGAAGTGATGGATGAACTTGGTCCAAGACCCATGTTAACACCCATTTTTGCACGTGAGGCACGTGGATTTTGTCATTTGCACGTGTGACACAAGATGTGATTTCTCATCCCCACCCCCTGGTACGTTTGAGTGCAATTTTCCTGGATGCAAGGGCATCTGGTGGGTCATTGTGAGGCTTGCTCAGACGGACCTATGCTTTTCCTCAATCATACACAAATGTTTTGTAGGCCTCTATATTACTGTCTTTGTGCCACTGATTTTAATTTCAATATACCCTACTTTTTGTGAGCAGTTTATATCCTACACATATGAAAAGATTAATGAAAGATTGTTTCTGAAACTTATACAGTGGAAATTTATTTCAGATACCACTGGGAGTGCTTCAGTGAGGACCTCAGTGACCGTTCTCCATCACAGAAGGTGCTCAGTGGAGGGGACTACCTCACCCTTGAGAGGCAGAAACAAGCCAATCATGCACTACGAGATGGACCTATACCAAGTTCCAGATTACAAGGACTTGTTCCAAAGATGGAAGAGTTCCATAACGAAGCTGAATTTCTAAAGGTATATGTAATAACTGCATTTTCTGTAATTGCGATTTAGCAAAAGAAGGACAGTTATTGTGTGGTTTGTAAATTGGTTTATTGTTTTGTTGCAAAAGTAACGGATTAGTCTTTGTGTAATACCTGACTACCTGAAGATATTTCTTTTTCAGGTTATATGGAAACACTTGTACTCGTCCTCCTCTAACAAGTCTGTTTGGCACTCTGCATGCTGCAAAGGAGCACAATAAATGCGGTGAATGTTAGTCAGGATCCTCATGACAACTTTTACCCATGCTCTGAATTCATGGACAAGGTCACCACCGCCTACATCGTAACTGGGGGACTACATTACTTCCAAATGGAACACCTCACTTCTGTCCCAACGTCAAGTTACATGGGTGCTGTTGGCAATCCATATAAAATAATTGATTATTTTCTAGGTCATGCAGCAAAACAGTTTGTAGACAAGCACGTCTTACCGGAGGTTCCTCAACAGCCAGGTCATGGTCTCCAAATCAAACACACTAGCCTGCAGGTACTGTGGAAAACTGTACCAGAGACCAAAAGCTCTCCGCAAACACGAAGCACGTTTGCATGGATATTCTGATCCGGAATATAATGCTGAAAACAATCAGGATTCCACATCTTCAGCAGAATCAAGATCATCTATTTATCAGTACACCCGTCTGTCTCTCATGCTTGGGCTTCTTCGAATAAATCACAACGATTCCATTCACATGGGAGATGGTGGCAGCATGATGAGACTAGTAAAGTGGTTCTGTTTATACTACAAGGCAAGCAAATGTCCAAAGTATGCATATGGTCTCCTTTGAAACACAGGCAAAGGCATATGCTCTCCTATATGAACGGCAGGCTTTATAGACTGATATAGAACCGCACAGTCAACCATCAAGGCAGAGAAGACACCAATCATCCCATCGACCTTGACTTGGAGCATTGCAACAGGGCTTTCAAAGATAATGTACACACATACAAGGGGAGGTACACAGATAAAAGACGATTCTCAAAGTCAGCAGAAGTGCGCTGTCAATGGAAGAATTATGCCAAAAATACGACAAATTGGCATTCTGCAAGAAAAGTTCGGGAAGGCATGGAGTTGTTGATCCTTCTTGGTGATATTCTTAAACTCGTAGAACAATTCCATTCCTATGCAGCTCTATTCAATGAGGCCAACAAGCCACTGCCACAGAGAATTCAAGAACATGCTGAGTGACATCCAAAATTGGATTTCAGAAAGCCTTAAAGTCTTCAGTAGCCGCACATACCATAACATCTGAACCTTTTTTCCCGATGTGTAATTCAGTGTCACATGATTAAAACGAGACCCTGTTGCAAAGTCGCTATCACTGTATGTTTCATGATCTTCATGTTCTGAGTCTGAGTGAGATGATGAGCTATCACTCGAGTCAAGGGAAGTTTTGTACAACTCAAGAATATCACATCTACATTCACTACATGGGGTATTGCATGTCCATGAGTCTCTGCAGTCACCGAGACACTTGCAAGATATGGCACAGTTGTCCATAGCACTCATGACTTCAGTAAGCTCAACTTGTCGACATACGTTGGTTCTGACATACTGTTTCATTTCATCCGAAATATTCCGCCTGCCACTGAGACATTGTCTAAATTTCATGAGAAGAGCATGTGCCTGCTTTTCTGGATCCCTGCCTGCTCCGTCCTTGTCTCTTGAATATAATCCTCAACATTATTGGCTGGACCATAGTGGATGACGGTTTCCACACTTTGTAAGTCCCAAGCTGAATGGTGTTGAGCAATGGACTATCAAGGGACTATCATCCTCTTGAAACCATTTGGATCCATGAAGGACTCTGACACACTTCCCTGTTTTCCTTCTCATTCATACATATTCTGTATGTTGTTATGCATGATTGATGTTGAACTTTAATTGAAACTTTAGCTTGAAAATTGGCCGATTTCTTTTATGAAATTTAACTCCTTATAAGAATAAGATCAACATATGCAAAAACAATTGTTGTTAGATGATTATTTTTTTGTAACTGATCAACAAGATCAACTTTAGTGTTTTAGTGTTTTAACTTAGCTAATGTAATGTAATACAGTGGATGTATGCATTCCTTTTTCATAAGGGCATGAACATATATTACATAATGCCTCTACCTGGGACTGCGGCCAAACTTACAAAATTAACCCTTGTTTGAGAGTAACAAGTATCAAGTTCATGATGATTGTAGAAGTGATTGTATGTATTCATAAATGTGACACATGCACATTTTGAAATGTTAATATTTGTGCTTTAACTTTGATTTGATGAATATCAAATTAGATATTGTATACACTTTATAGCTACTTGTGATCAGTGCACATTTTTATACCTTTAGATTGTGCAGTTTCATAGTGGTTAGTAAGAATATTTTGTGAATTTATACTTGTTTTATCACAAAACATGTGAATGAGTGAATGTCGTCTCATACTGCAGTCAGCAATATTGCAGCCATATGAAGGCAGCCTGTAAACCAGTAATTGATACGCACACCATCCTAGTACATAAAACATTCGCTCTCCATGCCTATTTATGGTGTCCCCGTCGTGATTTTGCTGGGATATTGCCAAAAGATGCGTAAATCCATGCTCTCTCAATTCAACATGCCATGCCTTGACAGACAAAACGAAATACAAAATATAACATTTATACTTACAATTTTGCAATGCAGTGTGCTTCATCAATGAAAATTGCCATCAAAATCTTCTCTTTAGTCAGGCTGTGTTCCAAGAACTGTCTCTGGACTTGCAAATATTATTATGTCAGTGTCAGGGTGAAAAAACCATCACAGTAGCATGGTTGGAGTTATTAAGTTTCTTAAACACGAATGGTGCTAATTCAAAAGTAAGTGATTTTCCTGATCCTGTTGGAGAAAAAAAAGGACATCCTTTCCTCTGAGGTAACTTACAATCACTTGTCTCTGATGATTCCTGAAGTGATCAATTATGTAACTGCATTACCTTCCATACCAACAGTTATACATGTAGTTAAGTTAAATAGAGGGCGTATATACTTAAAACACAACATCAATCCTTTGTTCCGTTCAGCAGTGTGTCAGATTCGTGATGGCTAGCTTGAGGTGGCTAGACTTGCTTTTTGTATGCATTACTAGATTATTTTTTTAAATGAAATAAATATATTCCACGGTCATTGGTGCAGGACTAATTGTGTATATCACCTGAATTTTGGTCAATACCTGAAATACTCAGTCGCCAATACAGCCCCTATTTCATATAAGGTTATGAAAATACATGTCCGTTGGAGCCTGAAGCCTGAAGTAGAATTTAGGTTATTACACGGATGATATACATGTAAGGCCGAAAATTGATGAACTTCTTTATTATGAAGAACACAATGTTTGGGACTAATATCATTAGTTGAAGGAGTAAGTATTACACCCAAACGTTCTGTTCCACACAATGCATTTCACTTCTGAATGTTTTTCTAAGAGTTGATACATACACTTGCCTTGTATATATGGTTGATGCACGTCGAGTGTCTCAGAAACGCGGGATCTGCAGGTATTAGAGCTGAATACAGTTGTGATTTGACGAATTCTTTTTCTTCTGACTCTTCCTCTTATTTCGTTTTTCAGCTTAGCATTGTGTATACACAACGTAATTAACAGATTCTGACATCAGCCACATATCTCGGACCACCCCACGAGTCTCTCTTAACCGTTCAATTAACGTTCCGCTTGGTGTTGCCACACCTGTCCGCCATCTGCTGTTGAGATACTGTAACGGTTCTCGTCTGAAAAGAGGACTTCTCCCACTGCTGGTGCTGTGCTACCCACTGAAGACGGTCCAGGAAACAAAGAAGAAGACTGAAAGGGTATGATTTCTATTTACTTACTTCTTTTGTTAGTAAATAAGCGGCCTTCAAAAGCGAATATGCTTGTCGTAAGAGGAGACTAACGGGTGGTCAGACTAGCTTGACTTGGTTGATACATGCCATCGTATCCCAATTGTGTGGATTGAGTGTGGCGATAAATAACAAAAAACAAACAAACAGTTGTCTCAGATTATTTATATTTAAAAACATGTATATATTTGTTAAAGGTATGTTTCTATTTATACTGCTCACACAAAGTAGGGGATATTGAAAAGTTACGACGAAAAGCTTCAGAATTATGTTTAATTTTCATTGGGAAACAATAATAATGTGGAAATAAGGATGTTAAGAAACAGTTTTGAAAGTAATGACTTTGATCAAGCTGCAGTTTCATTTTGTCGACACTGGAAAGTTCATGAGGGGTAGAAACCCAAAAGTTGTGCTTCTATGCTTTCTTCCGGCTTGGATCATCCCAATTGCTCTCAATCTTTCGTCTTCTCGTAACCTTCGCATTGTGGAAAGTGGTGAAGTGATGGATGAACTTGGTCCAAGACCCATGTTAACACCCATTTTTGCCCGTGAGGCACGTGGATTTTGTCATTTGCACGTGTGACACAAGATGTGATTTCTCATCCCCACCCCCTGGTACGTTTGAGTGCAATTTTCCTGGATGCAAGGGCATCTGGTGGGTCATTGTGAGGCTTGCTCAGACGGACCTATGCTTTTCCTCAATCATACACAAATGTTTTGTAAGCCTCTATATTACTGTCTTTGTGCCACTGATTTTAATTTCAATATACCCTACTTTTTGTGAGCAGTTTATATCCTACACATATGAAAAGATTAATGAAAGATTGTTTCTGAAACTTATACAGTGGAAATTTATTTCAGATACCACTGGGAGTGCTTCAGTGAGGACCTCAGTGACCGTTCTCCATCACAGAAGGTGCTCAGCGGAGGGGACTACCTCACCCTTGAGAGGCAGAAACAAGCCAATCATGCACTACGAGATGGACCTATACCAAGTTCCAGATTACAAGGACTTGTTCCAAAGATGGAAGAGTTCCATAACGAAGCTGAATTTCTAAAGGTATATGTAATAACTGCATTTTCTGTAATTGCGATTTAGCAAAAGAAGGACAGTTATTGTGTGGTTTGTAAATTGGTTTATTGTTTTGTTGCAAAAGTAACGGATTAGTCTTTGTGTAATACCTGACTACCTGAAGATATTTCTTTTTCAGGTTATATGGAAACACTTGTACTCGTCCTCCTCTAACAAGTCTGTTTGGCACTCTGCATGCTGCAAAGGAGCACAATAAATGCGGTGAATGTTAGTCAGGATCCTCATGACAACTTTTACCCATGCTCTGAATTCATGGACAAGGTCACCACCGCCTACATCGTAACTGGGGGACTACATTACTTCCAAATGGAACACCTCACTTCTGTCCCAACGTCAAGTTACATGGGTGCTGTTGGCAATCCATATAAAATGATTGATTATTTTCTAGGTCATGCAGCAAAACAGTTTGTAGACAAGCACGTCTTACCGGAGGTTCCTCAACAGCCAGGTCATGGTCTCCAAATCAAACACACTAGCCTGCAGGTACTGTGGAAAACTGTACCAGAGACCAAAAGCTCTCCGCAAACACGAAGCACGTTTGCATGGATATTCTGATCCGGAATATAATGCTGAAAACAATCAGGATTCCACATCTTCAGCAGAATCAAGATCATCTATTTATCAGTACACCCGTCTGTCTCTCATGCTTGGGCTTCTTCGAATAAATCACAACGATTCCATTCACATGGGAGATGGTGGCAGGCATGATGAGACTAGTAAAGTGGTTCTGTTTATACTACAAGGCAAGCAAATGTCCAAAGTATGCATATGGTCTCCTTTGAAACACAGGCAAAGGCATATGCTCTCCTATATGAACGGCAGGCTTTATAGACTGATATGGAACCGCACAGTCAACCATCAAGGCAGAGAAGACACCAATCATCCCATCGACCTTGACTTGGAGCATTGCAACAGGGCTTTCAAAGATAATGTACACACATACAAGGGGAGGTACACAGATAAAAGACGATTCTCAAAGTCAGCAGAAGTGCGCTGTCAATGGAAGAATTATGCCAAAAATACGACAAATTGGCATTCTGCAAGAAAAGTTCGGGAAGGCATGGAGTTGTTGATCCTTCTTGGTGATATTCTTAAACTTGTAGAACAATTCCATTCCTATGCAGCTCTATTCAATGAGGCCAACAAGCCACTGCCACAGAGAATTCAAGAACATGCTGAGTGACATCCAAAATTGGATTTCAGAAAGTCTTAAAGTCTTCAGTAGCCGCACATACCATAACATCTGAACCTTTTTTCCCGATGTGTAATTCAGTGTCACATGATTAAAACGAGACCCTGTTGCAAAGTCGCTATCACTGTATGTTTCATGATCTTCATGTTCTGAGTCTGAGTGAGATGATGAGCTATCACTCGAGTCAAGGGAAGTTTTGTACAACTCAAGAATATCACATCTACATTCACTACATGGGGTATTGCATGTCCATGAGTCTCTGCAGTCACCGAGACACTTGCAAGATATGGCACAGTTGTCCATAGCACTCATGACTTCAGTAAGCTCAACTTGTCGACATACGTTGGTTCTGACATACTGTTTCATTTCATCCGAAATATTCCGCCTGCCACTGAGACATTGTCTAAATTTCATGAGAAGAGCATGTGCCTGCTTTTCTGGATCCCTGCCTGCTCCGTCCTTGTCTCTTGAATATAATCCTCAACATTATTGGCTGGACCATAGTGGATGACGGTTTCCACACTTTGTAAGTCCCAAGCTGAATGGTGTTGAGCAATGGACTATCAAGGGACTATCATCCTCTTGAAACCATTTGGATCCATGAAGGACTCTGACACACTTCCCTGTTTTCCTTCTCATTCATACATATTCTGTATGTTGTTATGCATGATTGATGTTGAACTTTAATTGAAACTTTAGCTTGAAAATTGGCCGATTTCTTTTATGAAATTTAACTCCTTATAAGAATAAGATCAACATATGCAAAAACAATTGTTGTTAGATGATTATTTTTTTGTAACTGATCAACAAGATCAACTTTAGTGTTTTAGTGTTTTAACTTAGCTAATGTAATGTAATACAGTGGATGTATGCATTCCTTTTTCATAAGGGCATGAACATATATTACATAATGCCTCTACCTGGGACTGCGGCCAAACTTACAAAATTAACCCTTGTTTGAGAGTAACAAGTATCAAGTTCATGATGATTGTAGAAGTGATTGTATGTATTCATAAATGTGACACATGCACATTTTGAAATGTTAATATTTGTGCTTTAACTTTGATTTGATGAATATCAAATTAGATATTGTATACACTTTATAGCTACTTGTGATCAGTGCACATTTTTATACCTTTAGATTGTGCAGTTTCATAGTGGTTAGTAAGAATATTTTGTGAATTTATACTTGTTTTATCACAAAACATGTGAATGAGTGAATGTCGTCTCATACTGCAGTCAGCAATATTGCAGCCATATGAAGGCAGCCTGTAAACCAGTAATTGATACGCACACCATCCTAGTACATAAAACATTCGCTCTCCATGCCTATTTATGGTGTCCCCGTCGTGATTTTGCTGGGATATTGCCAAAAGATGCGTAAATCCATGCTCTCTCAATTCAACATGCCATGCCTTGACAGACAAAACGAAATACAAAATATAACATTTATACTTACAATTTTGCAATGCAGTGTGCTTCATCAATGAAAATTGCCATCAAAATCTTCTCTTTAGTCAGGCTGTGTTCCAAGAACTGTCTCTGGACTTGCAAATATTATTATGTCAGTGTCAGGGTGAAAAAACCATCACAGTAGCATGGTTGGAGTTATTAAGTTTCTTAAACACGAATGGTGCTAATTCAAAAGTAAGTGATTTTCCTGATCCTGTTGGAGAAAAAAAAGGACATCCTTTCCTCTGAGGTAACTTACAATCACTTGTCTTTGATGATTCCTGAAGTGATCAATTATGTAACTGCATTACCTTCCATACCAACAGTTATACATGTAGTTAAGTTAAATAGAGGGCGTATATACTTAAAACACAACATCAATCCTTTGTTCCGTTCAGCAGTGTGTCAGATTCGTGATGGCTAGCTTGAGGTGGCTAGACTTGCTTTTTGTATGCATTACTAGATTATTTTTTTAAATGAAATAAATATATTCCACGGTCATTGGTGCAGGACTAATTTCGTATATCACCTGAATTTTGGTCAATACCTGAAATACTCAGTCGCCAATACAGCCCCTATTTCATATAAGGTTATGAAAATACATGTCCGTTGGAGCCTGAAGCCTGAAGTAGAATTTAGGTTATTACACGGATGATATACATGTAAGGCCGAAAATTGATGAACTTCTTTATTATGAAGAACACAATGTTTGGGACTAATATCATTAGTTGAAGGAGTAAGTATTACACCCAAACGTTCTGTTCCACACAATGCATTTCACTTCTGAATGTTTTTCTAAGAGTTGATACATACACTTGCCTTGTATATATGGTTGATGCACGTCGAGTGTCTCAGAAACGCGGGATCTGCAGGTATTAGAGCTGAATACAGTTGTGATTTGACGAATTCTTTTTCTTCTGACTCTTCCTCTTATTTCGTTTTTCAGCTTAGCATTGTGTATACACAACGTAATTAACGGATTCTGACATCAGCCACATATCTCGGACCACCCCACGAGTCTCTCTTAACCGTTCAATTAACGTTCCGCTTGGTGTTGCCACACCTGTCCGCCATCTGCTGTTGAGATACTGTAACGGTTCTCGTCTGAAAAGAGGACTTCTCCCACTGCTGGTGCTGTGCTACCCACTGAAGACGGTCCAGGAAACAAAGAAGAAGACTGAAAGGGTATGATTTCTATTTACTTACTTCTTTTGTTAGTAAATAAGCGGCCTTCAAAAGCGAATATGCTTGTCGTAAGAGGAGACTAACGGGTGGTCAGACTAGCTTGACTTGGTTGATACATGCCATCGTATCCCAATTGTGTGGATTGAGTGTGGCGATAAATAACAAAAAACAAACAAACAGTTGTCTCAGATTATTTATATTTAAAAACATGTATATATTTGTTAAAGGTATGTTTCTATTTATACTGCTCACACAAAGTAGGGGATATTGAAAAGTTACGACGAAAAGCTTCAGAATTATGTTTAATTTTCATTGGGAAACAATAATAATGTGGAAATAAGGATGTTAAGAAACAGTTTTGAAAGTAATGACTTTGATCAAGCTGCAGTTTCATTTTGTTGACACTGGAAAGTTCATGAGGGGTAGAAACCCAAAAGTTGTGCTTCTATGCTTTCTTCCGGCTTGGATCATCCCAATTGCTCTCAATCTTTCGTCTTCTCGTAACCTTCGCATTGTGGAAAGTGTTGAAGTGATGGATGAACTTGGTCCAAGACCCATGTTAACACCCATTTTTGCCCGTGAGGCACGTGGATTTTGTCATTTGCACGTGTGACACAAGATGTGATTTCTCATCCCCACCCCCTGGTACGTTTGAGTGCAATTTTCCTGGATGCAAGGGCATCTGGTGGGTCATTGTGAGGCTTGCTCAGACGGACCTATGCTTTTCCTCAATCATACACAAATGTTTTGTAAGCCTCTATATTACTGTCTTTGTGCCATTGATTTTAATTTCAATATACCCTACTTTTTGTGAGCAGTTTATATCCTACACATATGAAAAGATTAATGAAAGATTGTTTCTGAAACTTATACAGTGGAAATTTATTTCAGATACCACTGGGAGTGCTTCAGTGAGGACCTCAGTGACCGTTCTCCATCACAGTAGGTGCTCAGCAGAGGGGACTACCTCACCCTTGAGAGGCAGAAACAAGCCAATCATGCACTTACGAGATGGACCTACACCAAGTTCCAGATTACAAGGACTTGTTCCAAAGATGGAAGAGTTCCATAACGAAGCTGAATTTCTAAAGGTATATGTAATTAACTGCATTTTCTGTAATTGCGATTTAACAAAAGAAGGACAGTTATTGTGTGGTTTGTAAATTGGTTTATTGTTTTGTTGCAAAAGTAACGGATTAGTCTTTGTGTAATACCTGACTACCTGAAGATATTTCTTTTTCAGGTTATATGGAAACACTTGTACTCGTCCTCCTCTAACAAGTCTGTTTGGCACTCTGCATGCTGCAAAGGAGCACAATAATGTGAATGTTACTCAGGATCCTCATGACAACTTTTACCCATGCTCTGAATTCATGGACAAGGTCACCACCGCCTACATCGTAACTGGGGGACTACATTACTTCCAAATGGAACACCTCACTTCTGTCCCAACGTCAAGTTACATGGGTGCTGTTGGCAATCCATATAAAATGATTGATTATTTTCTAGGTCATGCAGCAAAACAGTTTGTAGACAAGCACGTCTTACCGGAGGTTCCTCAACAGCCAGGTCATGGTCTCCAAATCAAACACACTAGCCTGCAGGTACTGTGGAAAACTGTACCAGAGACCAAAAGCTCTCCGCAAACACGAAGCACGTTTGCATGGATATTCTGATCCGGAATATAATGCTGAAAACAATCAGGATTCCACATCTTCAGCAGAATCAAGATCATCTATTTATCAGTACACCCGTCTGTCTCTCATGCTTGGGCTTCTTCGAATAAATCACAACGATTCCATTCACATGGGAGATGGTGGCAGGCATGATGAGACTAGTAAAGTGGTTCTGTTTATACTACAAGGCAAGCAAATGTCCAAAGTATGCATATGGTCTCCTTTGAAACACAGGCAAAGGCATATGCTCTCCTATATGAACGGCAGGCTTTATAGACTGATATGGAACCGCACAGTCAACCATCAAGGCAGAGAAGACACCAATCATCCCATCGACCTTGACTTGGAGCATTGCAACAGGGCTTTCAAAGATAATGTACACACATACAAGGGGAGGTACACAGATAAAAGACGATTCTCAAAGTCAGCAGAAGTGCGCTGTCAATGGAAGAATTATGCCAAAAATACGACAAATTGGCATTCTGCAAGAAAAGTTCGGGAAGGCATGGAGTTGTTGATCCTTCTTGGTGATATTCTTAAACTTGTAGAACAATTCCATTCCTATGCAGCTCTATTCAATGAGGCCAACAAGCCACTGCCACAGAGAATTCAAGAACATGCTGAGTGACATCCAAAATTGGATTTCAGAAAGTCTTAAAGTCTTCAGTAGCCGCACATACTATAACATCTGAACCTTTTTTCCCGATGTGTAATTCAGTGTCACATGATTAAAACGAGACCCTGTTGCAAAGTCGCTATCACTGTATGTTTCATGATCTTCATGTTCTGAGTCTGAGTGAGATGATGAGCTATCACTCGAGTCAAGGGAAGTTTTGTACAACTCAAGAATATCACATCTACATTCACTACATGGGGTATTGCATGTCCATGAGTCTCTGCAGTCACCGAGACACTTGCAAGATATGGCACAGTTGTCCATAGCACTCATGACTTCAGTAAGCTCAACTTGTCGACATACGTTGGTTCTGACATACTGTTTCATTTCATCCGAAATATTCCGCCTGCCACTGAGACATTGTCTAAATTTCATGAGAAGAGCATGTGCCTGCTTTTCTGGATCCCTGCCTGCTCCGTCCTTGTCTCTTGAATATAATCCTCAACATTATTGGCTGGACCATAGTGGATGACGGTTTCCACACTTTGTAAGTCCCAAGCTGAATGGTGTTGAGCAATGGACTATCAAGGGACTATCATCCTCTTGAAACCATTTGGATCCATGAAGGACTCTGACACACTTCCCTGTTTTCCTTCTCATTCATACATATTCTGTATGTTGTTATGCATGATTGATGTTGAACTTTAATTGAAACTTTAGCTTGAAAATTGGCCGATTTCTTTTATGAAATTTAACTCCTTATAAGAATAAGATCAACATATGCAAAAACAATTGTTGTTAGATGATTATTTTTTTGTAACTGATCAACAAGATCAACTTTAGTGTTTTAGTGTTTTAACTTAGCTAATGTAATGTAATACAGTGGATGTATGCATTCCTTTTTCATAAGGGCATGAACATATATTACATAATGCCTCTACCTGGGACTGCGGCCAAACTTACAAAATTAACCCTTGTTTGAGAGTAACAAGTATCAAGTTCATGATGATTGTAGAAGTGATTGTATGTATTCATAAATGTGACACATGCACATTTTGAAATGTTAATATTTGTGCTTTAACTTTGATTTGATGAATATCAAATTAGATATTGTATACACTTTATAGCTACTTGTGATCAGTGCACATTTTTATACCTTTAGATTGTGCAGTTTCATAGTGGTTAGTAAGAATATTTTGTGAATTTATACTTGTTTTATCACAAAACATGTGAATGAGTGAATGTCGTCTCATACTGCAGTCAGCAATATTGCAGCCATATGAAGGCAGCCTGTAAACCAGTAATTGATACGCACACCATCCTAGTACATAAAACATTCGCTCTCCATGCCTATTTATGGTGTCCCCGTCGTGATTTTGCTGGGATATTGCCAAAAGATGCGTAAATCCATGCTCTCTCAATTCAACATGCCATGCCTTGACAGACAAAACGAAATACAAAATATAACATTTATACTTACAATTTTGCAATGCAGTGTGCTTCATCAATGAAAATTGCCATCAAAATCTTCTCTTTAGTCAGGCTGTGTTCCAAGAACTGTCTCTGGACTTGCAAATATTATTATGTCAGTGTCAGGGTGAAAAAACCATCACAGTAGCATGGTTGGAGTTATTAAGTTTCTTAAACACGAATGGTGCTAATTCAAAAGTAAGTGATTTTCCTGATCCTGTTGGAGAAAAAAAAGGACATCCTTTCCTCTGAGGTAACTTACAATCACTTGTCTTTGATGATTCCTGAAGTGATCAATTATGTAACTGCATTACCTTCCATACCAACAGTTATACATGTAGTTAAGTTAAATAGAGGGCGTATATACTTAAAACACAACATCAATCCTTTGTTCCGTTCAGCAGTGTGTCAGATTCTTGATGGCTAGCTTGAGGTGGCTAGACTTGCTTTTTGTATGCATTACTAGATTATTTTTTTAAATGAAATAAATATATTCCACGGTCATTGGTGCAGGACTAATTTCGTATATCACCTGAATTTTGGTCAATACCTGAAATACTCAGTCGCCAATACAGCCCCTATTTCATATAAGGTTATGAAAATACATGTCCGTTGGAGCCTGAAGCCTGAAGTAGAATTTAGGTTATTACACGGATGATATACATGTAAGGCCGAAAATTGATGAACTTCTTTATTATGAAGAACACAATGTTTGGGACTAATATCATTAGTTGAAGGAGTAAGTATTACACCCAAACGTTCTGTTCCACACAATGCATTTCACTTCTGAATGTTTTTCTAAGAGTTGATACATACACTTGCCTTGTATATATGGTTGATGCACGTCGAGTGTCTCAGAAACGCGGGATCTGCAGGTATTAGAGCTGAATACAGTTGTGATTTGACGAATTCTTTTTCTTCTGACTCTTCCTCTTATTTCGTTTTTCAGCTTAGCATTGTGTATACACAACGTAATTAACGGATTCTGACATCAGCCACATATCTCGGACCACCCCACGAGTCTCTCTTAACCGTTCAATTAACGTTCCGCTTGGTGTTGCCACACCTGTCCGCCATCTGCTGTTGAGATACTGTAACGGTTCTCGTCTGAAAAGAGGACTTCTCCCACTGCTGGTGCTGTGCTACCCACTGAAGACGGTCCAGGAAACAAAGAAGAAGACTGAAAGGGTATGATTTCTATTTACTTACTTCTTTTGTTAGTAAATAAGCGGCCTTCAAAAGCGAATATGCTTGTCGTAAGAGGAGACTAACGGGTGGTCAGACTAGCTTGACTTGGTTGATACATGCCATCGTATCCCAATTGTGTGGATTGAGTGTGGCGATAAATAACAAAAAACAAACAAACAGTTGTCTCAGATTATTTATATTTAAAAACATGTATATATTTGTTAAAAGTATGTTTCTATTTATACTGCTCACACAAAGTAGGGGATATTGAAAAGTTACGACGAAAAGCTTCAGAATTATGTTTAATTTTCATTGGGAAACAATAATAATGTGGAAATAAGGATGTTAAGAAACAGTTTTGAAAGTAATGACTTTGATCAAGCTGCAGTTTCATTTTGTCGACACTGGAAAGTTCATGAGGGGTAGAAACCCAAAAGTTGTGCTTCTATGCTTTCTTCCGGCTTGGATCATCCCAATTGCTCTCAATCTTTCGTCTTCTCGTAACCTTCGCATTGTGGAAAGTGGTGAAGTGATGGATGAACTTGGTCCAAGACCCATGTTAACACCCATTTTTGCCCGTGAGGCACGTGGATTTTGTCATTTGCACGTGTGACACAAGATGTGATTTCTCATCCCAACCCCCTGGTACGTTTGAGTGCAATTTTCCTGGATGCAAGGGCATCTGGTGGGTCATTGTGAGGCTTGCTCAGACGGACCTATGCTTTTCCTCAATCATACACAAATGTTTTGTAAGCCTCTATATTACTGTCTTTGTGCCATTGATTTTAATTTCAATATACCCTACTTTTTGTGAGCAGTTTATATCCTACACATATGAAAAGATTAATGAAAGATTGTTTCTGAAACTTATACAGTGGAAATTTATTTCAGATACCACTGGGAGTGCTTCAGTGAGGACCTCAGTGACCGTTCTCCATCACAGTAGGTGCTCAGCGGAGGGGACTACCTCACCCTTGAGAGGCAGAAACAAGCCAATCATGCACTTACGAGATGGACCTACACCAAGTTCCAGATTACAAGGACTTGTTCCAAAGATGGAAGAGTTCCATAACGAAGCTGAATTTCTAAAGGTATATGTAATTAACTGCATTTTCTGTAATTGCGATTTAACAAAAGAAGGACAGTTATTGTGTGGTTTGTAAATTGGTTTATTGTTTTGTTGCAAAAGTAACGGATTAGTCTTTGTGTAATACCTGACTACCTGAAGATATTTCTTTTTCAGGTTATATGGAAACACTTGTACTCGTCCTCCTCTAACAAGTCTGTTTGGCACTCTGCATGCTGCAAAGGAGCACAATAATGTGAATGTTACTCAGGATCCTCATGACAACTTTTACCCATGCTCTGAATTCATGGACAAGGTCACCACCGCCTACATCGTAACTGGGGGACTACATTACTTCCAAATGGAACACCTCACTTCTGTCCCAACGTCAAGTTACATGGGTGCTGTTGGCAATCCATATAAAATGATTGATTATTTTTCTAGGTCATGCAGCAAAACAGTTTGTAGACAAGCACGTCTTACCGGAGGTTCCTCAACAGCCAGGTCATGGTCTCCAAATCAAACACACTAGCCTGCAGGTACTGTGGAAAACTGTACCAGAGACCAAAAGCTCTCCGCAAACACGAAGCATCCGGAATATAATGCTGAAAACAATCAGGATTCCACATCTTCAGCAGAATCAAGATCATCTATTTATCAGTACACCCGTCTGTCTCTCATGCTTGGGCTTCTTCGAATAAATCACAACGATTCCATTCACATGGGAGATGGTGGCAGGCATGATGAGACTAGTAAAGTGGTTCTGTTTATAAGGCAAGCAAATGTCTCCTTTGAAACACAGGCAAAGGCATATGCTCTCCTATATGAACGGCAGGCTTTATAGATTGATATGGAACCGCACAGTCAACCATCAAGGCAGAGAAGACACCAATCATCCCATTGACCTTGACTTGGAGCATTGCAACAGGGCTTTCAAAGATGATGTACACACATACAAGGGGAGGTACACAGATAAAAGACGATTCTCAAAGTCAGCAGAAGTGCGCTGTCAATGGAAGAATTATACCAAAAATACGACAAATTGGCATTCCGCAAGAAAAGTTCGGGAAGGCATGGAGTTGTTGATCCTTCTTGGTGATATTCTTAAACTTGTAGAACAATTCCATTCCTATGCAGCTCTATTCAATAAGGCCAACAAGCCACTGCCACAGAGAAATCAAAAACATGCTGAGTGACATCCAAAATTGGATTTCAGAAAGTCTTAAAGTCTTCAGTAGCCGCACATACTATAACATCTGAACCTTTTTTCCCGATTTGTAATTCAGTGTCACATGATTAAAACGAGACCCTGTTGCAAAGTCGCTATCACTGTATGTTTCATGATCTTCATGTTCTGAGTCTGAGTGAGATGATGAGCTATCACTCGAGTCAAGGGAAGTTTTGTACAACTCAAGAATATCACATCTACATTCACTACATGGGGTATTGCATGTCCATGAGTCTCTGCAGTCACCGAGACACTTGCAAGATATGGCACAGTTGTCCATAGCACTCATGACTTCAGTAAAGCTCAACTCGTCGACATACGTTGGTTCTGACATACTGTTTCATTTCATCCGAAATATTCCGCCTGCCACTGAGACATTGTCTAAATTTCATGAGAAGAGCATGTGCCTGCTTTTCTGGATCCCTGCCTGCTCCGTCCTTGTCTCTTGAATATAATCCTCAACATTATTGGCTGGACCATAGTGGATGACGGTTTCCACACTTTGTAAGTCCCAAGCTGAATGGTGTTGAGCAATGGACTATCAAGGGACTATCATCCTCTTGAAACCATTTGGATCCATGAAGGACTCTGACACACTTCCCTGTTTTCCTTCTCATTCATACATATTCTGTATGTTGTTATGCATGATTGATGTTGAACTTTAATTGAAACTTCAGCTTGAAAATTGGCCGATTTCTTTTATGAAATTTAACTCCTTATAAGAATAAGATCAACATATGCAAAAACAATTGTTGTTAGATGATTATTTTTTTGTAACTGATCAACAAGATCAACTTTAGTGTTTTAGTGTTTTAACTTAGCTAATGTAATGTAATACAGTGGATGTATGCATTCCTTTTTCATAAGGGCATTAACATATATTACATAATGCCTCTACCTGGGACTGCGGCCAAACTTACAAAATTAACCCTTGTTTGAGAGTAACAAGTATCAAGTTCATGATGATTGTAGAAGTGATTGTATGTATTCATAAATGTGACACATGCACATTTTGAAATGTTAATATTTGTGCTTTAACTTTGATTTGATGAATATCAAATTAGATATTGTATACACTTTATAGCTACTTGTGATCAGTGCACATTTTTATACCTTTAGATTGTGCAGTTTCATAGTGGTTAATAAGAATATTTTGTGAATTTATACTTGTTTTATCACAAAACATGTGAATGAGTGAATGTCGTCTCATACTGCAGTCAGCAATATTGCAGCCATATGAAGGCAGCCTGTAAACCAGTAATTGATACGCACACCATCCTAGTACATAAAACATTCGCTCTCCATGCCTATTTATGGTGTCCCCGTCGTGATTTTGCTGGGATATTGCCAAAAGATGCGTAAATCCATGCTCTCTCAATTCAACATGCCATGCCTTGACAGACAAAACGAAATACAAAATATAACATTTATACTTACAATTTTGCAATGCAGTGTGCTTCATCAATGAAAATTGCCATCAAAATCTTCTCTTTAGTCAGGCTGTGTTCCAAGAACTGTCTCTGGACTTGCAAATATTATTATGTCAGTGTCAGGGTGAAAAAACCATCACAGTAGCATGGTTGGAGTTATTAAGTTTCTTAAACACGAATGGTGCTAATTCAAAAGTAAGTGATTTTCCTGATCCTGTTGGAGAAAAAAAGGACATCCTTTCCTCTGAGGTAACTTACAAATACTTGTCTTTGATGATTCCTGAAGTGATCAATTATGTAACTGCATTACCTTCCATACCAACAGTTATACATGTAGTTAAGTTAAATAGAGGGCGTATATACTTAAAACACAACATCAATCCTTTGTTCCGTTCAGCAGTGTGTCAGATTCGTGATGGCTAGCTTGAGGTGGCTAGACTTGCTTTTTGTATGCATTACTAGATTCTTTTTTTAAATGAAATAAATATATTCCACGGTCATTGGTGCAGGACTAATTGTGTATATCACCTGAATTTTGGTCAATACCTGAAATACTCAGTCGCCAATACAGCCCCTATTTCATATAAGGTTATGAAAATACATGTCGGTTGGAGCCTGAAGCCTGAAGTAGAATTTAGGTTATTACACGGATGATATACATGTAAGGCCGAAAATTGATGAACTTCTTTATTATGAAGAACACAATGTTTGGGACTAATATCATTAGTTGAAGGAGTAAGTATTACACCCAAACGTTCTGTTCCACACAATGCGTTTCACTTCTGAATGTTTTTCTAAGAGTTGATACATACACTTGCCTTGTATATATGGTTGATGCACGTCGAGTGTCTCAGAAACGCGGGATCTGCAGGTAATTAGAGCTGAATACAGTTGTGATTTGACGAATTCTTTTTCTTCTGACTCTTCCTCTTATTTCGTTTTTCAGCTTAGCATTGTGTATACACAACGTAATTAACGGATTCTGACATCAGCCACATATCTCGGACCACCCCACGAGTCTCTCTTAACCGTTCAATTAACGTTCCGCTTGGTGTTGCCACACCTGTCCGCCATCTGCTGTTGAGATACTGTAACGGTTCTCGTCTGAAAAGAGGACTTCTCCCACTGCTGGTGCTGTGCTACCCACTGAAGACGGTCCAGGAAACAAAGAAGAAGACTGAAAGGGTATGATTTCTATTTACTTACTTCTTTTGTTAGTAAATAAGCGGCCTTCAAAAGCGACTATGCTTGTCGTAAGAGGAGACTAACGGGTGGTCAGACTAGCTTGACTTGGTTGATACATGCCATCGTATCCCAATTGTGTGGATTGAGTGTGGCGATAAATAACAAAAAACAAACAAACAGTTGTCTCAGATTATTTATATTTAAAAACATGTATATATTTGTTAAAAGTATGTTTCTATTTATACTGCTCACACAAAGTAGGGGATATTGAAAAGTTACGACGAAAAGCTTCAGAATTATGTTTAATTTTCATTGGGAAACAATAATAATGTGGAAATAAGGATGTTAAGAAACAGTTTTGAAAGTAATGACTTTGATCAAGCTGCAATTTCATTTTGTCGACACTGGAAAGTTCATGAGGGGTAGAAACCCAAAAGTTGTGCTTCTATGCTTTCTTCCGGCTTGGATCATCCCAACTGCTCTCAATCTTTCGTCTTCTCGTAACCTTCGCATTGTGGAAAGTGGTGAAGTGATGGATGAACTTGGTCCAAGACCCATGTTAACACCCATTTTTTGCACGTGAGGCACGTGGATTTTGTCATTTGCACGTGTGACACAAGATGTGATTTCTCATCCCCACCCCCTGGTACGTTTGAGTGCAATTTTCCTGGATGCAAGGGCATCTGGTGGGTCATTGTGAGGCTTGCTCAGACGGACCTATGCTTTTCCTCAATCATACACAAATGTTTTGTAGGCCTCTATATTACTGTCTTTGTGCCATTGATTTTAATTTCAATATACCCTACTTTTTGTGAGCAGTTTATATCCTACACATATGAAAAGATTAATGAAAGATTGTTTCTGAAACTTATACAGTGGAAATTTATTTCAGATACCACTGGGAGTGCTTCAGTGAGGACCTCAGTGACCGTTCTCCATCACAGTAGGTGCTCAGCGGAGGGGACTACCTCACCCTTGAGAGGCAGAAACAAGCCAATCATGCACTTACGAGATGGACCTACACCAAGTTCCAGATTACAAGGACTTGTTCCAAAGATGGAAGAGTTCCATAACGAAGCTGAATTTCTAAAGGTATATGTAATTAACTGCATTTTCTGTAATTGCGATTTAACAAAAGAAGGACAGTTATTGTGTGGTTTGTAAATTGGTTTATTGTTTTGTTGCAAAAGTAACGGATTAGTCTTTGTGTAATACCTGACTACCTGAAGATATTTCTTTTTCAGGTTATATGGAAACACTTGTACTCGTCCTCCTCTAACAAGTCTGTTTGGCACTCTGCATGCTGCAAAGGAGCACAATAATGTGAATGTTACTCAGGATCCTCATGACAACTTTTACCCATGCTCTGAATTCATGGACAAGGTCACCACCGCCTACATCGTAACTGGGGGACTACATTACTTCCAAATGGAACACCTCACTTCTGTCCCAACGTCAAGTTACATGGGTGCTGTTGGCAATCCATATAAAATGATTGATTATTTTCTAGGTCATGCAGCAAAACAGTTTGTAGACAAGCACATCTTACCGGAGGTTCCTCAACAGCCAGGTCATGGTCTCCAAATCAAACACACTAGCCTGCAGGTACTGTGGAAAACTGTACCAGAGACCAAAAGCTCTCCGCAAACACGAAGCATCCGGAATATAATGCTGAAAACAATCAGGATTCCACATCTTCAGCAGAATCAAGATCATCTATTTATCAGTACACCCGTCTGTCTCTCATGCTTGGGCTTCTTCGAATAAATCACAACGATTCCATTCACATGGGAGATGGTGGCAGGCATGATGAGACTAGTAAAGTGGTTCTGTCTATACTACAAGGCAAGCAAATGTCCAAAGTATGCACATGGTCTCCTTTGAAACACAGGCAAAGGCATATGCTCTCCTATATGAACGGCAGGCTTTATAGATTGATATGGAACCGCACAGTCAACCATCAAGGCAGAGAAGACACCAATCATCCCATCGACCTTGACTTGGAGCATTGCAACAGGGCTTTCAAAGATGATGTACACACATACAAGGGGAGGTACACAGATAAAAGACGATTCTCAAAGTCAGCAGAAGTGCGCTGTCAATGGAAGAATTATGCCAAAAATACGACAAATTGGCATTCCGCTAGAAAAGTTCGGGAAGGCATGGAGTTGTTGATCCTTCTTGGTGATATTCTTAAACTTGTAGAACAATTCCATTCCTATGCAGCTCTATTCAATGAGGCCAACAAGCCACTGCCACAGAGAAATCAAAAACATGCCGAGTGACATCCAAAATTGGATTTCAGAAAGTCTTAAAGTCTTCAGTAGCCGCACATACTATAACATCTGAACCTTTTTTCCCGATGTGTAATTCAGTGTCACATGATTAAAACGAGACCCTGTTGCAAAGTCGCTATCACTGTATGTTTCATGATCTTCATGTTCTGAGTCTGAGTGAGATGATGAGCTATCACTCGAGTCAAGGGAAGTTTTGTACAACTCAAGAATATCACATCTACATTCACTACATGGGGTATTGCATGTCCATGAGTCTCTGCAGTCACCGAGACACTTGCAAGATATGGCACAGTTGTCCATAGCACTCATGACTTCAGTAAAGCTCAACTCGTCGACATACGTTGGTTCTGACATACTGTTTCATTTCATCCGAAATATTCCGCCTGCCACTGAGACATTGTCTAAATTTCATGAGAAGAGCATGTGCCTGCTTTTCTGGATCCCTGCCTGCTCCGTCCTTGTCTCTTGAATATAATCCTCAACATTATTGGCTGGACCAAAGTGGATGACGGTTTCCACACTTTGTAAGTCCCAAGCTGAATGGTGTTGAGCAATGGACTATCAAGGGACTATCATCCTCTTGAAACCATTTGGATCCATGAAGGACTCTGACACACTTCCCTGTTTTCCTTCTCATTCATACATATTCTGTATGTTGTTATGCATGATTGATGTTGAACTTTAATTGAAACTTTAGCTTGAAAATTGGCCGATTTCTTTTATGAAATTTAACTCCTTATAAGAATAAGATCAACATATGCAAAAACAATTGTTGTTAGATGATTATTTTTTTGTAACTGATCAACAAGATCAACTTTAGTGTTTTAGTGTTTTAACTTAGCTAATGTAATGTAATACAGTGGATGTATGCATTCCTTTTTCATAAGGGCATTAACATATATTACATAATGCCTCTACCTGGGACTGCGGCCAAACTTACAAAATTAACCCTTGTTTGAGAGTAACAAGTATCAAGTTCATGATGATTGTAGAAGTGATTGTATGTATTCATAAATGTGACACATGCACATTTTGAAATGTTAATATTTGTGCTTTAACTTTGATTTGATGAATATCAAATTAGATATTGTATACACTTTATAGCTACTTGTGATCAGTGCACATTTTTATACCTTTAGATTGTGCAGTTTCATAGTGGTTAATAAGAATATTTTGTGAATTTATACTTGTTTTATCACAAAACATGTGAATGAGTGAATGTCGTCTCATACTGCAGTCAGCAATATTGCAGCCATATGAAGGCAGCCTGTAAACCAGTAATTGATACACACACCATCCTAGTACATAAAACATTCGCTCTCCATGCCTATTTATGGTGTCCCCGTCGTGATTTTGCTGGGATATTGCCAAAAGATGCGTAAATCCATGCTCTCTCAATTCAACATGCCATGCCTTGACAGACAAAACGAAATACAAAATATAACATTTATACTTACAATTTTGCAATGCAGTGTGCTTCATCAATGAAAATTGCCATCAAAATCTTCTCTTTAGTCAGGCTGTGTTCCAAGAACTGTCTCTGGACTTGCAAATATTATTATGTCAGTGTCAGGGTGAAAAAACCGTCACAGTAGCATGGTTGGAGTTATTAAGTTTCTTAAACACGAATGGTGCTAATTCAAAAGTAAGTGATTTTCCTGATCCTGTTGGAGAAAAAAAAGGACATCCTTGTCTTTGATGATTCCTGAAGTGATCAATTATGTAACTGCATTACCTTCCATACCAACAGTTATACATGTAGTTAAGTTAAATAGAGGGCGTATATACTTAAAACACAACATCAATCCTTTGTTCCGTTCAGCAGTGTGTCAGATTCGTGATGGCTAGCTTGAGGTGGCTAGACTTGCTTTTTGTATGCATTACTAGATTCTTTTTTTAAATGAAATAAATATATTCCACGGTCATTGGTGCAGGACTAATTGTGTATATCACCTGAATTTTGGTCAATACCTGAAATACTCAGTCGCCAATACAGCCCCTATTTCATATAAGGTTATGAAAATACATGTCGGTTGGAGCCTGAAGCCTGAAGTAGAATTTAGGTTATTACACGGATGATATACATGTAAGGCCGAAAATTGATGAACTTCTTTATTATGAAGAACACAATGTTTGGGACTAATATCATTAGTTGAAGGAGTAAGTATTACACCCAAACGTTCTGTTCCACACAATGCGTTTCACTTCTGAATGTTTTTCTAAGAGTTGATACATACACTTGCCTTGTATATATGGTTGATGCACGTCGAGTGTCTCAGAAACGCGGGATCTGCAGGTATTAGAGCTGAATACAGTTGTGATTTGACGAATTCTTTTTCTTCTGACTCTTCCTCTTATTTCGTTTTTCAGCTTAGCATTGTGTATACACAACGTAATTAACGGATTCTGACATCAGCCACATATCTCGGACCACCCCACGAGTCTCTCTTAACCGTTCAATTAACGTTCCGCTTGGTGTTGCCACACCTGTCCGCCATCTGCTGTTGAGATACTGTAACGGTTCTCGTCTGAAAAGAGGACTTCTCCCACTGCTGGTGCTGTGCTACCCACTGAAGACGGTCCAGGAAACAAAGAAGAAGACTGAAAGGGTATGATTTCTATTTACTTACTTCTTTTGTTAGTAAATAAGCGGCCTTCAAAAGCGAATATGCTTGTCGTAAGAGGAGACTAACGGGTGGTCAGACTAGCTTGACTTGGTTGATACATGCCATCGTATCCCAATTGTGTGGATTGAGTGTGGCGATAAATAACAAAAAACAAACAAACAGTTGTCTCAGATTATTTATATTTAAAAACATGTATATATTTGTTAAAAGTATGTTTCTATTTATACTGCTCACACAAAGTAGGGGATATTGAAAAGTTACGATGAAAAGCTTCAGAATTATGTTTAATTTTCATTGGGAAACAATAATAATGTGGAAATAAGGATGTTAAGAAACAGTTTTGAAAGTAATGACTTTGATCAAGCTGCAATTTCATTTTGTCGACACTGGAAAGTTCATGAGGGGTAGAAACCCAAAAGTTGTGCTTCTATGCTTTCTTCTGGCTTGGATCATCCCAATTGCTCTCAATCTTTCGTCTTCTCGTAAACCTTCGCATTGTGGAAAGTGGTGAAGTGATGGATGAACTTGGTCCAAGACCCATGTTAACACCCATTTTTGCCCGTGAGGCACGTGGATTTTGTCATTTGCACGTGTGACACAAGATGTGATTTCTCATCCCCACCCCCTGGTACGTTTGAGTGCAATTTTCCTGGATGCAAGGGCATCTGGTGGGTCATTGTGAGGCTTGCTCAGACGGACCTATGCTTTTCCTCAATCATACACAAATGTTTTGTAGGCCTCTATATTACTGTCTTTGTGCCATTGATTTTAATTTCAATATACCCTACTTTTTGTGAGCAGTTTATATCCTACACATATGAAAAGATTAATGAAAGATTGTTTCTGAAACTTATACAGTGGAAATTTATTTCAGATACCACTGGGAGTGCTTCAGTGAGGACCTCAGTGACCGTTCTCCATCACAGTAGGTGCTCAGCGGAGGGGACTACCTCACCCTTGAGAGGCAGAAACAAGCCAATCATGCACTTACGAGATGGACCTACACCAAGTTCCAGATTACAAGGACTTGTTCCAAAGATGGAAGAGTTCCATAACGAAGCTGAATTTCTAAAGGTATATGTAATTAACTGCATTTTCTGTAATTGCGATTTAACAAAAGAAGGACAGTTATTGTGTGGTTTGTAAATTGGTTTATTGTTTTGTTGCAAAAGTAACGGATTAGTCTTTGTGTAATACCTGACTACCTGAAGATATTTCTTTTTCAGGTTATATGGAAACACTTGTACTCGTCCTCCTCTAACAAGTCTGTTTGGCACTCTGCATGCTGCAAAGGAGCACAATAAATGCGGTGAATGTTACTCAGGATCCTCATGACAACTTTTACCCATGCTCTGAATTCATGGACAAGGTCACCACCGCCTACATCGTAACTGGGGGACTACATTACTTCCAAATGGAACACCTCACTTCTGTCCCAACGTCAAGTTACATGGGTGCTGTTGGCAATCCATATAAAATGATTGATTATTTTCTAGGTCATGCAGCAAAACAGTTTGTAGACAAGCACGTCTTACCGGAGGTTCCTCAACAGCCAGGTCATGGTCTCCAAATCAAACACACTAGCCTGCAGGTACTGTGGAAAACTGTACCAGAGACCAAAAGCTCTCCGCAAACACGAAGCATCCGGAATATAATGCTGAAAACAATCAGGATTCCACATCTTCAGCAGAATCAAGATCATCTATTTATCAGTACACCCGTCTGTCTCTCATGCTTGGGCTTCTTCGAATAAATCACAACGATTCCATTCACATGGGAGATGGTGGCAGGCATGATGAGACTAGTAAAGTGGTTCTGTTTATAAGGCAAGCAAATGTCTCCTTTGAAACACAGGCAAAGGCATATGCTCTCCTATATGAACGGCAGGCTTTATAGATTGATATGGAACCGCACAGTCAACCATCAAGGCAGAGAAGACACCAATCATCCCATCGACCTTGACTTGGAGCATTGCAACAGGGCTTTCAAAGATGATGTACACACATACAAGGGGAGGTACACAGATAAAAGACGATTCTCAAAGTCAGCAGAAGTGCGCTGTCAATGGAAGAATTATGCCAAAAATACGACAAATTGGCATTCCGCTAGAAAAGTTCGGGAAGGCATGGAGTTGTTGATCCTTCTTGGTGATATTCTTAAACTTGTAGAACAATTCCATTCCTATGCAGCTCTATTCAATGAGGCCAACAAGCCACTGCCACAGAGAAATCAAAAACATGCCGAGTGACATCCAAAATTGGATTTCAGAAAGTCTTAAAGTCTTCAGTAGCCGCACATACTATAACATCTGAACCTTTTTTCCCGATGTGTAATTCAGTGTCACATGATTAAAACGAGACCCTGTTGCAAAGTCGCTATCACTGTATGTTTCATGATCTTCATGTTCTGAGTCTGAGTGAGATGATGAGCTATCACTCGAGTCAAGGGAAGTTTTGTACAACTCAAGAATATCACATCTACATTCACTACATGGGGTATTGCATGTCCATGAGTCTCTGCAGTCACCGAGACACTTGCAAGATATGGCACAGTTGTCCATAGCACTCATGACTTCAGTAAAGCTCAACTTGTCGACATACGTTGGTTCTGACATACTGTTTCATTTCATCCGAAATATTCCGCCTGCCACTGAGACATTGTCTAAATTTCATGAGAAGAGCATGTGCCTGCTTTTCTGGATCCCTGCCTGCTCCGTCCTTGTCTCTTGAATATAATCCTCAACATTATTGGCTGGACCAAAGTGGATGACGGTTTCCACACTTTGTAAGTCCCAAGCTGAATGGTGTTGAGCAATGGACTATCAAGGGACTATCATCCTCTTGAAACCATTTGGATCCATGAAGGACTCTGACACACTTCCCTGTTTTCCTTCTCATTCATACATATTCTGTATGTTGTTATGCATGATTGATGTTGAACTTTAATTGAAACTTTAGCTTGAAAATTGGCCGATTTCTTTTATGAAATTTAACTCCTTATAAGAATAAGATCAACATATGCAAAAACAATTGTTGTTAGATGATTATTTTTTTGTAACTGATCAACAAGATCAACTTTAGTGTTTTAGTGTTTTAACTTAGCTAATGTAATGTAATACAGTGGATGTATGCATTCCTTTTTCATAAGGGCATTAACATATATTACATAATGCCTCTACCTGGGACTGCGGCCAAACTTACAAAATTAACCCTTGTTTGAGAGTAACAAGTATCAAGTTCATGATGATTGTAGAAGTGATTGTATGTATTCATAAATGTGACACATGCACATTTTGAAATGTTAATATTTGTGCTTTAACTTTGATTTGATGAATATCAAATTAGATATTGTATACACTTTATAGCTACTTGTGATCAGTGCACATTTTTATACCTTTAGATTGTGCAGTTTCATAGTGGTTAATAAGAATATTTTGTGAATTTATACTTGTTTTATCACAAAACATGTGAATGAGTGAATGTCGTCTCATACTGCAGTCAGCAATATTGCAGCCATATGAAGGCAGCCTGTAAACCAGTAATTGATACACACACCATCCTAGTACATAAAACATTCGCTCTCCATGCCTATTTATGGTGTCCCCGTCGTGATTTTGCTGGGATATTGCCAAAAGATGCGTAAATCCATGCTCTCTCAATTCAACATGCCATGCCTTGACAGACAAAACGAAATACAAAATATAACATTTATACTTACAATTTTGCAATGCAGTGTGCTTCATCAATGAAAATTGCCATCAAAATCTTCTCTTTAGTCAGGCTGTGTTCCAAGAACTGTCTCTGGACTTGCAAATATTATTATGTCAGTGTCAGGGTGAAAAAACCGTCACAGTAGCATGGTTGGAGTTATTAAGTTTCTTAAACACGAATGGTGCTAATTCAAAAGTAAGTGATTTTCCTGATCCTGTTGGAGAAAAAAAAGGACATCCTTGTCTTTGATGATTCCTGAAGTGATCAATTATGTAACTGCATTACCTTCCATACCAACAGTTATACATGTAGTTAAGTTAAATAGAGGGCGTATATACTTAAAACACAACATCAATCCTTTGTTCCGTTCAGCAGTGTGTCAGATTCGTGATGGCTAGCTTGAGGTGGCTAGACTTGCTTTTTGTATGCATTACTAGATTATTTTTTTAAATGAAATAAATATATTCCACGGTCATTGGTGCAGGACTAATTGTGTATATCACCTGAATTTTGGTCAATACCTGAAATACTCAGTCGCCAATACAGCCCCTATTTCATATAAGGTTATGAAAATACATGTCGGTTGGAGCCTGAAGCCTGAAGTAGAATTTAGGTTATTACACGGATGATATACATGTAAGGCCGAAAATTGATGAACTTCTTTATTATGAAGAACACAATGTTTGGGACTAATATCATTAGTTGAAGGAGTAAGTATTACACCCAAACGTTCTGTTCCACACAATGCGTTTCACTTCTGAATGTTTTTCTAAGAGTTGATACATACACTTGCCTTGTATATATGGTTGATGCACGTCGAGTGTCTCAGAAACGCGGGATCTGCAGGTATTAGAGCTGAATACAGTTGTGATTTGACGAATTCTTTTTCTTCTGACTCTTCCTCTTATTTCGTTTTTCAGCTTAGCATTGTGTATACACAACGTAATTAACGGATTCTGACATCAGCCACATATCTCGGACCACCCCACGAGTCTCTCTTAACCGTTCAATTAACGTTCCGCTTGGTGTTGCCACACCTGTCCGCCATCTGCTGTTGAGATACTGTAACGGTTCTCGTCTGAAAAGAGGACTTCTCCCACTGCTGGTGCTGTGCTACCCACTGAAGACGGTCCAGGAAACAAAGAAGAAGACTGAAAGGGTATGATTTCTATTTACTTACTTCTTTTGTTAGTAAATAAGCGGCCTTCAAAAGCGAATATGCTTGTCGTAAGAGGAGACTAACGGGTGGTCAGACTAGCTTGACTTGGTTGATACATGCCATCGTATCCCAATTGTGTGGATTGAGTGTGGCGATAAATAACAAAAAACAAACAAACAGTTGTCTCAGATTATTTATATTTAAAAACATGTATATATTTGTTAAAAGTATGTTTCTATTTATACTGCTCACACAAAGTAGGGGATATTGAAAAGTTACGATGAAAAGCTTCAGAATTATGTTTAATTTTCATTGGGAAACAATAATAATGTGGAAATAAGGATGTTAAGAAACAGTTTTGAAAGTAATGACTTTGATCAAGCTGCAATTTCATTTTGTCGACACTGGAAAGTTCATGAGGGGTAGAAACCCAAAAGTTGTGCTTCTATGCTTTCTTCTGGCTTGGATCATCCCAATTGCTCTCAATCTTTCGTCTTCTCGTAAACCTTCGCATTGTGGAAAGTGGTGAAGTGATGGATGAACTTGGTCCAAGACCCATGTTAACACCCATTTTTGCCCGTGAGGCACATGGATTTTGTCATTTGCACGTGTGACACAAGATGTGATTTCTCATCCCCACCCCCTGGTACGTTTGAGAGCAATTTTCCTGGATGCAAGGGCATCTGGTGGGTCATTGTGAGGCTTGCTCAGACGGACCTATGCTTTTCCTCAATCATACACAAATGTTTTGTAGGCCTCTATATTACTGTCTTTGTGCCATTGATTTTAATTTCAATATACCCTACTTTTTGTGAGCAGTTTATATCCTACACATATGAAAAGATTAATGAAAGATTGTTTCTGAAACTTATACAGTGGAAATTTATTTCAGATACCACTGGGAGTGCTTCAGTGAGGACCTCAGTGACCGTTCTCCATCACAGTAGGTGCTCAGCGGAGGGGACTACCTCACCCTTGAGAGGCAGAAACAAGCCAATCATGCACTTACGAGATGGACCTACACCAAGTTCCAGATTACAAGGACTTGTTCCAAAGATGGAAGAGTTCCATAACGAAGCTGAATTTCTAAAGGTATATGTAATTAACTGCATTTTCTGTAATTGCGATTTAACAAAAGAAGGACAGTTATTGTGTGGTTTGTAAATTGGTTTATTGTTTTGTTGCAAAAGTAACGGATTAGTCTTTGTGTAATACCTGACTACCTGAAGATATTTCGTTTTCAGGTTATATGGAAACACTTGTACTCGTCCTCCTCTAACAAGTCTGTTTGGCACTCTGCATGCTGCAAAGGAGCACAATAAATGCGGTGAATGTTACTCAGGATCCTCATGACAACTTTTACCCATGCTCTGAATTCATGGACAAGGTCACCACCGCCTACATCGTAACTGGGGGACTACATTACTTCCAAATGGAACACCTCACTTCTGTCCCAACGTCAAGTTACATGGGTGCTGTTGGCAATCCATATAAAATGATTGATTATTTTCTAGGTCATGCAGCAAAACAGTTTGTAGACAAGCACGTCTTACCGGAGGTTCCTCAACAGCCAGGTCATGGTCTCCAAATCAAACACACTAGCCTGCAGGTACTGTGGAAAACTGTACCAGAGACCAAAAGCTCTCCGCAAACACGAAGCATCCGGAATATAATGCTGAAAACAATCAGGATTCCACATCTTCAGCAGAATCAAGATCATCTATTTATCAGTACACCCGTCTGTCTCTCATGCTTGGGCTTCTTCGAATAAATCACAACGATTCCATTCACATGGGAGATGGTGGCAGGCATGATGAGACTAGTAAAGTGGTTCTGTTTATAAGGCAAGCAAATGTCTCCTTTGAAACACAGGCAAAGGCATATGCTCTCCTATATGAACGGCAGGCTTTATAGATTGATATGGAACCGCACAGTCAACCATCAAGGCAGAGAAGACACCAATCATCCCATCGACCTTGACTTGGAGCATTGCAACAGGGCTTTCAAAGATGAAGTACACACATACAAGGGGAGGTACACAGATAAAAGACGATTCTCAAAGTCAGCAGAAGTGCGCTGTCAATGGAAGAATTATGCCAAAAATACGACAAATTGGCATTCCGCAAGAAATGTTCGGGAAGGCATGGAGTTGTTGATCCTTCTTGGTGATATTCTTAAACTTGTAGAACAATTCCATTCCTATGCAGCTCTATTCAATGAGGCCAACAAGCCACTGCCACAGAGAATTCAAGAACATGCTGAGTGACATCCAAAATTGGATTTCAGAAAGTCTTAAAGTCTTCAGTAGCCGCACATACTATAACATCTGAACCTTTTTTCCCGATGTGTAATTCAGTGTCACATGATTAAAACGAGACCCTGTTGCAAAGTCGCTATCACTGTATGTTTCATGATCTTCATGTTCTGAGTCTGAGTGAGATGATGAGCTATCACTCGAGTCAAGGGAAGTTTTGTACAACTCAAGAATATCACATCTACATTCACTACATGGGGTATTGCATGTCCATGAGTCTCTGCAGTCACAGAGACACTTGCAAGATATGGCACAGTTGTCCATAGCACTCATGACTTCAGTAAGCTCAACTCGTCGACATACGTTGGTTCTGACATACTGTTTCATTTCATCCGAAATATTCCGCCTGCCACTGAGACATTGTCTAAATTTCATGAGAAGAGCATGTGCCTGCTTTTCTGGATCCCTGCCTGCTCCGTCCTTGTCTCTTGAATATAATCCTCAACATTATTGGCTGGACCATAGTGGATGACGGTTTCCACACTTTGTAAGTCCCAAGCTGAATGGTGTTGAGCAATGGACTATCAAGGGACTATCATCCTCTTGAAACCATTTGGATCCATGAAGGACTCTGACACACTTCCCTGTTTTCCTTCTCATTCATACATATTCTGTATGTTGTTATGCATGATTGATGTTGAACTTTAATTGAAACTTTAGCTTGAAAATTGGCCGATTTCTTTTATGAAATTTAACTCCTTATAAGAATAAGATCAACATATGCAAAAACAATTGTTGTTAGATGATTATTTTTTTGTAACTGATCAACAAGATCAACTTTAGTGTTTTAGTGTTTTAACTTAGCTAATGTAATGTAATACAGTGGATGTATGCATTCCTTTTTCATAAGGGCATTAACATATATTACATAATGCCTCTACCTGGGACTGCGGCCAAACTTACAAAATTAACCCTTGTTTGAGAGTAACAAGTATCAAGTTCATGATGATTGTAGAAGTGATTGTATGTATTCATAAATGTGACACATGCACATTTTGAAATGTTAATATTTGTGCTTTAACTTTGATTTGATGAATATCAAATTAGATATTGTATACACTTTATAGCTACTTGTGATCAGTGCACATTTTTATACCTTTAGATTGTGCAGTTTCATAGTGGTTAATAAGAATATTTTGTGAATTTATACTTGTTTTATCACAAAACATGTGAATGAGTGAATGTCGTCTCATACTGCAGTCAGCAATATTGCAGCCATATGAAGGCAGCCTGTAAACCAGTAATTGATACGCACACCATCCTAGTACATAAAACATTCGCTCTCCATGCCTATTTATGGTGTCCCCGTCGTGATTTTGCTGGGATATTGCCAAAAGATGCGTAAATCCATGCTCTCTCAATTCAACATGCCATGCCTTGACAGACAAAACGAAATACAAAATATAACATTTATACTTACAATTTTGCAATGCAGTGTGCTTCATCAATGAAAATTGCCATCAAAATCTTCTCTTTAGTCAGGCTGTGTTCCAAGAACTGTCTCTGGACTTGCAAATATTATTATGTCAGTGTCAGGGTGAAAAAACCATCACAGTAGCATGGTTGGAGTTATTAAGTTTCTTAAACACGAATGGTGCTAATTCAAAAGTAAGTGATTTTCCTGATCCTGTTGGAGAAAAAAAAGGACATCCTTTCCTCTGAGGTAACTTACAAATACTTGTCTTTGATGATTCCTGAAGTGATCAATTATGTAACTGCATTACCTTCCATACCAACAGTTATACATGTAGTTAAGTTAAATAGAGGGCGTATATACTTAAAACACAACATCAATCCTTTGTTCCGTTCAGCAGTGTGTCAGATTCGTGATGGCTAGCTTGAGGTGGCTAGACTTGCTTTTTGTATGCATTACTAGATTATTTTTTTAAATGAAATAAATATGTTCCACGGTCATTGGTGCAGGACTAATTGTGTATATCACCTGAATTTTGGTCAATACCTGAAATACTCAGTCGCCAATACAGCCCCTATTTCATATAAGGTTATGAAAATACATGTCGGTTGGAGCCTGAAGCCTGAAGTAGAATTTAGGTTATTACACGGATGATATACATGTAAGGCCGAAAATTGATGAACTTCTTTATTATGAAGAACACAATGTTTGGGACTAATATCATTAGTTGAAGGAGTAAGTATTACACCCAAACGTTCTGTTCCACACAATGCGTTTCACTTCTGAATGTTTTTCTAAGAGTTGATACATACACTTGCCTTGTATATATGGTTGATGCACGTCGAGTGTCTCAGAAACGCGGGATCTGCAGGTATTAGAGCTGAATACAGTTGTGATTTGACGAATTCTTTTTCTTCTGACTCTTCCTCTTATTTCGTTTTTCAGCTTAGCATTGTGTATACACAACGTAATTAACGGATTCTGACATCAGCCACATATCTCGGACCACCCCACGAGTCTCTCTTAACCGTTCAATTAACGTTCCGCTTGGTGTTGCCACACCTGTCCGCCATCTGCTGTTGAGATACTGTAACGGTTCTCGTCTGAAAAGAGGACTTCTCCCACTGCTGGTGCTGTGCTACCCACTGAAGACGGTCCAGGAAACAAAGAAGAAGACTGAAAGGGTATGATTTCTATTTACTTACTTCTTTTGTTAGTAAATAAGCGGCCTTCAAAAGCGACTATGCTTGTCGTAAGAGGAGACTAACGGGTGGTCAGACTAGCTTGACTTGGTTGATACATGCCATCGTATCCCAATTGTGTGGATTGAGTGTGGCGATAAATAACAAAAAACAAACAAACAGTTGTCTCAGATTATTTATATTTAAAAACATGTATATATTTGTTAAAGGTATGTTTCTATTTATACTGCTCACACAAAGTAGGGGATATTGAAAAGTTACGATGAAAAGCTTCAGAATTATGTTTAATTTTCATTGGGAAACAATAATAATGTGGAAATAAGGATGTTAAGAAACAGTTTTGAAAGTAATGACTTTGATCAAGCTGCAATTTCATTTTGTCGACACTGGAAAGTTCATGAGGGGTAGAAACCCAAAAGTTGTGCTTCTATGCTTTCTTCTGGCTTGGATCATCCCAATTGCTCTCAATCTTTCGTCTTCTCGTAAACCTTCGCATTGTGGAAAGTGGTGAAGTGATGGATGAACTTGGTCCAAGACCCATGTTAACACCCATTTTTGCCCGTGAGGCACGTGGATTTTGTCATTTGCACGTGTGACACAAGATGTGATTTCTCATCCCCACCCCCTGGTACGTTTGAGTGCAATTTTCCTGGATGCAAGGGCATCTGGTGGGTCATTGTGAGGCTTGCTCAGACGGACCTATGCTTTTCCTCAATCATACACAAATGTTTTGTAGGCCTCTATATTACTGTCTTTGTGCCATTGATTTTAATTTCAATATACCCTACTTTTTGTGAGCAGTTTATATCCTACACATATGAAAAGATTAATGAAAGATTGTTTCTGAAACTTATACAGTGGAAATTTATTTCAGATACCACTGGGAGTGCTTCAGTGAGGACCTCAGTGACCGTTCTCCATCACAGTAGGTGCTCAGCGGAGGGGACTACCTCACCCTTGAGAGGCAGAAACAAGCCAATCATGCACTTACGAGATGGACCTACACCAAGTTCCAGATTACAAGGACTTGTTCCAAAGATGGAAGAGTTCCATAACGAAGCTGAATTTCTAAAGGTATATGTAATTAACTGCATTTTCTGTAATTGCGATTTAACAAAAGAAGGACAGTTATTGTGTGGTTTGTAAATTGGTTTATTGTTTTGTTGCAAAAGTAACGGATTAGTCTTTGTGTAATACCTGACTACCTGAAGATATTTCTTTTTCAGGTTATATGGAAACACTTGTACTCGTCCTCCTCTAACAAGTCTGTTTGGCACTCTGCATGCTGCAAAGGAGCACAATAAATGCGGTGAATGTTACTCAGGATCCTCATGACAACTTTTACCCATGCTCTGAATTCATGGACAAGGTCACCACCGCCTACATCGTAACTGGGGGACTACATTACTTCCAAATGGAACACCTCACTTCTGTCCCAACGTCAAGTTACATGGGTGCTGTTGGCAATCCATATAAAATGATTGATTATTTTCTAGGTCATGCAGCAAAACAGTTTGTAGACAAGCACGTCTTACCGGAGGTTCCTCAACAGCCAGGTCATGGTCTCCAAATCAAACACACTAGCCTGCAGGTACTGTGGAAAACTGTACCAGAGACCAAAAGCTCTCCGCAAACACGAAGCATCCGGAATATAATGCTGAAAACAATCAGGATTCCACATCTTCAGCAGAATCAAGATCATCTATTTATCAGTACACCCGTCTGTCTCTCATGCTTGGGCTTCTTCGAATAAATCACAACGATTCCATTCACATGGGAGATGGTGGCAGGCATGATGAGACTAGTAAAGTGGTTCTGTTTATACTACAAGGCAAGCAAATGTCCAAAGTATGCATATGGTCTCCTTTGAAACACAGGCAAAGGCATATGCTCTCCTATATGAACGGCAGGCTTTATAGATTGATATGGAACCGCACAGTCAACCATCAAGGCAGAGAAGACACCAATCATCCCATCGACCTTGACTTGGAGCATTGCAACAGGGCTTTCAAAGATGATGTACACACATACAAGGGGAGGTACACAGATAAAAGACGATTCTCAAAGTCAGCAGAAGTGCGCTGTCAATGGAAGAATTATGCCAAAAATACGACAAATTGGCATTCCGCAAGAAAAGTTCGGGAAGGCATGGAGTTGTTGATCCTTCTTGGTGATATTCTTAAACTTGTAGAACAATTCCATTCCTATGCAGCTCTATTCAATGAGGCCAACAAGCCACTGCCACAGAGAAAATCAAAAACATGCTGAGTGACATCCAAAATTGGATTTCAGAAAGTCTTAAAGTCTTCAGTAGCCGCACATACTATAACATCTGAACCTTTTTTCCCGATGTGTAATTCAGTGTCACATGATTAAAACGAGACCCTGTTGCAAAGTCGCTATCACTGTATGTTTCATGATCTTCATGTTCTGAGTCTGAGTGAGATGATGAGCTATCACTCGAGTCAAGGGAAGTTTTGTACAACTCAAGAATATCACATCTACATTCACTACATGGGGTAATTGCATGTCCATGAGTCTCTGCAGTCACAGAGACACTTGCAAGATATGGCACAGTTGTCCATAGCACTCATGATTTCAGTAAAGCTCAACTCGTCGACATACGTTGGTTCTGACATACTGTTTCATTTCATCCGAAATATTCCGCCTGCCACTGAGACATTGTCTAAATTTCATGAGAAGAGCATGTGCCTGCTTTTCTGGATCCCTGCCTGCTCCGTCCTTGTCTCTTGAATATAATCCTCAACATTATTGGCTGGACCATAGTGGATGACGGTTTCCACACTTTGTAAGTCCCAAGCTGAATGGTGTTGAGCAATGGACTATCAAGGGACTATCATCCTCTTGAAACCATTTGGATCCATGAAGGACTCTGACACACTTCCCTGTTTTCCTTCTCATTCATACATATTCTGTATGTTGTTATGCATGATTGATGTTGAACTTTAATTGAAACTTTAGCTTGAAAATTGGCCGATTTCTTTTATGAAATTTAACTCCTATTATAAGAATAAGATCAACATATGCAAAAACAATTGTTGTTAGATGATTATTTTTTTGTAACTGATCAACAAGATCAACTTTAGTGTTTTAGTGTTTTAACTTAGCTAATGTAATGTAATACAGTGGATGTATGCATTCCTTTTTCATAAGGGCATGAACATATATTACATAATGCCTCTACCTGGGACTGCGGCCAAACTTACAAAATTAACCCTTGTTTGAGAGTAACAAGTATCAAGTTCATGATGATTGTAGAAGTGATTGTATGTATTCATAAATGTGACACATGCACATTTTGAAATGTTAATATTTGTGCTTTAACTTTGATTTGATGAATATCAAATTAGATATTGTATACACTTTATAGCTACTTGTGATCAGTGCACATTTTTATACCTTTAGATTGTGCAGTTTCATAGTGGTTAGTAAGAATATTTTGTGAATTTATACTTGTTTTATCACAAAACATGTGAATGAGTGAATGTCGTCTCATACTGCAGTCAGCAATATTGCAGCCATATGAAGGCAGCCTGTAAACCAGCAATTGATACGCACACCATCCTAGTACATAAAACATTCGCTCTCCATGCCCATTTATGGTGTCCCCGTCGTGATTTTGCTGGGATATTGCCAAAAGATGCGTAAATCCCTGCTCTCTCAAGTCAACATGCCATGCCTTGACAGACAAAACGAAATACAAAATATAACATTTATACTTACAATTTTGCAATGCAGTGTGCTTCATCAATGAAAATTGCCATCAAAATCTTCTCTTTAGTCAGGCTGTGTTCCAAGAACTGTCTCTGGACTTGCAAATATTATTATGTCAGTGTCAGGGTGAAAAAACCATCACAGTAGCATGGTTGGAGTTATTAAGTTTCTTAAACACGAATGGTGCTAATTCAAAAGTAAGTGATTTTCCTGATCCTGTTGGAGAAAAAAAAGGACATCCTTTCCTCTGAGGTAACTTACAATCACTTGTCTTTGATGATTCCTGAGGTGATCAATTATGTAACTGCATTACCTTCCATACCAACAGTTATACATGTAGTTAAGTTAAATAGAGGGCGTATATACTTAAAACACAACATCAATCCTTTGTTCCGTTCAGCAGTGTGTCAGATTCGTGATGGCTAGCTTGAGGTGGCTAGACTTGCTTTTTGTATGCATTACTAGATTATTTTTTTAAATGAAATAAATATGTTCCACGGTCATTGGTGCAGGACTAATTGTGTATATCACCTGAATTTTGGTCAATACCTGAAATACTCAGTCGCCAATACAGCCCCTATTTCATATAAGGTTATGAAAATACATGTCGGTTGGAGCCTGAAGCCTGAAGTAGAATTTAGGTTATTACACGGATGATATACATGTAAGGCCGAAAATTGATGAACTTCTTTATTATGAAGAACACAATGTTTGGGACTAATATCATTAGTTGAAGGAGTAAGTATTACACCCAAACGTTCTGTTCCACACAATGCGTTTCACTTCTGAATGTTTTTCTAAGAGTTGATACATACACTTGCCTTGTATATATGGTTGATGCACGTCGAGTGTCTCAGAAACGCGGGATCTGCAGGTATTAGAGCTGAATACAGTTGTGATTTGACGAATTCTTTTTCTTCTGACTCTTCCTCTTATTTCGTTTTTCAGCTTAGCATTGTGTATACACAACGTAATTAACGGATTCTGACATCAGCCACATATCTCGGACCACCCCACGAGTCTCTCTTAACCGTTCAATTAACGTTCCGCTTGGTGTTGCCACACCTGTCCGCCATCTGCTGTTGAGATACTGTAACGGTTCTCGTCTGAAAAGAGGACTTCTCCCACTGCTGGTGCTGTGCTACCCACTGAAGACGGTCCAGGAAACAAAGAAGAAGACTGAAAGGGTATGATTTCTATTTACTTACTTCTTTTGTTAGTAAATAAGCGGCCTTCAAAAGCGACTATGCTTGTCGTAAGAGGAGACTAACGGGTGGTCAGACTAGCTTGACTTGGTTGATACATGCCATCGTATCCCAATTGTGTGGATTGAGTGTGGCGATAAATAACAAAAAACAAACAAACAGTTGTCTCAGATTATTTATATTTAAAAACATGTATATATTTGTTAAAAGTATGTTTCTATTTATACTGCTCACACAAAGTAGGGGATATTGAAAAGTTACGACGAAAAGCTTCAGAATTATGTTTAATTTTCATTGGGAAACAATAATAATGTGGAAATAAGGATGTTAAGAAACAGTTTTGAAAGTAATGACTTTGATCAAGCTGCAATTTCATTTTGTCGACACTGGAAAGTTCATGAGGGGTAGAAACCCAAAAGTTGTGCTTCTATGCTTTCTTCTGGCTTGGATCATCCCAATTGCTCTCAATCTTTCGTCTTCTCGTAAACCTTCGCATTGTGGAAAGTGGTGAAGTGATGGATGAACTTGGTCCAAGACCCATGTTAACACCCATTTTTGCCCGTGAGGCACGTGGATTTTGTCATTTGCACGTGTGACACAAGATGTGATTTCTCATCCCCACCCCCTGGTACGTTTGAGTGCAATTTTCCTGGATGCAAGGGCATCTGGTGGGTCATTGTGAGGCTTGCTCAGACGGACCTATGCTTTTCCTCAATCATACACAAATGTTTTGTAGGCCTCTATATTACTGTCTTTGTGCCATTGATTTTAATTTCAATATACCCTACTTTTTGTGAGCAGTTTATATCCTACACATATGAAAAGATTAATGAAAGATTGTTTCTGAAACTTATACAGTGGAAATTTATTTCAGATACCACTGGGAGTGCTTCAGTGAGGACCTCAGTGACCGTTCTCCATCACAGTAGGTGCTCAGCGGAGGGGACTACCTCACCCTTGAGAGGCAGAAACAAGCCAATCATGCACTTACGAGATGGACCTACACCAAGTTCCAGATTACAAGGACTTGTTCCAAAGATGGAAGAGTTCCATAACGAAGCTGAATTTCTAAAGGTATATGTAATTAACTGCATTTTCTGTAATTGCGATTTAACAAAAGAAGGACAGTTATTGTGTGGTTTGTAAATTGGTTTATTGTTTTGTTGCAAAAGTAACGGATTAGTCTTTGTGTAATACCTGACTACCTGAAGATATTTCTTATTCAGGTTATATGGAAACACTTGTACTCGTCCTCCTCTAACAAGTCTGTTTGGCACTCTGCATGCTGCAAAGGAGCACAATAAATGCGGTGAATGTTACTCAGGATCCTCATGACAACTTTTACCCATGCTCTGAATTCATGGACAAGGTCACCACCGCCTACATCGTAACTGGGGGACTACATTACTTCCAAATGGAACACCTCACTTCTGTCCCAACGTCAAGTTACATGGGTGCTGTTGGCAATCCATATAAAATGATTGATTATTTTCTAGGTCATGCAGCAAAACAGTTTGTAGACAAGCACGTCTTACCGGAGGTTCCTCAACAGCCAGGTCATGGTCTCCAAATCAAACACACTAGCCTGCAGGTACTGTGGAAAACTGTACCAGAGACCAAAAGCTCTCCGCAAACACGAAGCATCCGGAATATAATGCTGAAAACAATCAGGATTCCACATCTTCAGCAGAATCAAGATCATCTATTTATCAGTACACCCGTCTGTCGCTCATGCTTGGGCTTCTTCGAATAAATCACAACGATTCCATTCACATGGGAGATGGTGGCAGGCATGATGAGACTAGTAAAGTGGTTCTGTTTATAAGGCAAGCAAATGTCTCCTTTGAAACACAGGCAAAGGCATATGCTCTCCTATATGAACGGCAGGCTTTATAGATTGATATGGAACCGCACAGTCAACCATCAAGGCAGAGAAGACACCAATCATCCCATCGACCTTGACTTGGAGCATTGCAACAGGGCTTTCAAAGATGATGTACACACATACAAGGGGAGGTACACAGATAAAAGACGATTCTCAAAGTCAGCAGAAGTGCGCTGTCAATGGAAGAATTATGCCAAAAATACGACAAATTGGCATTCCGCAAGAAAAGTTCGGGAAGGCATGGAGTTGTTGATCCTTCTTGGTGATATTCTTAAACTTGTAGAACAATTCCATTCCTATGCAGCTCTATTCAATGAGGCCAACAAGCCACTGCCACAGAGAATTCAAGAACATGCTGAGTGACATCCAAAATTGGATTTCAGAAAGTCTTAAAGTCTTCAGTAGCCGCACATACTATAACATCTGAACCTTTTTTCCCGATGTGTAATTCAGTGTCACATGATTAAAACGAGACCCTGTTGCAAAGTCGCTATCACTGTATGTTTCATGATCTTCATGTTCTGAGTCTGAGTGAGATGATGAGCTATCACTCGAGTCAAGGGAAGTTTTGTACAACTCAAGAATATCACATCTACATTCATTACATGGGGTATTGCATGTCCATGAGTCTCTGCAGTCACAGAGACACTTGCAAGATATGGCACAGTTGTCCATAGCACTCATGACTTCAGTAAGCTCAACTCGTCGACATACGTTGGTTCTGACATACTGTTTCATTTCATCCGGAATATTCCGCCTGCCACTGAGACATTGTCTAAATTTCATGAGAAGAGCATGTGCCTGCTTTTCTGGATCCCTGCCTGCTCCGTCCTTGTCTCTTGAATATAATCCTCAACATTATTGGCTGGACCATAGTGGATGACGGTTTCCACACTTTGTAAGTCCCAAGCTGAATGGTGTTGAGCAATGGACTATCAAGGGACTATCATCCTCTTGAAACCATTTGGATCCATGAAGGACTCTGACACACTTCCCTGTTTTCCTTCTCATTCATACATATTCTGTATGTTGTTATGCATGATTGATGTTGAACTTTAATTGAAACTTTAGCTTGAAAATTGGCCGATTTCTTTTATGAAATTTAACTCCTATTATAAGAATAAGATCAACATATGCAAAAACAATTGTTGTTAGATGATTATTTTTTTGTAACTGATCAACAAGATCAACTTTAGTGTTTTAGTGTTTTAACTTAGCTAATGTAATGTAATACAGTGGATGTATGCATTCCTTTTTCATAAGGGCATGAACATATATTACATAATGCCTCTACCTGGGACTGCGGCCAAACTTACAAAATTAACCCTTGTTTGAGAGTAACAAGTATCAAGTTCATGATGATTGTAGAAGTGATTGTATGTATTCATAAATGTGACACATGCACATTTTGAAATGTTAATATTTGTGCTTTAACTTTGATTTGATGAATATCAAATTAGATATTGTATACACTTTATAGCTACTTGTGATCAGTGCACATTTTTATACCTTTAGATTGTGCAGTTTCATAGTGGTTAGTAAGAATATTTTGTGAATTTATACTTGTTTTATCACAAAACATGTGAATGAGTGAATGTCGTCTCATACTGCAGTCAGCAATATTGCAGCCATATGAAGGCAGCCTGTAAACCAGTAATTGATACGCACACCATCCTAGTACATAAAACATTCGCTCTCCATGCCTATTTATGGTGTCCCCGTCGTGATTTTGCTGGGATATTGCCAAAAGATGCGTAAATCCATGCTCTCTCAATTCAACATGCCATGCCTTGACAGACAAAACGAAATACAAAATATAACATTTATACTTACAATTTTGCAATGCAGTGTGCTTCATCAATGAAAATTGCCATCAAAATCTTCTCTTTAGTCAGGCTGTGTTCCAAGAACTGTCTCTGGACTTGCAAATATTATTATGTCAGTGTCAGGGTGAAAAAACCGTCACAGTAGTAGCATGGTTGGAGTTATTAAGTTTCTTAAACACGAATGGTGCTAATTCAAAAGTAAGTGATTTTCCTGATCCTGTTGGAGAAAAAAAAGGACATCCTTTCCTCTGAGGTAACTTACAATCACTTGTCTTTGATGATTCCTGAAGTGATCAATTATGTAACTGCATTACCTTCCATACCAACAGTTATACATGTAGTTAAGTTAAATAGAGGGCGTATATACTTAAAACACAACATCAATCCTTTGTTCCGTTCAGCAGTGTGTCAGATTCGTGATGGCTAGCTTGAGGTGGCTAGACTTGCTTTTTGTATGCATTACTAGATTATTTTTTTAAATGAAATAAATATATTCCACGGTCATTGGTGCAGGACTAATTGTGTATATCACCTGAATTTTGGTCAATACCTGAAATACTCAGTCGCCAATACAGCCCCTATTTCATATAAGGTTATGAAAATACATGTCGGTTGGAGCCTGAAGCCTGAAGTAGAATTTAGGTTATTACACGGATGATATACATGTAAGGCCGAAAATTGATGAACTTCTTTATTATGAAGAACACAATGTTTGGGACTAATATCATTAGTTGAAGGAGTAAGTATTACACCCAAACGTTCTGTTCCACACAATGCGTTTCACTTCTGAATGTTTTTCTAAGAGTTGATACATACACTTGCCTTGTATATATGGTTGATGCACGTCGAGTGTCTCAGAAACGCGGGATCTGCAGGTATTAGAGCTGAATACAGTTGTGATTTGACGAATTCTTTTTCTTTTGACTCTTCCTCTTATTTCGTTTTTCAGCTTAGCATTGTGTATACACAACGTAATTAACGGATTCTGACATCAGCCACATATCTCGGACCACCCCACGAGTCTCTCTTAACCGTTCAATTAACGTTCCGCTTGGTGTTGCCACACCTGTCCGCCATCTGCTGTTGAGATACTGTAACAGTTCTCGTCTGAAAAGAGGACTTCTCCCACTGCTGGTGCTGTGCTACCCACTGAAGACGGTCCAGGAAACAAAGAAGAAGACTGAAAGGGTATGATTTCTATTTACTTACTTCTTTTGTTAGTAAATAAGCGGCCTTCAAAAGCGACTATGCTTGTCGTAAGAGGAGACTAACGGGTGGTCAGACTAGCTTGACTTGGTTGATACATGCCATCGTATCCCAATTGTGTGGATTGAGTGTGGCGATAAATAACAAAAAACAAACAAACAGTTGTCTCAGATTATTTATATTTAAAAACATGTATATATTTGTTAAAAGTATGTTTCTATTTATACTGCTCACACAAAGTAGGGGATATTGAAAAGTTACGACGAAAAGCTTCAGAATTATGTTTAATTTTCATTGGGAAACAATAATAATGTGGAAATAAGGATGTTAAGAAACAGTTTTGAAAGTAATGACTTTGATCAAGCTGCAATTTCATTTTGTCGACACTGGAAAATTCATGAGGGGTAGAAACCCAAAAGTTGTGCTTCTATGCTTTCTTCCGGCTTGGATCATCCCAATTGCTCTCAATCTTTCGTCTTCTCGTAACCTTCGCATTGTGGAAAGTGGTGAAGTGATGGATGAACTTGGTCCAAGACCCATGTTTAACACCCATTTTTGCCCGTGAGGCACGTGGATTTTGTCATTTGCACGTGTGACACAAGATGTGATTTCTCATCCCCACCCCCTGGTACGTTTGAGTGCAATCTTCCTGGATGCAAGGGCATCTGGTGGGTCATTGTGAGGCTTGCTCAGACGGACCTATGCTTTTCCTCAATCATACACAAATGTTTTGTAGGCCTCTATATTACTGTCTTTGTGCCATTGATTTTAATTTCAATATACCCTACTTTTTGTGAGCAGTTTATATCCTACACATATGAAAAGATTAATGAAAGATTGTTTCTGAAACTTATACAGTGGAAATTTATTTCAGATACCACTGGGAGTGCTTCAGTGAGGACCTCAGTGACCGTTCTCCATCACAGTAGGTGCTCAGCGGAGGGGACTACCTCACCCTTGAGAGGCAGAAACAAGCCAATCATGCACTTACGAGATGGACCTACACCAAGTTCCAGATTACAAGGACTTGTTCCAAAGATGGAAGAGTTCCATAACGAAGCTGAATTTCTAAAGGTATATGTAATTAACTGCATTTTCTGTAATTGCGATTTAACAAAAGAAGGACAGTTATTGTGTGGTTTGTAAATTGGTTTATTGTTTTGTTGCAAAAGTAACGGATTAGTCTTTGTGTAATACCTGACTACCTGAAGATATTTCTTATTCAGGTTATATGGAAACACTTGTACTCGTCCTCCTCTAACAAGTCTGTTTGGCACTCTGCATGCTGCAAAGGAGCACAATAAATGCGGTGAATGTTACTCAGGATCCTCATGACAACTTTTACCCATGCTCTGAATTCATGGACAAGGTCACCACCGCCTACATCGTAACTGGGGGACTACATTACTTCCAAATGGAACACCTCACTTCTGTCCCAACGTCAAGTTACATGGGTGCTGTTGGCAATCCATATAAAATGATTGATTATTTTCTAGGTCATGCAGCAAAACAGTTTGTAGACAAGCACGTCTTACCGGAGGTTCCTCAACAGCCAGGTCATGGTCTCCAAATCAAACACACTAGCCTGCAGGTACTGTGGAAAACTGTACCAGAGACCAAAAGCTCTCCGCAAACACGAAGCATCCGGAATATAATGCTGAAAACAATCAGGATTCCACATCTTCAGCAGAATCAAGATCATCTATTTATCAGTACACCCGTCTGTCGCTCATGCTTGGGCTTCTTCGAATAAATCACAACGATTCCATTCACATGGGAGATGGTGGCAGGCATGATGAGACTAGTAAAGTGGTTCTGTTTATAAGGCAAGCAAATGTCTCCTTTGAAACACAGGCAAAGGCATATGCTCTCCTATATGAACGGCAGGCTTTATAGATTGATATGGAACCGCACAGTCAACCATCAAGGCAGAGAAGACACCAATCATCCCATCGACCTTGACTTGGAGCATTGCAACAGGGCTTTCAAAGATGATGTACACACATACAAGGGGAGGTACACAGATAAAAGACGATTCTCAAAGTCAGCAGAAGTGCGCTGTCAATGGAAGAATTATGCCAAAAATACGACAAATTGGCATTCCGCAAGAAAAGTTCGGGAAGGCATGGAGTTGTTGATCCTTCTTGGTGATATTCTTAAACTTGTAGAACAATTCCATTCCTATGCAGCTCTATTCAATGAGGCCAACAAGCCACTGCCACAGAGAATTCAAGAACATGCTGAGTGACATCCAAAATTGGATTTCAGAAAGTCTTAAAGTCTTCAGTAGCCGCACATACTATAACATCTGAACCTTTTTTCCCGATGTGTAATTCAGTGTCACATGATTAAAACGAGACCCTGTTGCAAAGTCGCTATCACTGTATGTTTCATGATCTTCATGTTCTGAGTCTGAGTGAGATGATGAGCTATCACTCGAGTCAAGGGAAGTTTTGTACAACTCAAGAATATCACATCTACATTCATTACATGGGGTATTGCATGTCCATGAGTCTCTGCAGTCACAGAGACACTTGCAAGATATGGCACAGTTGTCCATAGCACTCATGACTTCAGTAAGCTCAACTCGTCGACATACGTTGGTTCTGACATACTGTTTCATTTCATCCGAAATATTCCGCCTGCCACTGAGACATTGTCTAAATTTCATGAGAAGAGCATGTGCCTGCTTTTCTGGATCCCTGCCTGCTCCGTCCTTGTCTCTTGAATATAATCCTCAACATTATTGGCTGGACCATAGTGGATGACGGTTTCCACACTTTGTAAGTCCCAAGCTGAATGGTGTTGAGCAATGGACTATCAAGGGACTATCATCCTCTTGAAACCATTTGGATCCATGAAGGACTCTGACACACTTCCCTGTTTTCCTTCTCATTCATACATATTCTGTATGTTGTTATGCATGATTGATGTTGAACTTTAATTGAAACTTTAGCTTGAAAATTGGCCGATTTCTTTTATGAAATTTAACTCCTATTATAAGAATAAGATCAACATATGCAAAAACAATTGTTGTTAGATGATTATTTTTTTGTAACTGATCAACAAGATCAACTTTAGTGTTTTAGTGTTTTAACTTAGCTAATGTAATGTAATACAGTGGATGTATGCATTCCTTTTTCATAAGGGCATGAACATATATTACATAATGCCTCTACCTGGGACTGCGGCCAAACTTACAAAATTAACCCTTGTTTGAGAGTAACAAGTATCAAGTTCATGATGATTGTAGAAGTGATTGTATGTATTCATAAATGTGACACATGCACATTTTGAAATGTTAATATTTGTGCTTTAACTTTGATTTGATGAATATCAAATTAGATATTGTATACACTTTATAGCTACTTGTGATCAGTGCACATTTTTATACCTTTAGATTGTGCAGTTTCATAGTGGTTAGTAAGAATATTTTGTGAATTTATACTTGTTTTATCACAAAACATGTGAATGAGTGAATGTCGTCTCATACTGCAGTCAGCAATATTGCAGCCATATGAAGGCAGCCTGTAAACCAGTAATTGATACGCACACCATCCTAGTACATAAAACATTCGCTCTCCATGCCTATTTATGGTGTCCCCGTCGTGATTTTGCTGGGATATTGCCAAAAGATGCGTAAATCCATGCTCTCTCAATTCAACATGCCATGCCTTGACAGACAAAACGAAATACAAAATATAACATTTATACTTACAATTTTGCAATGCAGTGTGCTTCATCAATGAAAATTGCCATCAAAATCTTCTCTTTAGTCAGGCTGTGTTCCAAGAACTGTCTCTGGACTTGCAAATATTATTATGTCAGTGTCAGGGTGAAAAAACCGTCACAGTAGTAGCATGGTTGGAGTTATTAAGTTTCTTAAACACGAATGGTGCTAATTCAAAAGTAAGTGATTTTCCTGATCCTGTTGGAGAAAAAAAAGGACATCCTTTCCTCTGAGGTAACTTACAATCACTTGTCTTTGATGATTCCTGAAGTGATCAATTATGTAACTGCATTACCTTCCATACCAACAGTTATACATGTAGTTAAGTTAAATAGAGGGCGTATATACTTAAAACACAACATCAATCCTTTGTTCCGTTCAGCAGTGTGTCAGATTCGTGATGGCTAGCTTGAGGTGGCTAGACTTGCTTTTTGTATGCATTACTAGATTATTTTTTTAAATGAAATAAATATATTCCACGGTCATTGGTGCAGGACTAATTGTGTATATCACCTGAATTTTGGTCAATACCTGAAATACTCAGTCGCCAATACAGCCCCTATTTCATATAAGGTTATGAAAATACATGTCGGTTGGAGCCTGAAGCCTGAAGTAGAATTTAGGTTATTACACGGATGATATACATGTAAGGCCGAAAATTGATGAACTTCTTTATTATGAAGAACACAATGTTTGGGACTAATATCATTAGTTGAAGGAGTAAGTATTACACCCAAACGTTCTGTTCCACACAATGCGTTTCACTTCTGAATGTTTTTCTAAGAGTTGATACATACACTTGCCTTGTATATATGGTTGATGCACGTCGAGTGTCTCAGAAACGCGGGATCTGCAGGTATTAGAGCTGAATACAGTTGTGATTTGACGAATTCTTTTTCTTTTGACTCTTCCTCTTATTTCGTTTTTCAGCTTAGCATTGTGTATACACAACGTAATTAACGGATTCTGACATCAGCCACATATCTCGGACCACCCCACGAGTCTCTCTTAACCGTTCAATTAACGTTCCGCTTGGTGTTGCCACACCTGTCCGCCATCTGCTGTTGAGATACTGTAACGGTTCTCGTCTGAAAAGAGGACTTCTCCCACTGCTGGTGCTGTGCTACCCACTGAAGACGGTCCAGGAAACAAAGAAGAAGACTGAAAGGGTATGATTTCTATTTACTTACTTCTTTTGTTAGTAAATAAGCGGCCTTCAAAAGCGACTATGCTTGTCGTAAGAGGAGACTAACGGGTGGTCAGACTAGCTTGACTTGGTTGATACATGCCATCGTATCCCAATTGTGTGGATTGAGTGTGGCGATAAATAACAAAAAACAAACAAACAGTTGTCTCAGATTATTTATATTTAAAAACATGTATATATTTGTTAAAAGTATGTTTCTATTTATACTGCTCACACAAAGTAGGGGATATTGAAAAGTTACGACGAAAAGCTTCAGAATTATGTTTAATTTTCATTGGGAAACAATAATAATGTGGAAATAAGGATGTTAAGAAACAGTTTTGAAAGTAATGACTTTGATCAAGCTGCAATTTCATTTTGTCGACACTGGAAAATTCATGAGGGGTAGAAACCCAAAAGTTGTGCTTCTATGCTTTCTTCCGGCTTGGATCATCCCAATTGCTCTCAATCTTTCGTCTTCTCGTAACCTTCGCATTGTGGAAAGTGGTGAAGTGATGGATGAACTTGGTCCAAGACCCATGTTTAACACCCATTTTTGCCCGTGAGGCACGTGGATTTTGTCATTTGCACGTGTGACACAAGATGTGATTTCTCATCCCCACCCCCTGGTACGTTTGAGTGCAATTTTCCTGGATGCAAGGGCATCTGGTGGGTCATTGTGAGGCTTGCTCAGACGGACCTATGCTTTTCCTCAATCATACACAAATGTTTTGTAGGCCTCTATATTACTGTCTTTGTGCCATTGATTTTAATTTCAATATACCCTACTTTTTGTGAGCAGTTTATATCCTACACATATGAAAAGATTAATGAAAGATTGTTTCTGAAACTTATACAGTGGAAATTTATTTCAGATACCACTGGGAGTGCTTCAGTGAGGACCTCAGTGACCGTTCTCCATCACAGTAGGTGCTCAGCGGAGGGGACTACCTCACCCTTGAGAGGCAGAAACAAGCCAATCATGCACTTACGAGATGGACCTACACCAAGTTCCAGATTACAAGGACTTGTTCCAAAGATGGAAGAGTTCCATAACGAAGCTGAATTTCTAAAGGTATATGTAATTAACTGCATTTTCTGTAATTGCGATTTAACAAAAGAAGGACAGTTATTGTGTGGTTTGTAAATTGGTTTATTGTTTTGTTGCAAAAGTAACGGATTAGTCTTTGTGTAATACCTGACTACCTGAAGATATTTCTTATTCAGGTTATATGGAAACACTTGTACTCGTCCTCCTCTAACAAGTCTGTTTGGCACTCTGCATGCTGCAAAGGAGCACAATAAATGCGGTGAATGTTACTCAGGATCCTCATGACAACTTTTACCCATGCTCTGAATTCATGGACAAGGTCACCACCGCCTACATCGTAACTGGGGGACTACATTACTTCCAAATGGAACACCTCACTTCTGTCCCAACGTCAAGTTACATGGGTGCTGTTGGCAATCCATATAAAATGATTGATTATTTTCTAGGTCATGCAGCAAAACAGTTTGTAGACAAGCACGTCTTACCGGAGGTTCCTCAACAGCCAGGTCATGGTCTCCAAATCAAACACACTAGCCTGCAGGTACTGTGGAAAACTGTACCAGAGACCAAAAGCTCTCCGCAAACACGAAGCATCCGGAATATAATGCTGAAAACAATCAGGATTCCACATCTTCAGCAGAATCAAGATCATCTATTTATCAGTACACCCGTCTGTCGCTCATGCTTGGGCTTCTTCGAATAAATCACAACGATTCCATTCACATGGGAGATGGTGGCAGGCATGATGAGACTAGTAAAGTGGTTCTGTTTATAAGGCAAGCAAATGTCTCCTTTGAAACACAGGCAAAGGCATATGCTCTCCTATATGAACGGCAGGCTTTATAGATTGATATGGAAACGCACAGTCAACCATCAAGGCAGAGAAGACACCAATCATCCCATCGACCTTGACTTGGAGCATTGCAACAGGGCTTTCAAAGATGATGTACACACATACCAGGGGAGGTACACAGATAAAAGACGATTCTCAAAGTCAGCAGAAGTGCGCTGTCAATGGAAGAATTATGCCAAAAATACGACAAATTGGCATTCCGCAAGAAAAGTTCGGGAAGGCATGGAGTTGTTGATCCTTCTTGGTGATATTCTTAAACTTGTAGAACAATTCCATTCCTATGCAGCTCTATTCAATGAGGCCAACAAGCCACTGCCACAGAGAATTCAAGAACATGCTGAGTGACATCCAAAATTGGATTTCAGAAAGTCTTAAAGTCTTCAGTAGCCGCACATACTATAACATCTGAACCTTTTTTCCCGATGTGTAATTCAGTGTCATATGATTAAAACGAGACCCTGTTGCAAAGTCGCTATCACTGTATGTTTCATGATCTTCATGTTCTGAGTCTGAGTGAGATGATGAGCTATCACTCGAGTCAAGGGAAGTTTTGTACAACTCAAGAATATCACATCTACATTCATTACATGGGGTATTGCATGTCCATGAGTCTCTGCAGTCACAGAGACACTTGCAAGATATGGCACAGTTGTCCATAGCACTCATGACTTCAGTAAGCTCAACTCGTCGACATACGTTGGTTCTGACATACTGTTTCATTTCATCCGAAATATTCCGCCTGCCACTGAGACATTGTCTAAATTTCATGAGAAGAGCATGTGCCTGCTTTTCTGGATCCCTGCCTGCTCCGTCCTTGTCTCTTGAATATAATCCTCAACATTATTGGCTGGACCATAGTGGATGACGGTTTCCACACTTTGTAAGTCCCAAGCTGAATGGTGTTGAGCAATGGACTATCAAGGGACTATCATCCTCTTGAAACCATTTGGATCCATGAAGGACTCTGACACACTTCCCTGTTTTCCTTCTCATTCATACATATTCTGTATGTTGTTATGCATGATTGATGTTGAACTTTAATTGAAACTTTAGCTTGAAAATTGGCCGATTTCTTTTATGAAATTTAACTCCTATTATAAGAATAAGATCAACATATGCAAAAACAATTGTTGTTAGATGATTATTTTTTTGTAACCGATCAACAAGATCAACTTTGGTGTTTTAGTGTTTTAACTTAGCTAATGTAATGTAATACAGTGGATGTATGCATTCCTTTTTCATAAGGGCATTAACATATATTACATAATGCCTCTACCTGGGACTGCGGCCAAACTTACAAAATTAACCCTTGTTTGAGAGTAACAAGTATCAAGTTCATGATGATTGTAGAAGTGATTGTATGTATTCATAAATGTGACACATGCACATTTTGAAATGTTAATATTTGTGCTTTAACTTTGATTTGATGAATATCAAATTAGATATTGTATACACTTTATAGCTACTTGTGATCAGTGCACATTTTTATACCTTTAGATTGTGCAGTTTCATAGTGGTTAGTAAGAATATTTTGTGAATTTATACTTGTTTTATCACAAAACATGTGAATGAGTGAATGTCGTCTCATACTGCAGTCAGCAATATTGCAGCCATATGAAGGCAGCCTGTAAACCAGTAATTGATACGCACACCATCCTAGTACATAAAACATTCGCTCTCCATGCCTATTTATGGTGTCCCCGTCGTGATTTTGCTGGGATATTGCCAAAAGATGCGTAAATCCATGCTCTCTCAATTCAACATGCCATGCCTTGACAGACAAAACGAAATACAAAATATAACATTTATACTTACAATTTTGCAATGCAGTGTGCTTCATCAATGAAAATTGCCATCAAAATCTTCTCTTTAGTCAGGCTGTGTTCCAAGAACTGTCTCTGGACTTGCAAATATTATTATGTCAGTGTCAGGGTGAAAAAACCGTCACAGTAGCATGGTTGGAGTTATTAAGTTTCTTAAACACGAATGGTGCTAATTCAAAAGTAAGTGATTTTCCTGATCCTGTTGGAGAAAAAAAAGGACATCCTTTCCTCTGAGGTAACTTACAATCACTTGTCTTTGATGATTCCTGAAGTGATCAATTATGTAACTGCATTACCTTCCATACCAACAGTTATACATGTAGTTAAGTTAAATAGAGGGCGTATATACTTAAAACACAACATCAATCCTTTGTTCCGTTCAGCAGTGTGTCAGATTCGTGATGGCTAGCTTGAGGTGGCTAGACTTGCTTTTTGTATGCATTACTAGATTATTTTTTTAAATGAAATAAATATATTCCACGGTCATTGGTGCAGGACTAATTGTGTATATCACCTGAATTTTGGTCAATACCTGAAATACTCAGTCGCCAATACAGCCCCTATTTCATATAAGGTTATGAAAATACATGTCGGTTGGAGCCTGAAGCCTGAAGTAGAACTTAGGTTATTACACGGATGATATACATGTAAGGCCGAAAATTGATGAACTTCTTTATTATGAAGAACACAATGTTTGGGACTAATATCATTAGTTGAAGGAGTAAGTATTACACCCAAACGTTCTGTTCCACACAATGCGTTTCACTTCTGAATGTTTTTCTAAGAGTTGATACATACACTTGCCTTGTATATATGGTTGATGCACGTCGAGTGTCTCAGAAACGCGGGATCTGCAGGTATTAGAGCTGAATACAGTTGTGATTTGACGAATTCTTTTTCTTTTGACTCTTCCTCTTATTTCGTTTTTCAGCTTAGCATTGTGTATACACAACGTAATTAACGGATTCTGACATCAGCCACATATCTCGGACCACCCCACGAGTCTCTCTTAACCGTTCAATTAACGTTCCGCTTGGTGTTGCCACACCTGTCCGCCATCTGCTGTTGAGATACTGTAACGGTTCTCGTCTGAAAAGAGGACTTCCCCCACTGCTGGTGCTGTGCTACCCACTGAAGACGGTCCAGGAAACAAAGAAGAAGACTGAAAGGGTATGATTTCTATTTACTTACTTCTTTTGTTAGTAAATAAGCGGCCTTCAAAAGCGACTATGCTTGTCGTAAGAGGAGACTAACGGGTGGTCAGACTAGCTTGACTTGGTTGATACATGCCATCGTATCCCAATTGTGTGGATTGAGTGTGGCGATAAATAACAAAAAACAAACAAACAGTTGTCTACGATTATTTATATTTAAAAACATGTATATATTTGTTAAAAGTACGTTTCTATTTATACTGCTCACACAAAGTAGGGGATATTGAAAAGTTACGACGAAAAGCTTCAGAATTATGTTTAATTTTCATTGGGAAACAATAATAATGTGGAAATAAGGATGTTAAGAAACAGTTTTGAAAGTAATGACTTTGATCAAGCTGCAATTTCATTTTGTCGACACTGGAAAATTCATGAGGGGTAGAAACCCAAAAGTTGTGCTTCTATGCTTTCTTCCGGCTTGGATCATCCCAATTGCTCTCAATCTTTCGTCTTCTCGTAACCTTCGCATTGTGGAAAGTGGTGAAGTGATGGATGAACTTGGTCCAAGACCCATGTTTAACACCCATTTTTGCCCGTGAGGCACGTGGATTTTGTCATTTGCACGTGTGACACAAGATGTGATTTCTCATCCCCACCCCCTGGTACGTTTGAGTGCAATTTTCCTGGATGCAAGGGCATCTGGTGGGTCATTGTGAGGCTTGCTCAGACGGACCTATGCTTTTCCTCAATCATACACAAATGTTTTGTAGGCCTCTATATTACTGTCTTTGTGCCATTGATTTTAATTTCAATATACCCTACTTTTTGTGAGCAGTTTATATCCTACACATATGAAAAGATTAATGAAAGATTGTTTCTGAAACTTATACAGTGGAAATTTATTTCAGATACCACTGGGAGTGCTTCAGTGAGGACCTCAGTGACCGTTCTCCATCACAGTAGGTGCTCAGCGGAGGGGACTACCTCACCCTTGAGAGGCAGAAACAAGCCAATCATGCACTTACGAGATGGACCTACACCAAGTTCCAGATTACAAGGACTTGTTCCAAAGATGGAAGAGTTCCATAACGAAGCTGAATTTCTAAAGGTATATGTAATTAACTGCATTTTCTGTAATTGCGATTTAACAAAAGAAGGACAGTTATTGTGTGGTTTGTAAATTGGTTTATTGTTTTGTTGCAAAAGTAACGGATTAGTCTTTGTGTAATACCTGACTACCTGAAGATATTTCTTATTCAGGTTATATGGAAACACTTGTACTCGTCCTCCTCTAACAAGTCTGTTTGGCACTCTGCATGCTGCAAAGGAGCACAATAAATGCGGTGAATGTTACTCAGGATCCTCATGACAACTTTTACCCATGCTCTGAATTCATGGACAAGGTCACCACCGCCTACATCGTAACTGGGGGACTACATTACTTCCAAATGGAACACCTCACTTCTGTCCCAACGTCAAGTTACATGGGTGCTGTTGGCAATCCATATAAAATGATTGATTATTTTCTAGGTCATGCAGCAAAACAGTTTGTAGACAAGCACGTCTTACCGGAGGTTCCTCAACAGCCAGGTCATGGTCTCCAAATCAAACACACTAGCCTGCAGGTACTGTGGAAAACTGTACCAGAGACCAAAAGCTCTCCGCAAACACGAAGCATCCGGAATATAATGCTGAAAACAATCAGGATTCCACATCTTCAGCAGAATCAAGATCATCTTTTTATCAGTACACCCGTCTGTCTCTCGAATAAATCACAACGATTCCATTCACATGGGAGATGGTGGCAGGCATGATGAGACTAGTAAAGTGGTTCTGTTTATACTACAAGGCAAGCAAATGTCCAAAGTATGCATATGGTCTCCTTTGAAACACAGGCAAAGGCATATGCTCTCCTATATGAACGGCAGGCTTTATAGATTGATATGGAACCGCACAGTCAACCATCAAGGCAGAGAAGACACCAATCATCCCATCGACCTTGACTTGGAGCATTGCAACAGGGCTTTCAAAGATGATGTACACACATACAAGGGGAGGTACACAGATAAAAGACGATTCTCAAAGTCAGCAGAAGTGCGCTGTCAATGGAAGAATTATGCCAAAAATACGACAAATTGGCATTCCGCAAGAAAAGTTCGGGAAGGCATGGAGTTGTTGATCCTTCTTGGTGATATTCTTAAACTTGTAGAACAATTCCATTCCTATGCAGCTCTGTTCAATGAGGCCAACAAGCCACTGCCACAGAGAATTCAAGAACATGCTGAGTGACATCCAAAATTGGATTTCAGAAAGTCTTAAAGTCTTCAGTAGCCGCACATACTATAACATCTGAACCTTTTTTCCCGATGTGTAATTCAGTGTCACATGATTAAAACGAGACCCTGTTGCAAAGTCGCTATCACTGTATGTTTCATGATCTTCATGTTCTGAGTCTGAGTGAGATGATGAGCTATCACTCGAGTCAAGGGAAGTTTTGTACAACTCAAGAATATCACATCTACATTCATTACATGGGGTATTGCATGTCCATGAGTCTCTGCAGTCACAGAGACACTTGCAAGATATGGCACAGTTGTCCATAGCACTCATGACTTCAGTAAGCTCAACTCGTCGACATACGTTGGTTCTGACATACTGTTTCATTTCATCCGAAATATTCCGCCTGCCACTGAGACATTGTCTAAATTTCATGAGAAGAGCATGTGCCTGCTTTTCTGGATCCCTGCCTGCTCCGTCCTTGTCTCTTGAATATAATCCTCAACATTATTGGCTGGACCATAGTGGATGACGGTTTCCACACTTTGTAAGTCCCAAGCTGAATGGTGTTGAGCAATGGACTATCAAGGGACAATCATCCTCTTGAAACCATTTGGATCCATGAAGGACTCTGACACACTTCCCTGTTTTCCTTCTCATTCATACATATTCTGTATGTTGTTATGCATGATTGATGTTGAACTTTAATTGAAACTTTAGCTTGAAAATTGGCCGATTTCTTTTATGAAATTTAACTCCTATTATAAGAATAAGATCAACATATGCAAAAACAATTGTTGTTAGATGATTATTTTTTTGTAACTGATCAACAAGATCAACTTTAGTGTTTTAGTGTTTTAACTTAGCTAATGTAATGTAATACAGTGGATGTATGCATTCCTTTTTCATAAGGGCATGAACATATATTACATAATGCCTCTACCTGGGACTGCGGCCAAACTTACAAAATTAACCCTTGTTTGAGAGTAACAAGTATCAAGTTCATGATGATTGTAGAAGTGATTGTATGTATTCATAAATGTGACACATGCACATTTTGAAATGTTAATATTTGTGCTTTAACTTTGATTTGATGAATATCAAATTAGATATTGTATACACTTTATAGCTACTTGTGATCAGTGCACATTTTTATACCTTTAGATTGTGCAGTTTCATAGTGGTTAGTAAGAATATTTTGTGAATTTATACTTGTTTTATCACAAAACATGTGAATGAGTGAATGTCGTCTCATACTGCAGTCAGCAATATTGCAGCCATATGAAGGCAGCCTGTAAACCAGTAATTGATACGCACACCATCCTAGTACATAAAACATTCGCTCTCCATGCCTATTTATGGTGTCCCCGTCGTGATTTTGCTGGGATATTGCCAAAAGATGCGTAAATCCATGCTCTCTCAATTCAACATGCCATGCCTTGACAGACAAAACGAAATACAAAATATAACATTTATACTTACAATTTTGCAATGCAGTGTGCTTCATCAATGAAAATTGCCATCAAAATCTTCTCTTTAGTCAGGCTGTGTTCCAAGAACTGTCTCTGGACTTGCAAATATTATTATGTCAGTGTCAGGGTGAAAAAACCGTCACAGTAGCATGGTTGGAGTTATTAAGTTTCTTAAACACGAATGGTGCTAATTCAAAAGTAAGTGATTTTCCTGATCCTGTTGGAGAAAAAAAAGGACATCCTTTCCTCTGAGGTAACTTACAATCACTTGTCTTTGATGATTCCTGAAGTGATCAATTATGTAACTGCATTACCTTCCATACCAACAGTTATACATGTAGTTAAGTTAAATAGAGGGCGTATATACTTAAAACACAACATCAATCCTTTGTTCCGTTCAGCAGTGTGTCAGATTCGTGATGGCTAGCTTGAGGTGGCTAGACTTGCTTTTTGTATGCATTACTAGATTATTTTTTTAAATGAAATAAATATATTCCACGGTCATTGGTGCAGGACTAATTGTGTATATCACCTGAATTTTGGTCAATACCTGAAATACTCAGTCGCCAATACAGCCCCTATTTCATATAAGGTTATGAAAATACATGTCGGTTGGAGCCTGAAGCCTGAAGTAGAATTTAGGTTATTACACGGATGATATACATGTAAGGCCGAAAATTGATGAACTTCTTTATTATGAAGAACACAATGTTTGGGACTAATATCATTAGTTGAAGGAGTAAGTATTACACCCAAACGTTCTGTTCCACACAATGCGTTTCACTTCTGAATGTTTTTCTAAGAGTTGATACATACACTTGCCTTGTATATATGGTTGATGCACGTCGAGTGTCTCAGAAACGCGGGATCTGCAGGTATTAGAGCTGAATACAGTTGTGATTTGACGAATTCTTTTTCTTTTGACTCTTCCTCTTATTTCGTTTTTCAGCTTAGCATTGTGTATACACAACGTAATTAACGGATTCTGACATCAGCCACATATCTCGGACCACCCCACGAGTCTCTCTTAACCGTTCAATTAACGTTCCGCTTGGTGTTGCCACACCTGTCCGCCATCTGCTGTTGAGATACTGTAACGGTTCTCGTCTGAAAAGAGGACTTCTCCCACTGCTGGTGCTGTGCTACCCTCTGAAGACGGTCCAGGAAACAAAGAAGAAGACTGAAAGGGTATGATTTCTATTTACTTACTTCTTTTGTTAGTAAATAAGCGGCCTTCAAAAGCGACTATGCTTGTCGTAAGAGGAGACTAACGGGTGGTCAGACTAGCTTGACTTGGTTGATACATGCCATCGTATCCCAATTGTGTGGATTGAGTGTGGCGATAAATAACAAAAAACAAACAAACAGTTGTCTCAGATTATTTATATTTAAAAACATGTATATATTTGTTAAAAGTATGTTTCTATTTATACTGCTCACACAAAGTAGGGGATATTGAAAAGTTACGACGAAAAGCTTCAGAATTATGTTTAATTTTCATTGGGAAACAATAATAATGTGGAAATAAGGATGTTAAGAAACAGTTTTGAAAGTAATGACTTTGATCAAGCTGCAATTTCATTTTGTCGACACTGGAAAATTCATGAGGGGTAGAAACCCAAAAGTTGTGCTTCTATGCTTTCTTCCGGCTTGGATCATCCCAATTGCTCTCAATCTTTCGTCTTCTCGTAACCTTCGCATTGTGGAAAGTGGTGAAGTGATGGATGAACTTGGTCCAAGACCCATGTTTAACACCCATTTTTGCCCGTGAGGCACGTGGATTTTGTCATTTGCACGTGTGACACAAGATGTGATTTCTCATCCCCACCCCCTGGTACGTTTGAGTGCAATTTTCCTGGATGCAAGGGCATCTGGTGGGTCATTGTGAGGCTTGCTCAGACGGACCTATGCTTTTCCTCAATCATACACAAATGTTTTGTAGGCCTCTATATTACTGTCTTTGTGCCATTGATTTTAATTTCAATATACCCTACTTTTTGTGAGCAGTTTATATCCTACACATATGAAAAGATTAATGAAAGATTGTTTCTGAAACTTATACAGTGGAAATTTATTTCAGATACCACTGGGAGTGCTTCAGTGAGGACCTCAGTGACCGTTCTCCATCACAGTAGGTGCTCAGCGGAGGGGACTACCTCACCCTTGAGAGGCAGAAACAAGCCAATCATGCACTTACGAGATGGACCTACACCAAGTTCCAGATTACAAGGACTTGTTCCAAAGATGGAAGAGTTCCATAACGAAGCTGAATTTCTAAAGGTATATGTAATTAACTGCATTTTCTGTAATTGCGATTTAACAAAAGAAGGACAGTTATTGTGTGGTTTGTAAATTGGTTTATTGTTTTGTTGCAAAAGTAACGGATTAGTCTTTGTGTAATACCTGACTACCTGAAGATATTTCTTATTCAGGTTATATGGAAACACTTGTACTCGTCCTCCTCTAACAAGTCTGTTTGGCACTCTGCATGCTGCAAAGGAGCACAATAAATGCGGTGAATGTTACTCAGGATCCTCATGACAACTTTTACCCATGCTCTGAATTCATGGACAAGGTCACCACCGCCTACATCGTAACTGGGGGACTACATTACTTCCAAATGGAACACCTCACTTCTGTCCCAACGTCAAGTTACATGGGTGCTGTTGGCAATCCATATAAAATGATTGATTATTTTCTAGGTCATGCAGCAAAACAGTTTGTAGACAAGCACGTCTTACCGGAGGTTCCTCAACAGCCAGGTCATGGTCTCCAAATCAAACACACTAGCCTGCAGGTACTGTGGAAAACTGTACCAGAGACCAAAAGCTCTCCGCAAACACGAAGCATCCGGAATATAATGCTGAAAACAATCAGGATTCCACATCTTCAGCAGAATCAAGATCATCTATTTATCAGTACACCCGTCTGTCGCTCATGCTTGGGCTTCTTCGAATAAATCACAACGATTCCATTCACATGGGAGATGGTGGCAGGCATGATGAGACTAGTAAAGTGGTTCTGTTTATAAGGCAAGCAAATGTCTCCTTTGAAACACAGGCAAAGGCATATGCTCTCCTATATGAACGGCAGGCTTTATAGATTGATATGGAAACGCACAGTCAACCATCAAGGCAGAGAAGACACCAATCATCCCATCGACCTTGACTTGGAGCATTGCAACAGGGCTTTCAAAGATGATGTACACACATACAAGGGGAGGTACACAGATAAAAGACGATTCTCAAAGTCAGCAGAAGTGCGCTGTCAATGGAAGAATTATGCCAAAAATACGACAAATTGGCATTCCGCAAGAAAAGTTCGGGAAGGCATGGAGTTGTTGATCCTTCTTGGTGATATTCTTAAACTTGTAGAACAATTCCATTCCTATGCAGCTCTATTCAATGAGGCCAACAAGCCACTGCCACAGAGAATTCAAGAACATGCTGAGTGACATCCAAAATTGGATTTCAGAAAGTCTTAAAGTCTTCAGTAGCCGCACATACTATAACATCTGAACCTTTTTTCCCGATGTGTAATTCAGTGTCACATGATTAAAACGAGACCCTGTTGCAAAGTCGCTATCACTGTATGTTTCATGATCTTCATGTTCTGAGTCTGAGTGAGATGATGAGCTATCACTCGAGTCAAGGGAAGTTTTGTACAACTCAAGAATATCACATCTACATTCATTACATGGGGTATTGCATGTCCATGAGTCTCTGCAGTCACAGAGACACTTGCAAGATATGGCACAGTTGTCCATAGCACTCATGACTTCAGTAAGCTCAACTCGTCGACATACGTTGGTTCTGACATACTGTTTCATTTCATCCGAAATATTCCGCCTGCCACTGAGACATTGTCTAAATTTCATGAGAAGAGCATGTGCCTGCTTTTCTGGATCCCTGCCTGCTCCGTCCTTGTCTCTTGAATATAATCCTCAACATTATTGGCTGGACCATAGTGGATGACGGTTTCCACACTTTGTAAGTCCCAAGCTGAATGGTGTTGAGCAATGGACTATCAAGGGACTATCATCCTCTTGAAACCATTTGGATCCATGAAGGACTCTGACACACTTCCCTGTTTTCCTTCTCATTCATACATATTCTGTATGTTGTTATGCATGATTGATGTTGAACTTTAATTGAAACTTTAGCTTGAAAATTGGCCGATTTCTTTTATGAAATTTAACTCCTATTATAAGAATAAGATCAACATATGCAAAAACAATTGTTGTTAGATGATTATTTTTTTGTAACTGATCAACAAGATCAACTTTAGTGTTTTAGTGTTTTAACTTAGCTAATGTAATGTAATACAGTGGATGTATGCATTCCTTTTTCATAAGGGCATGAACATATATTACATAATGCCTCTACCTGGGACTGCGGCCAAACTTACAAAATTAACCCTTGTTTGAGAGTAACAAGTATCAAGTTCATGATGATTGTAGAAGTGATTGTATGTATTCATAAATGTGACACATGCACATTTTGAAATGTTAATATTTGTGCTTTAACTTTGATTTGATGAATATCAAATTAGATATTGTATACACTTTATAGCTACTTGTGATCAGTGCACATTTTTATACCTTTAGATTGTGCAGTTTCATAGTGGTTAGTAAGAATATTTTGTGAATTTATACTTGTTTTATCACAAAACATGTGAATGAGTGAATGTCGTCTCATACTGCAGTCAGCAATATTGCAGCCATATGAAGGCAGCCTGTAAACCAGTAATTGATACGCACACCATCCTAGTACATAAAACATTCGCTCTCCATGCCTATTTATGGTGTCCCCGTCGTGATTTTGCTGGGATATTGCCAAAAGATGCGTAAATCCATGCTCTCTCAATTCAACATGCCATGCCTTGACAGACAAAACGAAATACAAAATATAACATTTATACTTACAATTTTGCAATGCAGTGTGCTTCATCAATGAAAATTGCCATCAAAATCTTCTCTTTAGTCAGGCTGTGTTCCAAGAACTGTCTCTGGACTTGCAAATATTATTATGTCAGTGTCAGGGTGAAAAAACCGTCACAGTAGCATGGTTGGAGTTATTAAGTTTCTTAAACACGAATGGTGCTAATTCAAAAGTAAGTGATTTTCCTGATCCTGTTGGAGAAAAAAAAGGACATCCTTTCCTCTGAGGTAACTTACAATCACTTGTCTTTGATGATTCCTGAAGTGATCAATTATGTAACTGCATTACCTTCCATACCAACAGTTATACATGTAGTTAAGTTAAATAGAGGGCGTATATACTTAAAACACAACATCAATCCTTTGTTCCGTTCAGCAGTGTGTCAGATTCGTGATGGCTAGCTTGAGGTGGCTAGACTTGCTTTTTGTATGCATTACTAGATTATTTTTTTAAATGAAATAAATATATTCCACGGTCATTGGTGCAGGACTAATTGTGTATATCACCTGAATTTTGGTCAATACCTGAAATACTCAGTCGCCAATACAGCCCCTATTTCATATAAGGTTATGAAAATACATGTCGGTTGGAGCCTGAAGCCTGAAGTAGAATTTAGGTTATTACACGGATGATATACATGTAAGGCCGAAAATTGATGAACTTCTTTATTATGAAGAACACAATGTTTGGGACTAATATCATTAGTTGAAGGAGTAAGTATTACACCCAAACGTTCTGTTCCACACAATGCGTTTCACTTCTGAATGTTTTTCTAAGAGTTGATACATACACTTGCCTTGTATATATGGTTGATGCACGTCGAGTGTCTCAGAAACGCGGGATCTGCAGGTATTAGAGCTGAATACAGTTGTGATTTGACGAATTCTTTTTCTTTTGACTCTTCCTCTTATTTTTCGTTTTTCAGCTTAGCATTGTGTATACACAACGTAATTAACGGATTCTGACATCAGCCACATATCTCGGACCACCCCACGAGTCTCTCTTAACCGTTCAATTAACGTTCCGCTTGGTGTTGCCACACCTGTCCGCCATCTGCTGTTGAGATACTGTAACGGTTCTCGTCTGAAAAGAGGACTTCTCCCACTGCTGGTGCTGTGCTACCCACTGAAGACGGTCCAGGAAACAAAGAAGAAGACTGAAAGGGTATGATTTCTATTTACTTACTTCTTTTGTTAGTAAATAAGCGGCCTTCAAAAGCGAATATGCTTGTCGTAAGAGGAGACTAACGGGTGGTCAGACTAGCTTGACTTGGTTGATACATGCCATCGTATCCCAATTGTGTGGATTGAGTGTGGCGATAAATAACAAAAAACAAACAAACATTTGTCTCAGATTATTTATATTTAAAAACATGTATATATTTGTTAAAAGTATGTTTCTATTTATACTGCTCGCACAAAGTAGGGGATATTGAAAAGTTACGATGAAAAGCTTCAGAATTATGTTTAATTTTCATTGGGAAACAATAATAATGTGGAAATAAGGATGTTAAGAAACAGTTTTGAAAGTAATGACTTTGATCAAGCTGCAATTTCATTTTGTCGACACTGGAAAGTTCATGAGGGGTAGAAACCCAAAAGTTGTGCTTCTATGCTTTCTTCCGGCTTGGATCATCCCAATTGCTCTCAATCTTTCGTCTTCTCATAACCTTCGCATTGTGGAAAGTGGTGAAGTGATGGATGAACTTGGTCCAAGACCCATGTTAACACCCATTTTTGCCCGTGAGGCACGTGGATTTTGTCATTTGCACGTGTGACACAAGATGTGATTTCTCATCCCCACCCCCTGGTACGTTTGAGTGCAATTTTCCTGGATGCAAGGGCATCTGGTGGGTCATTGTGAGGCTTGCTCAGACGGACCTATGCTTTTCCTCAATCATACACAAATGTTTTGTAGGCCTCTATATTACTGTCTTTGTGCCATTGATTTTAATTTCAATATACCCTACTTTTTGTGAGCAGTTTATATCCTACACATATGAAAAGATTAATGAAAGATTGTTTCTGAAACTTATACAGTGGAAATTTATTTCAGATACCACTGGGAGTGCTTCAGTGAGGACCTCAGTGACCGTTCTCCATCACAGTAGGTGCTCAGCGGAGGGGACTACCTCACCCTTGAGAGGCAGAAACAAGCCAATCATGCACTTACGAGATGGACCTACACCAAGTTCCAGATTACAAGGACTTGTTCCAAAGATGGAAGAGTTCCATAACGAAGCTGAATTTCTAAAGGTATATGTAATTAACTGCATTTTCTGTAATTGCGATTTAACAAAAGAAGGACAGTTATTGTGTGGTTTGTAAATTGGTTTATTGTTTTGTTGCAAAAGTAACGGATTGGTCTTTGTGTAATACCTGACTACCTGAAGATATTTCTTTTTCAGGTTATATGGAAACACTTGTACTCGTCCTCCTCTAACAAGTCTGTTTGGCACTCTGCATGCTGCAAAGGAGCACAATAAATGCGGTGAATGTTACTCAGGATCCTCATGACAACTTTTACCCATGCTCTGAATTCATGGACAAGGTCACCACCGCCTACATCGTAACTGGGGGACTACATTACTTCCAAATGGAACACCTCACTTCTGTCCCAACGTCAAGTTACATGGGTGCTGTTGGCAATCCATATAAAATGATTGATTATTTTCTAGGTCATGCAGCAAAACAGTTTGTAGACAAGCACATCTTACCGGAGGTTCCTCAACAGCCAGGTCATGGTCTCCAAATCAAACACACTAGCCTGCAGGTACTGTGGAAAACTGTACCAGAGACCAAAAGCTCTCCGCAAACACGAAGCATCCGGAATATAATGCTGAAAACAATCAGGATTCCACATCTTCAGCAGAATCAAGATCATCTATTTATCAGTACACCCGTCTGTCTCTCATGCTTGGGCTTCTTCGAATAAATCACAACGATTCCATTCACATGGGAGATGGTGGCAGGCATGATGAGACTAGTAAAGTGGTTCTGTTTATACTACAAGGCAAGCAAATGTCCAAAGTATGCATATGGTCTCCTTTGAAACACAGGCAAAGGCATATGCTCTCCTATATGAACGGCAGGCTTTATAGATTGATATGGAACCGCACAGTCAACCATCAAGGCAGAGAAGACACCAATCATCCCATCGACCTTGACTTGGAGCATTGCAACAGGGCTTTCAAAGATGATGTACACACATACAAGGGGAGGTACACAGATAAAAGACGATTCTCAAAGTCAGCAGAAGTGCGCTGTCAATGGAAGAATTATGCCAAAAATACGACAAATTGGCATTCCGCAAGAAATGTTCGGGAAGGCATGGAGTTGTTGATCCTTCTTGGTGATGTTCTTAAACTTGTAGAACAATTCCATTCCTATGCAGCTCTATTCAATGAGGCCAACAAGCCACTGCCACAGAGAAATCAAAAACATGCTGAGTGACATCCAAAATTGGATTTCAGAAAGTCTTAAAGTCTTCAGTAGCCGCACATACTATAACATCTGAACCTTTTTTCCCGATGTGTAATTCAGTGTCACATGATTAAAACGAGACCCTGTTGCAAAGTCCTTATCACTGTATGTTTCATGATCTTCATGTTCTGAGTCTGAGTGAGATGATGAGCTATCACTCGAGTCAAGGGAAGTTTTGTACAACTCAAGAATATCACATCTACATTCACTACATGGGGTAATTGCATGTCCATGAGTCTCTGCAGTCACAGAGACACTTGCAAGATATTGCACAGTTGTCCATAGCACTCATGACTTCAGTAAAGCTCAACTCGTCGACATACGTTGGTTCTGACATACTGTTTCATTTCATCCGAAATATTCCGCCTGCCACTGAGACATTGTCTAAATTTCATGAGAAGAGCATGTGCCTGCTTTTCTGGATCCCTGCCTGCTCCGTCCTTGTCTCTTGAATATAATCCTCAACATTATTGGCTGGACCATAGTGGATGACGGTTTCCACACTTTGTAAGTCCCAAGCTGAATGGTGTTGAGCAATGGACTATCAAGGGACTATCATCCTCTTGAAACCATTTGGATCCATGAAGGACTCTGACACACTTCCCTGTTTTCCTTCTCATTCATACATATTCTGTATGTTGTTATGCATGATTGATGTTGAACTTTAATTGAAACTTTAGCTTGAAAATTGGCCGATTTCTTTTATGAAATTTAACTCCTATTATAAGAATAAGATCAACATATGCAAAAACAATTGTTGTTAGATGATTATTTTTTTGTAACTGATCAACTTTAGTGTTTTAGTGTTTTAACTTAGCTAATGTAATGTAATACAGTGGATGTATGCATTCCTTTTTCATAAGGGCATTAACATATATTACATAATGCCTCTACCTGGGACTGCGGCCAAACTTACAAAATTAACCCTTGTTTGAGAGTAACAAGTATCAAGTTCATGATGATTGTAGAAGTGATTGTATGTATTCATAAATGTGACACATGCACATTTTGAAATGTTAATATTTGTGCTTTAACTTTGATTTGATGAATATCAAATTAGATATTGTATACACTTTATAGCTACTTGTGATCAGTGCACATTTTTATACCTTTAGATTGTGCAGTTTCATAGTGGTTAGTAAGAATATTTTGTGAATTTATACTTGTTTTATCACAAAACATGTGAATGAGTGAATGTCGTCTCATACTGCAGTCAGCAATATTGCAGCCATATGAAGGCAGCCTGTAAACCAGTAATTGATACGCACACCATCCTAGTACATAAAACATTCGCTCTCCATGCCTATTTATGGTGTCCCCGTCGTGATTTTGCTGGGATATTGCCAAAAGATGCGTAAATCCATGCTCTCTCAATTCAACATGCCATGCCTTGACAGACAAAACGAAATACAAAATATAACATTTATACTTACAATTTTGCAATGCAGTGTGCTTCATCAATGAAAATTGCCATCAAAATCTTCTCTTTAGTCAGGCTGTGTTCCAAGAACTGTCTCTGGACTTGCAAATATTATTATGTCAGTGTCAGGGTGAAAAAACCGTCACAGTAGCATGGTTGGAGTTATTAAGTTTCTTAAACACGAATGGTGCTAATTCAAAAGTAAGTGATTTTCCTGATCCTGTTGGAGAAAAAAAAGGACATCCTTTCCTCTGAGGTAACTTACAATCACTTGTCTTTGATGATTCCTGAAGTGATCAATTATGTAACTGCATTACCTTCCATACCAACAGTTATACATGTAGTTAAGTTAAATAGAGGGCGTATATACTTAAAACACAACATCAATCCTTTGTTCCGTTCAGCAGTGTGTCAGATTCGTGATGGCTAGCTTGAGGTGGCTAGACTTGCTTTTTGTATGCATTACTAGATTATTTTTTTAAATGAAATAAATATATTCCACGGTCATTGGTGCAGGACTAATTGTGTATATCACCTGAATTTTGGTCAATACCTGAAATACTCAGTCGCCAATACAGCCCCTATTTCATATAAGGTTATGAAAATACATGTCGGTTGGAGCCTGAAGCCTGAAGTAGAATTTAGGTTATTACACGGATGATATACATGTAAGGCCGAAAATTGATGAACTTCTTTATTATGAAGAACACAATGTTTGGGACTAATATCATTAGTTGAAGGAGTAAGTATTACACCCAAACGTTCTGTTCCACACAATGCGTTTCACTTCTGAATGTTTTTCTAAGAGTTGATACATACACTTGCCTTGTATATATGGTTGATGCACGTCGAGTGTCTCAGAAACGCGGGATCTGCAGGTATTAGAGCTGAATACAGTTGTGATTTGACGAATTCTTTTTCTTTTGACTCTTCCTCTTATTTCGTTTTTCAGCTTAGCATTGTGTATACACAACGTAATTAACGGATTCTGACATCAGCCACATATCTCGGACCACCCCACGAGTCTCTCTTAACCGTTCAATTAACGTTCCGCTTGGTGTTGCCACACCTGTCCGCCATCTGCTGTTGAGATACTGTAACGGTTCTCGTCTGAAAAGAGGACTTCTCCCACTGCTGGTGCTGTGCTACCCACTGAAGACGGTCCAGGAAACAAAGAAGAAGACTGAAAGGGTATGATTTCTATTTACTTACTTCTTTTGTTAGTAAATAAGCGGCCTTCAAAAGCGAATATGCTTGTCGTAAGAGGAGACTAACGGGTGGTCAGACTAGCTTGACTTGGTTGATACATGCCATCGTATCCCAATTGTGTGGATTGAGTGTGGCGATAAATAACAAAAAACAAACAAACAGTTGTCTCAGATTATTTATATTTAAAAACATGTATATATTTGTTAAAAGTATGTTTCTATTTATACTGCTCGCACAAAGTAGGGGATATTGAAAAGTTACGATGAAAAGCTTCAGAATTATGTTTAATTTTCATTGGGAAACAATAATAATGTGGAAATAAGGATGTTAAGAAACAGTTTTGAAAGTAATGACTTTGATCAAGCTGCAATTTCATTTTGTCGACACTGGAAAGTTCATGAGGGGTAGAAACCCAAAAGTTGTGCTTCTATGCTTTCTTCCGGCTTGGATCATCCCAATTGCTCTCAATCTTTCGTCTTCTCATAACCTTCGCATTGTGGAAAGTGGTGAAGTGATGGATGAACTTGGTCCAAGACCCATGTTAACACCCATTTTTGCCCGTGAGGCACGTGGATTTTGTCATTTGCACGTGTGACACAAGATGTGATTTCTCATCCCCACCCCCTGGTACGTTTGAGTGCAATTTTCCTGGATGCAAGGGCATCTGGTGGGTCATTGTGAGGCTTGCTCAGACGGACCTATGCTTTTCCTCAATCATACACAAATGTTTTGTAGGCCTCTATATTACTGTCTTTGTGCCATTGATTTTAATTTCAATATACCCTACTTTTTGTGAGCAGTTTATATCCTACACATATGAAAAGATTAATGAAAGATTGTTTCTGAAACTTATACAGTGGAAATTTATTTCAGATACCACTGGGAGTGCTTCAGTGAGGACCTCAGTGACCGTTCTCCATCACAGTAGGTGCTCAGCGGAGGGGACTACCTCACCCTTGAGAGGCAGAAACAAGCCAATCATGCACTTACGAGATGGACCTACACCAAGTTCCAGATTACAAGGACTTGTTCCAAAGATGGAAGAGTTCCATAACGAAGCTGAATTTCTAAAGGTATATGTAATTAACTGCATTTTCTGTAATTGCGATTTAACAAAAGAAGGACAGTTATTGTGTGGTTTGTAAATTGGTTTATTGTTTTGTTGCAAAAGTAACGGATTGGTCTTTGTGTAATACCTGACTACCTGAAGATATTTCTTTTTCAGGTTATATGGAAACACTTGTACTCGTCCTCCTCTAACAAGTCTGTTTGGCACTCTGCATGCTGCAAAGGAGCACAATAAATGCGGTGAATGTTACTCAGGATCCTCATGACAACTTTTACCCATGCTCTGAATTCATGGACAAGGTCACCACCGCCTACATCGTAACTGGGGGACTACATTACTTCCAAATGGAACACCTCACTTCTGTCCCAACGTCAAGTTACATGGGTGCTGTTGGCAATCCATATAAAATGATTGATTATTTTCTAGGTCATGCAGCAAAACAGTTTGTAGACAAGCACGTCTTACCGGAGGTTCCTCAACAGCCAGGTCATGGTCTCCAAATCAAACACACTAGCCTGCAGGTACTGTGGAAAACTGTACCAGAGACCAAAAGCTCTCCGCAAACACGAAGCATCCGGAATATAATGCTGAAAACAATCAGGATTCCACATCTTCAGCAGAATCAAGATCATCTATTTATCAGTACACCCGTCTGTCTCTCATGCTTGGGCTTCTTCGAATAAATCACAACGATTCCATTCACATGGGAGATGGTGGCAGGCATGATGAGACTAGTAAAGTGGTTCTGTTTATACTACAAGGCAAGCAAATGTCCAAAGTATGCATATGGTCTCCTTTGAAACACAGGCAAAGGCATATGCTCTCCTATATGAACGGCAGGCTTTATAGATTGATATGGAACCGCACAGTCAACCATCAAGGCAGAGAAGACACCAATCATCCCATCGACCTTGACTTGGAGCATTGCAACAGGGCTTTCAAAGATGATGTACACACATACAAGGGGAGGTACACAGATAAAAGACGATTCTCAAAGTCAGCAGAAGTGCGCTGTCAATGGAAGAATTATGCCAAAAATACGACAAATTGGCATTCCGCAAGAAATGTTCGGGAAGGCATGGAGTTGTTGATCCTTCTTGGTGATGTTCTTAAACTTGTAGAACAATTCCATTCCTATGCAGCTCTATTCAATGAGGCCAACAAGCCACTGCCACAGAGAAATCAAAAACATGCTGAGTGACATCCAAAATTGGATTTCAGAAAGTCTTAAAGTCTTCAGTAGCCGCACATACTATAACATCTGAACCTTTTTTCCCGATGTGTAATTCAGTGTCACATGATTAAAACGAGACCCTGTTGCAAAGTCCTTATCACTGTATGTTTCATGATCTTCATGTTCTGAGTCTGAGTGAGATGATGAGCTATCACTCGAGTCAAGGGAAGTTTTGTACAACTCAAGAATATCACATCTACATTCACTACATGGGGTAATTGCATGTCCATGAGTCTCTGCAGTCACAGAGACACTTGCAAGATATTGCACAGTTGTCCATAGCACTCATGACTTCAGTAAAGCTCAACTCGTCGACATACGTTGGTTCTGACATACTGTTTCATTTCATCCGAAATATTCCGCCTGCCACTGAGACATTGTCTAAATTTCATGAGAAGAGCATGTGCCTGCTTTTCTGGATCCCTGCCTGCTCCGTCCTTGTCTCTTGAATATAATCCTCAACATTATTGGCTGGACCATAGTGGATGACGGTTTCCACACTTTGTAAGTCCCAAGCTGAATGGTGTTGAGCAATGGACTATCAAGGGACTATCATCCTCTTGAAACCATTTGGATCCATGAAGGACTCTGACACACTTCCCTGTTTTCCTTCTCATTCATACATATTCTGTATGTTGTTATGCATGATTGATGTTGAACTTTAATTGAAACTTTAGCTTGAAAATTGGCCGATTTCTTTTATGAAATTTAACTCCTATTATAAGAATAAGATCAACATATGCAAAAACAATTGTTGTTAGATGATTATTTTTTTGTAACTGATCAACTTTAGTGTTTTAGTGTTTTAACTTAGCTAATGTAATGTAATACAGTGGATGTATGCATTCCTTTTTCATAAGGGCATTAACATATATTACATAATGCCTCTACCTGGGACTGCGGCCAAACTTACAAAATTAACCCTTGTTTGAGAGTAACAAGTATCAAGTTCATGATGATTGTAGAAGTGATTGTATGTATTCATAAATGTGACACATGCACATTTTGAAATGTTAATATTTGTGCTTTAACTTTGATTTGATGAATATCAAATTAGATATTGTATACACTTTATAGCTACTTGTGATCAGTGCACATTTTTATACCTTTAGATTGTGCAGTTTCATAGTGGTTAGTAAGAATATTTTGTGAATTTATACTTGTTTTATCACAAAACATGTGAATGAGTGAATGTCATCTCATACTGCAGTCAGCAATATTGCAGCCATATGAAGGCAGCCTGTAAACCAGTAATTGATACGCACACCATCCTAGTACATAAAACATTCGCTCTCCATGCCTATTTATGGTGTCCCCGTCGTGATTTTGCTGGGATATTGCCAAAAGATGCGTAAATCCATGCTCTCTCAATTCAACATGCCATGCCTTGACAGACAAAACGAAATACAAAATATAACATTTATACTTACAATTTTGCAATGCAGTGTGCTTCATCAATGAAAATTGCCATCAAAATCTTCTCTTTAGTCAGGCTGTGTTCCAAGAACTGTCTCTGGACTTGCAAATATTATTATGTCAGTGTCAGGGTGAAAAAACCGTCACAGTAGCATGGTTGGAGTTATTAAGTTTCTTAAACACGAATGGGGCTAATTCAAAAGTAAGTGATTTTCCTGATCCTGTTGGAGAAAAAAAAGGACATCCTTTCCTCTGAGGTAACTTACAATCACTTGTCTTTGATGATTCCTGAAGTGATCAATTATGTAACTGCATTACCTTCCATACCAACAGTTATACATGTAGTTAAGTTAAATAGAGGGCGTATATACTTAAAACACAACATCAATCCTTTGTTCCGTTCAGCAGTGTGTCAGATTCGTGATGGCTAGCTTGAGGTGGCTAGACTTGCTTTTTGTATGCATTACTAGATTATTTTTTTAAATGAAATAAATATATTCCACGGTCATTGGTGCAGGACTAATTGTGTATATCACCTGAATTTTGGTCAATACCTGAAATACTCAGTCGCCAATACAGCCCCTATTTCATATAAGGTTATGAAAATACATGTCGGTTGGAGCCTGAAGCCTGAAGTAGAATTTAGGTTATTACACGGATGATATACATGTAAGGCCGAAAATTGATGAACTTCTTTATTATGAAGAACACAATGTTTGGGACTAATATCATTAGTTGAAGGAGTAAGTATTACACCCAAACGTTCTGTTCCACACAATGCGTTTCACTTCTGAATGTTTTTCTAAGAGTTGATACATACACTTGCCTTGTATATATGGTTGATGCACGTCGAGTGTCTCAGAAACGCGGGATCTGCAGGTATTAGAGCTGAATACAGTTGTGATTTGACGAATTCTTTTTCTTTTGACTCTTCCTCTTATTTCGTTTTTCAGCTTAGCATTGTGTATACACAACGTAATTAACGGATTCTGACATCAGCCACATATCTCGGACCACCCCACGAGTCTCTCTTAACCGTTCAATTAACGTTCCGCTTGGTGTTGCCACACCTGTCCGCCATCTGCTGTTGAGATACTGTAACGGTTCTCGTCTGAAAAGAGGACTTCTCCCACTGCTGGTGCTGTGCTACCCACTGAAGACGGTCCAGGAAACAAAGAAGAAGACTGAAAGGGTATGATTTCTATTTACTTACTTCTTTTGTTAGTAAATAAGCGGCCTTCAAAAGCGACTATGCTTGTCGTAAGAGGAGACTAACGGGTGGTCAGACTAGCTTGACTTGGTTGATACATGCCATCGTATCCCAATTGTGTGGATTGAGTGTGGCGATAAATAACAAAAAACAAACAAACAGTTGTCTCAGATTATTTATATATTTAAAAACATGTATATATTTGTTAAAAGTATGTTTCTATTTATACTGCTCACACAAAGTAGGGGATATTGAAAAGTTACGACGAAAAGCTTCAGAATTATGTTTAATTTTCATTGGGAAACAATAATAATGTGGAAATAAGGATGTTAAGAAACAGTTTTGAAAGTAATGACTTTGATCAAGCTGCAATTTCATTTTGTCGACACTGGAAAATTCATGAGGGGTAGAAACCCAAAAGTTGTGCTTCTATGCTTTCTTCCGGCTTGGATCATCCCAATTGCTCTCAATCTTTCGTCTTCTCGTAACCTTCGCATTGTGGAAAGTGGTGAAGTGATGGATGAACTTGGTCCAAGACCCATGTTTAACACCCATTTTTGCCCGTGAGGCACGTGGATTTTGTCATTTGCACGTGTGACACAAGATGTGATTTCTCATCCCCACCCCCTGGTACGTTTGAGTGCAATTTTCCTGGATGCAAGGGCATCTGGTGGGTCATTGCTCAGACGGACCTATGCTTTTCCTCAATCATACACAAATGTTTTGTAGGCATCTATATTACTGTCTTTGTGCCATTGATTTTAATTTCAATATACCCTACTTTTTGTGAGCAGTTTATATCCTACACATATGAAAAGATTAATGAAAGATTGTTTCTGAAACTTATACAGTGGAAATTTATTTCAGATACCACTGGGAGTGCTTCAGTGAGGACCTCAGTGACCGTTCTCCATCACAGTAGGTGCTCAGCGGAGGGGACTACCTCACCCTTGAGAGGCAGAAACAAGCCAATCATGCACTTACGAGATGGACCTACACCAAGTTCCAGATTACAAGGACTTGTTCCAAAGATGGAAGAGTTCCATAACGAAGCTGAATTTCTAAAGGTATATGTAATTAACTGCATTTTCTGTAATTGCGATTTAACAAAAGAAGGACAGTTATTGTGTGGTTTGTAAATTGGTTTATTGTTTTGTTGCAAAAGTAACGGATTAGTCTTTGTGTAATACCTGACTACCTGAAGATATTTCTTTTTCAGGTTATATGGAAACACTTGTACTCGTCCTCCTCTAACAAGTCTGTTTGGCACTCTGCATGCTGAAAAGGAGCACAATAAATGCGGTGAATGTTACTCAGGATCCTCATGACAACTTTTACCCATGCTCTGAATTCATGGACAAGGTCACCACCGCCTACATCGTAACTGGGGGACTACATTACTTCCAAATGGAACACCTCACTTCTGTCCCAACGTCAAGTTACATGGGTGCTGTTGGCAATCCATATAAAATGATTGATTATTTTCTAGGTCATGCAGCAAAACAGTTTGTAGACAAGCACGTCTTACCGGAGGTTCCTCAACAGCCAGGTCATGGTCTCCAAATCAAACACACTAGCCTGCAGGTACTGTGGAAAACTGTACCAGAGACCAAAAGCTCTCCGCAAACACGAAGCATCCGGAATATAATGCTGAAAACAATCAGGATTCCACATCTTCAGCAGAATCAAGATCATCTATTTATCAGTACACCCGTCTGTCTCTCATGCTTGGGCTTCTTCGAATAAATCACAACGATTCCATTCACATGGGAGATGGTGGCAGGCATGATGAGACTAGTAAAGTGGTTCTGTTTATACTACAAGGCAAGCAAATGTCCAAAGTATGCATATGGTCTCCTTTGAAACACAGGCAAAGGCATATGCTCTCCTATATGAACGGCAGGCTTTATAGATTGATATGGAACCGCACAGTCAACCATCAAGGCAGAGAAGACACCAATCATCCCATCGACCTTGACTTGGAGCATTGCAACAGGGCTTTCAAAGATGATGTACACACATACAAGGGGAGGTACACAGATAAAAGACGATTCTCAAAGTCAGCAGAAGTGCGCTGTCAATGGAAGAATTATGCCAAAAATACGACAAATTGGCATTCCGCAAGAAATGTTCGGGAAGGCATGGAGTTGTTGATCCTTCTTGGTGATATTCTTAAACTTGTAGAACAATTCCATTCCTATGCAGCTCTATTCAATGAGGCCAACAAGCCACTGCCACAGAGAAATCAAAAACATGCTGAGTGACATCCAAAATTGGATTTCAGAAAGTCTTAAAGTCTTCAGTAGCCGCACATACTATAACATCTGAACCTTTTTTCCCGATGTGTAATTCAGTGTCACATGATTAAAACGAGACCCTGTTGCAAAGTCGCTATCACTGTATGTTTCATGATCTTCATGTTCTGAGTCTGAGTGAGATGATGAGCTATCACTCGAGTCAAGGGAAGTTTTGTACAACTCAAGAATATCACATCTACATTCACTACATGGGGTAATTGCATGTCCATGAGTCTCTGCAGTCACAGAGACACTTGCAAGATATGGCACAGTTGTCCATAGCACTCATGACTTCAGTAAAGCTCAACTCGTCGACATACGTTGGTTCTGACATACTGTTTCATTTCATCCGAAATATTCCGCCTGCCACTGAGACATCGTCTAAATTTCATGAGAAGAGCATGTGCCTGCTTTTCTGGATCCCTGCCTGCTCCGTCCTTGTCTCTTGAATATAATCCTCAACATTATTGGCTGGACCATAGTGGATGACGGTTTCCACACTTTGTAAGTCCCAAGCTGAATGGTGTTGAGCAATGGACTATCAAGGGACTATCATCCTCATGAAACCATTTGGATCCATGAAGGACTCTGACACACTTCCCTGTTTTCCTTCTCATTCATACATATTCTGTATGTTGTTATGCATGATTGATGTTGAACTTTAATTGAAACTTTAGCTTGAAAATTGGCCGATTTCTTTTATGAAATTTAACTCCTATTATAAGAATAAGATCAACATATGCAAAAACAATTGTTGTTAGATGATTATTTTTTTGTAACCGATCAACAAGATCAACTTTAGTGTTTTAGTGTTTTAACTTAGCTAATGTAATGTAATACAGTGGATGTATGCATTCCTTTTTCATAAGGGCATTAACATATATTACATAATGCCTCTACCTGGGACTGCGGCCAAACTTACAAAATTAACCCTTGTTTGAGAGTAACAAGTATCAAGTTCATGATGATTGTAGAAGTGATTGTATGTATTCATAAATGTGACACATGCACATTTTGAAATGTTAATATTTGTGCTTTAACTTTGATTTGATGAATATCAAATTAGATATTGTATACACTTTATAGCTACTTGTGATCAGTGCACATTTTTATACCTTTAGATTGTGCAGTTTCATAGTGGTTAGTAAGAATATTTTGTGAATTTATACTTGTTTTATTACAAAACATGTGAATGAGTGAATGTCGTCTCATACTGCAGTCAGCAATATTGCAGCCATATGAAGGCAGCCTGTAAACCAGTAATTGATACGCACACCATCCTAGTACATAAAACATTCGCTCTCCATGCCTATTTATGGTGTCCCCGTCGTGATTTTGCTGGGATATTGCCAAAAGATGCGTAAATCCATGCTCTCTCAATTCAACATGCCATGCCTTGACAGACAAAACGAAATACAAAATATAACATTTATACTTACAATTTTGCAATGCAGTGTGCTTCATCAATGAAAATTGCCATCAAAATCTTCTCTTTAGTCAGGCTGTGTTCCAAGAACTGTCTCTGGACTTGCAAATATTATTATGTCAGTGTCAGGGTGAAAAAACCGTCACAGTAGCATGGTTGGAGTTATTAAGTTTCTTAAACACGAATGGGGCTAATTCAAAAGTAAGTGATTTTCCTGATCCTGTTGGAGAAAAAAAAGGACATCCTTTCCTCTGAGGTAACTTACAATCACTTGTCTTTGATGATTCCTGAAGTGATCAATTATGTAACTGCATTACCTTCCATACCAACAGTTATACATGTAGTTAAGTTAAATAGAGGGCGTATATACTTAAAACACAACATCAATCCTTTGTTCCGTTCAGCAGTGTGTCAGATTCGTGATGGCTAGCTTGAGGTGGCTAGACTTGCTTTTTGTATGCATTACTAGATTATTTTTTTAAATGAAATAAATATATTCCACGGTCATTGGTGCAGGACTAATTGTGTATATCACCTGAATTTTGGTCAATACCTGAAATACTCAGTCGCCAATACAGCCCCTATTTCATATAAGGTTATGAAAATACATGTCGGTTGGAGCCTGAAGCCTGAAGTAGAATTTAGGTTATTACACGGATGATATACATGTAAGGCCGAAAATTGATGAACTTCTTTATTATGAAGAACACAATGTTTGGGACTAATATCATTAGTTGAAGGAGTAAGTATTACACCCAAACGTTCTGTTCCACACAATGCGTTTCACTTCTGAATGTTTTTCTAAGAGTTGATACATACACTTGCCTTGTATATATGGTTGATGCACGTCGAGTGTCTCAGAAACGCGGGATCTGCAGGTATTAGAGCTGAATACAGTTGTGATTTGACGAATTCTTTTTCTTTTGACTCTTCCTCTTATTTCGTTTTTCAGCTTAGCATTGTGTATACACAACGTAATTAACGGATTCTGACATCAGCCACATATCTCGGACCACCCCACGAGTCTCTCTTAACCGTTCAATTAACGTTCCGCTTGGTGTTGCCACACCTGTCCGCCATCTGCTGTTGAGATACTGTAACGGTTCTCGTCTGAAAAGAGGACTTCTCCCACTGCTGGTGCTGTGCTACCCACTGAAGACGGTCCAGGAAACAAAGAAGAAGACTGAAAGGGTATGATTTCTATTTACTTACTTCTTTTGTTAGTAAATAAGCGGCCTTCAAAAGCGACTATGCTTGTCGTAAGAGGAGACTAACGGGTGGTCAGACTAGCTTGACTTGGTTGATACATGCCATCGTATCCCAATTGTGTGGATTGAGTGTGGCGATAAATAACAAAAAACAAACAAACAGTTGTCTCAGATTATTTATATTTAAAAACATGTATATATTTGTTAAAAGTATGTTTCTATTTATACTGCTCACACAAAGTAGGGGATATTGAAAAGTTACGACGAAAAGCTTCAGAATTATGTTTAATTTTCATTGGGAAACAATAATAATGTGGAAATAAGGATGTTAAGAAACAGTTTTGAAAGTAATGACTTTGATCAAGCTGCAATTTCATTTTGTCGACACTGGAAAATTCATGAGGGGTAGAAACCCAAAAGTTGTGCTTCTATGCTTTCTTCCGGCTTGGATCATCCCAATTGCTCTCAATCTTTCGTCTTCTCGTAACCTTCGCATTGTGGAAAGTGGTGAAGTGATGGATGAACTTGGTCCAAGACCCATGTTTAACACCCATTTTTGCCCGTGAGGCACGTGGATTTTGTCATTTGCACGTGTGACACAAGATGTGATTTCTCATCCCCACCCCCTGGTACGTTTGAGTGCAATTTTCCTGGATGCAAGGGCATCTGGTGGGTCATTGTGAGGCTTGCTCAGATGGACCTATGCTTTTCCTCAATCATACACAAATGTTTTGTAGGCATCTATATTACTGTCTTTGTGCCATTGATTTTAATTTCAATATACCCTACTTTTTGTGAGCAGTTTATATCCTACACATATGAAAAGATTAATGAAAGATTGTTTCTGAAACTTATACAGTGGAAATTTATTTCAGATACCACTGGGAGTGCTTCAGTGAGGACCTCAGTGACCGTTCTCCATCACAGTAGGTGCTCAGCGGAGGGGACTACCTCACCCTTGAGAGGCAGAAACAAGCCAATCATGCACTTACGAGATGGACCTACACCAAGTTCCAGATTACAAGGACTTGTTCCAAAGATGGAAGAGTTCCATAACGAAGCTGAATTTCTAAAGGTATATGTAATTAACTGCATTTTCTGTAATTGCGATTTAACAAAAGAAGGACAGTTATTGTGTGGTTTGTAAATTGGTTTATTGTTTTGTTGCAAAAGTAACGGATTAGTCTTTGTGTAATACCTGACTACCTGAAGATATTTCTTTTTCAGGTTATATGGAAACACTTGTACTCGTCCTCCTCTAACAAGTCTGTTTGGCACTCTGCATGCTGCAAAGGAGCACAATAAATGCGGTGAATGTTACTCAGGATCCTCATGACAACTTTTACCCATGCTCTGAATTCATGGACAAGGTCACCACCGCCTACATCGTAACTCGGGGACTACATTACTTCCAAATGGAACACCTCACTTCTGTCCCAACGTCAAGTTACATGGGTGCTGTTGGCAATCCATATAAAATGATTGATTATTTTCTAGGTCATGCAGCAAAACAGTTTGTAGACAAGCACGTCTTACCGGAGGTTCCTCAACAGCCAGGTCATGGTCTCCAAATCAAACACACTAGCCTGCAGGTACTGTGGAAAACTGTACCAGAGACCAAAAGCTCTCCGCAAACACGAAGCATCCGGAATATAATGCTGAAAACAATCAGGATTCCACATCTTCAGCAGAATCAAGATCATCTATTTATCAGTACACCCGTCTGTCTCTCATGCTTGGGCTTCTTCGAATAAATCACAACGATTCCATTCACATGGGAGATGGTGGCAGGCATGATGAGACTAGTAAAGTGGTTCTGTTTATACTACAAGGCAAGCAAATGTCCAAAGTATGCATATGGTCTCCTTTGAAACACAGGCAAAGGCATATGCTCTCCTATATGAACGGCAGGCTTTATAGATTGATATGGAACCGCACAGTCAACCATCAAGGCAGAGAAGACACCAATCATCCCATCGACCTTGACTTGGAGCATTGCAACAGGGCTTTCAAAGATGATGTACACACATACAAGGGGAGGTACACAGATAAAAGACGATTCTCAAAGTCAGCAGAAGTGCGCTGTCAATGGAAGAATTATGCCAAAAATACGACAAATTGGCATTCCGCAAGAAATGTTCGGGAAGGCATGGAGTTGTTGATCCTTCTTGGTGATATTCTTAAACTTGTAGAACAATTCCATTCCTATGCAGCTCTATTCAATGAGGCCAACAAGCCACTGCCACAGAGAAATCAAAAACATGCTGAGTGACATCCAAAATTGGATTTCAGAAAGTCTTAAAGTCTTCAGTAGCCGCACATACTATAACATCTGAACCTTTTTTCCCGATGTGTAATTCAGTGTCACATGATTAAAACGAGACCCTGTTGCAAAGTCGCTATCACTGTATGTTTCATGATCTTCATGTTCTGAGTCTGAGTGAGATGATGAGCTATCACTCGAGTCAAGGGAAGTTTTGTACAACTCAAGAATATCACATCTACATTCACTACATGGGGTAATTGCATGTCCATGAGTCTCTGCAGTCACAGAGACACTTGCAAGATATGGCACAGTTGTCCATAGCACTCATGACTTCAGTAAAGCTCAACTCGTCGACATACGTTGGTTCTGACATACTGTTTCATTTCATCCGAAATATTCCGCCTGCCACTGAGACATCGTCTAAATTTCATGAGAAGAGCATGTGCCTGCTTTTCTGGATCCCTGCCTGCTCCGTCCTTGTCTCTTGAATATAATCCTCAACATTATTGGCTGGACCATAGTGGATGACGGTTTCCACACTTTGTAAGTCCCAAGCTGAATGGTGTTGAGCAATGGACTATCAAGGGACTATCATCCTCTTGAAACCATTTGGATCCATGAAGGACTCTGACACACTTCCCTGTTTTCCTTCTCATTCATACATATTCTGTATGTTGTTATGCATGATTGATGTTGAACTTTAATTGAAACTTTAGCTTGAAAATTGGCCGATTTCTTTTATGAAATTTAACTCCTATTATAAGAATAAGATCAACATATGCAAAAACAATTGTTGTTAGATGATTATTTTTTTGTAACCGATCAACAAGATCAACTTTAGTGTTTTAGTGTTTTAACTTAGCTAATGTAATGTAATACAGTGGATGTATGCATTCCTTTTTCATAAGGGCATTAACATATATTACATAATGCCTCTACCTGGGACTGCGGCCAAACTTACAAAATTAACCCTTGTTTGAGAGTAACAAGTATCAAGTTCATGATGATTGTAGAAGTGATTGTATGTATTCATAAATGTGACACATGCACATTTTGAAATGTTAATATTTGTGCTTTAACTTTGATTTGATGAATATCAAATTAGATATTGTATACACTTTATAGCTACTTGTGATCAGTGCACATTTTTATACCTTTAGATTGTGCAGTTTCATAGTGGTTAGTAAGAATATTTTGTGAATTTATACTTGTTTTATCACAAAACATGTGAATGAGTGAATGTCGTCTCATACTGCAGTCAGCAATATTGCAGCCATATGAAGGCAGCCTGTAAACCAGTAATTGATACGCACACCATCCTAGTACATAAAACATTCGCTCTCCATGCCTATTTATGGTGTCCCCGTCGTGATTTTGCTGGGATATTGCCAAAAGATGCGTAAATCCATGCTCTCTCAATTCAACATGCCATGCCTTGACAGACAAAACGAAATACAAAATATAACATTTATACTTACAATTTTGCAATGCAGTGTGCTTCATCAATGAAAATTGCCATCAAAATCTTCTCTTTAGTCAGGCTGTGTTCCAAGAACTGTCTCTGGACTTGCAAATATTATTATGTCAGTGTCAGGGTGAAAAAACCGTCACAGTAGCATGGTTGGAGTTATTAAGTTTCTTAAACACGAATGGTGCTAATTCAAAAGTAAGTGATTTTCCTGATCCTGTTGGAGAAAAAAAAGGACATCCTTTCCTCTGAGGTAACTTACAATCACTTGTCTTTGATGATTCCTGAAGTGATCAATTATGTAACTGCATTACCTTCCATACCAACAGTTATACATGTAGTTAAGTTAAATAGAGGGCGTATATACTTAAAACACAACATCAATCCTTTGTTCCGTTCAGCAGTGTGTCAGATTCGTGATGGCTAGCTTGAGGTGGCTAGACTTGCTTTTTGTATGCATTACTAGATTATTTTTTTAAATGAAATAAATATATTCCACGGTCATTGGTGCAGGACTAATTGTGTATATCACCTGAATTTTGGTCAATACCTGAAATACTCAGTCGCCAATACAGCCCCTATTTCATATAAGGTTATGAAAATACATGTCGGTTGGAGCCTGAAGCCTGAAGTAGAATTTAGGTTATTACACGGATGATATACATGTAAGGCCGAAAATTGATGAACTTCTTTATTATGAAGAACACAATGTTTGGGACTAATATCATTAGTTGAAGGAGTAAGTATTACACCCAAACGTTCTGTTCCACACAATGCGTTTCACTTCTGAATGTTTTTCTAAGAGTTGATACATACACTTGCCTTGTATATATGGTTGATGCACGTCGAGTGTCTCAGAAACGCGGGATCTGCAGGTATTAGAGCTGAATACAGTTGTGATTTGACGAATTCTTTTTCTTTTGACTCTTCCTCTTATTTCGTTTTTCAGCTTAGCATTGTGTATACACAACGTAATTAACGGATTCTGACATCAGCCACATATCTCGGACCACCCCACGAGTCTCTCTTAACCGTTCAATTAACGTTCCGCTTGGTGTTGCCACACCTGTCCGCCATCTGCTGTTGAGATACTGTAACGGTTCTCGTCTGAAAAGAGGACTTCTCCCACTGCTGGTGCTGTGCTACCCACTGAAGACGGTCCAGGAAACAAAGAAGAAGACTGAAAGGGTATGATTTCTATTTACTTACTTCTTTTGTTAGTAAATAAGCGGCCTTCAAAAGCGACTATGCTTGTCGTAAGAGGAGACTAACGGGTGGTCAGACTAGCTTGACTTGGTTGATACATGCCATCGTATCCCAATTGTGTGGATTGAGTGTGGCGATAAATAACAAAAAACAAACAAACAGTTGTCTCAGATTATTTATATTTAAAAACATGTATATATTTGTTAAAAGTATGTTTCTATTTATACTGCTCGCACAAAGTAGGGGATATTGAAAAGTTACTACGAAAAGCTTCAGAATTATGTTTAATTTTCATTGGGAAACAATAATAATGTGGAAATAAGGATGTTAAGAAACAGTTTTGAAAGTAATGACTTTGATCAAGCTGCAATTTCATTTTGTCGACACTGGAAAATTCATGAGGGGTAGAAACCCAAAAGTTGTGCTTCTATGCTTTCTTCCGGCTTGGATCATCCCAATTGCTCTCAATCTTTCGTCTTCTCGTAACCTTCGCATTGTGGAAAGTGGTGAAGTGATGGATGAACTTGGTCCAAGACCCATGTTTAACACCCATTTTTGCCCGTGAGGCACGTGGATTTTGTCATTTGCACGTGTGACACAAGATGTGATTTCTCATCCCCACCCCCTGGTACGTTTGAGTGCAATTTTCCTGGATGCAAGGGCATCTGGTGGGTCATTGTGAGGCTTGCTCAGACGGACCTATGCTTTTCCTCAATCATACACAAATGTTTTGTAGGCATCTATATTACTGTCTTTGTGCCATTGATTTTAATTTCAATATACCCTACTTTTTGTGAGCAGTTTATATCCTACACATATGAAAAGATTAATGAAAGATTGTTTCTGAAACTTATACAGTGGAAATTTATTTCAGATACCACTGGGAGTGCTTCAGTGAGGACCTCAGTGACCGTTCTCCATCACAGTAGGTGCTCAGCGGAGGGGACTACCTCACCCTTGAGAGGCAGAAACAAGCCAATCATGCACTTACGAGATGGACCTACACCAAGTTCCAGATTACAAGGACTTGTTCCAAAGATGGAAGAGTTCCATAACGAAGCTGAATTTCTAAAGGTATATGTAATTAACTGCATTTTCTGTAATTGCGATTTAACAAAAGAAGGACAGTTATTGTGTGGTTTGTAAATTGGTTTATTGTTTTGTTGCAAAAGTAACGGATTAGTCTTTGTGTAATACCTGACTACCTGAAGATATTTCTTTTTCAGGTTATATGGAAACACTTGTACTCGTCCTCCTCTAACAAGTCTGTTTGGCACTCTGCATGCTGCAAAGGAGCACAATAAATGCGGTGAATGTTACTCAGGATCCTCATGACAACTTTTACCCATGCTCTGAATTCATGGACAAGGTCACCACCGCCTACATCGTAACTGGGGGACTACATTACTTCCAAATGGAACACCTCACTTCTGTCCCAACGTCAAGTTACATGGGTGCTGTTGGCAATCCATATAAAATGATTGCTTATTTTCTAGGTCATGCAGCAAAACAGTTTGTAGACAAGCACGTCTTACCGGAGGTTCCTCAACAGCCAGGTCATGGTCTCCAAATCAAACACACTAGCCTGCAGGTACTGTGGAAAACTGTACCAGAGACCAAAAGCTCTCCGCAAACACGAAGCATCCGGAATATAATGCTGAAAACAATCAGGATTCCACATCTTCAGCAGAATCAAGATCATCTATTTATCAGTACACCCGTCTGTCTCTCATGCTTGGGCTTCTTCGAATAAATCGCAACGATTCCATTCACATGGGAGATGGTGGCAGGCATGATGAGACTAGTAAAGTGGTTCTGTTTATACTACAAGGCAAGCAAATGTCCAAAGTATGCATATGGTCTCCTTTGAAACACAGGCAAAGGCATATGCTCTCCTATATGAACGGCAGGCTTTATAGATTGATATGGAACCGCACAGTCAACCATCAAGGCAGAGAAGACACCAATCATCCCATCGACCTTGACTTGGAGCATTGCAACAGGGCTTTCAAAGATGATGTACACACATACAAGGGGAGGTACACAGATAAAAGACGATTCTCAAAGTCAGCAGAAGTGCGCTGTCAATGGAAGAATTATGCCAAAAATACGACAAATTGGCATTCCGCAAGAAATGTTCGGGAAGGCATGGAGTTGTTGATCCTTCTTGGTGATATTCTTAAACTTGTAGAACAATTCCATTCCTATGCAGCTCTATTCAATGAGGCCAACAAGCCACTGCCACAGAGAAATCAAAAACATGCTGAGTGACATCCAAAATTGGATTTCAGAAAGTCTTAAAGTCTTCAGTAGCCGCACATACTATAACATCTGAACCTTTTTTCCCGATGTGTAATTCAGTGTCACATGATTAAAACGAGACCCTGTTGCAAAGTCGCTATCACTGTATGTTTCATGATCTTCATGTTCTGAGTCTGAGTGAGATGATGAGCTATCACTCGAGTCAAGGGAAGTTTTGTACAACTCAAGAATATCACATCTACATTCACTACATGGGGTAATTGCATGTCCATGAGTCTCTGCAGTCACAGAGACACTTGCAAGATATGGCACAGTTGTCCATAGCACTCATGACTTCAGTAAAGCTCAACTCGTCGACATACGTTGGTTCTGACATACTGTTTCATTTCATCCGAAATATTCCGCCTGCCACTGAGACATCGTCTAAATTTCATGAGAAGAGCATGTGCCTGCTTTTCTGGATCCCTGCCTGCTCCGTCCTTGTCTCTTGAATATAATCCTCAACATTATTGGCTGGACCATAGTGGATGACGGTTTCCACACTTTGTAAGTCCCAAGCTGAATGGTGTTGAGCAATGGACTATCAAGGGACTATCATCCTCTTGAAACCATTTGGATCCATGAAGGACTCTGACACACTTCCCTGTTTTCCTTCTCATTCATACATATTCTGTATGTTGTTATGCATGATTGATGTTGAACTTTAATTGAAACTTTAGCTTGAAAATTGGCCGATTTCTTTTATGAAATTTAACTCCTATTATAAGAATAAGATCAACATATGCAAAAACAATTGTTGTTAGATGATTATTTTTTTGTAACCGATCAACAAGATCAACTTTAGTGTTTTAGTGTTTTAACTTAGCTAATGTAATGTAATACAGTGGATGTATGCATTCCTTTTTCATAAGGGCATTAACATATATTACATAATGCCTCTACCTGGGACTGCGGCCAAACTTACAAAATTAACCCTTGTTTGAGAGTAACAAGTATCAAGTTCATGATGATTGTAGAAGTGATTGTATGTATTCATAAATGTGACACATGCACATTTTGAAATGTTAATATTTGTGCTTTAACTTTGATTTGATGAATATCAAATTAGATATTGTATACACTTTATAGCTACTTGTGATCAGTGCACATTTTTATACCTTTAGATTGTGCAGTTTCATAGTGGTTAGTAAGAATATTTTGTGAATTTATACTTGTTTTATCACAAAACATGTGAATGAGTGAATGTCGTCTCATACTGCAGTCAGCAATATTGCAGCCATATGAAGGCAGCCTGTAAACCAGTAATTGATACGCACACCATCCTAGTACATAAAACATTCGCTCTCCATGCCTATTTATGGTGTCCCCGTCGTGATTTTGCTGGGATATTGCCAAAAGATGCGTAAATCCATGCTCTCTCAATTCAACATGCCATGCCTTGACAGACAAAACGAAATACAAAATATAACATTTATACTTACAATTTTGCAATGCAGTGTGCTTCATCAATGAAAATTGCCATCAAAATCTTCTCTTTAGTCAGGCTGTGTTCCAAGAACTGTCTCTGGACTTGCAAATATTATTATGTCAGTGTCAGGGTGAAAAAACCGTCACAGTAGCATGGTTGGAGTTATTAAGTTTCTTAAACACGAATGGTGCTAATTCAAAAGTAAGTGATTTTCCTGATCCTGTTGGAGAAAAAAAAGGACATCCTTTCCTCTGAGGTAACTTACAATCACTTGTCTTTGATGATTCCTGAAGTGATCAATTATGTAACTGCATTACCTTCCATACCAACAGTTATACATGTAGTTAAGTTAAATAGAGGGCGTATATACTTAAAACACAACATCAATCCTTTGTTCCGTTCAGCAGTGTGTCAGATTCGTGATGGCTAGCTTGAGGTGGCTAGACTTGCTTTTTGTATGCATTACTAGATTATTTTTTTAAATGAAATAAATATATTCCACGGTCATTGGTGCAGGACTAATTGTGTATATCACCTGAATTTTGGTCAATACCTGAAATACTCAGTCGCCAATACAGCCCCTATTTCATATAAGGTTATGAAAATACATGTCGGTTGGAGCCTGAAGCCTGAAGTAGAATTTAGGTTATTACACGGATGATATACATGTAAGGCCGAAAATTGATGAACTTCTTTATTATGAAGAACACAATGTTTGGGACTAATATCATTAGTTGAAGGAGTAAGTATTACACCCAAACGTTCTGTTCCACACAATGCGTTTCACTTCTGAATGTTTTTCTAAGAGTTGATACATACACTTGCCTTGTATATATGGTTGATGCACGTCGAGTGTCTCAGAAACGCGGGATCTGCAGGTATTAGAGCTGAATACAGTTGTGATTTGACGAATTCTTTTTCTTTTGACTCTTCCTCTTATTTCGTTTTTCAGCTTAGCATTGTGTATACACAACGTAATTAACGGATTCTGACATCAGCCACATATCTCGGACCACCCCACGAGTCTCTCTTAACCGTTCAATTAACGTTCCGCTTGGTGTTGCCACACCTGTCCGCCATCTGCTGTTGAGATACTGTAACGGTTCTCGTCTGAAAAGAGGACTTCCCCCACTGCTGGTGCTGTGCTACCCACTGAAGACGGTCCAGGAAACAAAGAAGAAGACTGAAAGGGTATGATTTCTATTTACTTACTTCTTTTGTTAGTAAATAAGCGGCCTTCAAAAGCGACTATGCTTGTCGTAAGAGGAGACTAACGGGTGGTCAGACTAGCTTGACTTGGTTGATACATGCCATCGTATCCCAATTGTGTGGATTGAGTGTGGCGATAAATAACAAAAAACAAACAAACAGTTGTCTCAGATTATTTATATTTAAAAACATGTATATATTTGTTAAAAGTATGTTTCTATTTATACTGCTCACACAAAGTAGGGGATATTGAAAAGTTACGACGAAAAGCTTCAGAATTATGTTTAATTTTCATTGGGAAACAATAATAATGTGGAAATAAGGATGTTAAGAAACAGTTTTGAAAGTAATGACTTTGATCAAGCTGCAATTTCATTTTGTCGACACTGGAAAATTCATGAGGGGTAGAAACCCAAAAGTTGTGCTTCTATGCTTTCTTCCGGCTTGGATCATCCCAATTGCTCTCAATCTTTCGTCTTCTCGTAACCTTCGCATTGTGGAAAGTGGTGAAGTGATGGATGAACTTGGTCCAAGACCCATGTTTAACACCCATTTTTGCCCGTGAGGCACGTGGATTTTGTCATTTGCACGTGTGACACAAGATGTGATTTCTCATCCCCACCCCCTGGTACGTTTGAGTGCAATTTTCCTGGATGCAAGGGCATCTGGTGGGTCATTGTGAGGCTTGCTCAGATGGACCTATGCTTTTCCTCAATCATACACAAATGTTTTGTAGGCATCTATATTACTGTCTTTGTGCCATTGATTTTAATTTCAATATACCCTACTTTTTGTGAGCAGTTTATGTCCTACACATATGAAAAGATTAATGAAAGATTGTTTCTGAAACTTATACAGTGGAAATTTATTTCAGATACCACTGGGAGTGCTTCAGTGAGGACCTCAGTGACCGTTCTCCATCACAGTAGGTGCTCAGCGGAGGGGACTACCTCACCCTTGAGAGGCAGAAACAAGCCAATCATGCACTTACGAGATGGACCTACACCAAGTTCCAGATTACAAGGACTTGTTCCAAAGATGGAAGAGTTCCATAACGAAGCTGAATTTCTAAAGGTATATGTAATTAACTGCATTTTCTGTAATTGCGATTTAACAAAAGAAGGACAGTTATTGTGTGGTTTGTAAATTGGTTTATTGTTTTGTTGCAAAAGTAACGGATTAGTCTTTGTGTAATACCTGACTACCTGAAGATATTTCTTTTTCAGGTTATATGGAAACACTTGTACTCGTCCTCCTCTAACAAGCCTGTTTGGCACTCTGCATGCTGCAAAGGAGCACAATAAATGCGGTGAATGTTACTCAGGATCCTCATGACAACTTTTACCCATGCTCTGAATTCATGGACAAGGTCACCACCGCCTACATCGTAACTGGGGGACTACATTACTTCCAAATGGAACACCTCACTTCTGTCCCAACGTCAAGTTACATGGGTGCTGTTGGCAATCCATATAAAATGATTGCTTATTTTCTAGGTCATGCAGCAAAACAGTTTGTAGACAAGCACGTCTTACCGGAGGTTCCTCAACAGCCAGGTCATGGTCTCCAAATCAAACACACTAGCCTGCAGGTACTGTGGAAAACTGTACCAGAGACCAAAAGCTCTCCGCAAACACGAAGCATCCGGAATATAATGCTGAAAACAATCAGGATTCCACATCTTCAGCAGAATCAAGATCATCTATTTATCAGTACACCCGTCTGTCTCTCATGCTTGGGCTTCTTCGAATAAATCACAACGATTCCATTCACATGGGAGATGGTGGCAGGCATGATGAGACTAGTAAAGTGGTTCTGTTTATACTACAAGGCAAGCAAATGTCCAAAGTATGCATATGGTCTCCTTTGAAACACAGGCAAAGGCATATGCTCTCCTATATGAACGGCAGGCTTTATAGATTGATATGGAACCGCACAGTCAACCATCAAGGCAGAGAAGACACCAATCATCCCATCGACCTTGACTTGGAGCATTGCAACAGGGCTTTCAAAGATGATGTACACACATACAAGGGGAGGTACACAGATAAAAGACGATTCTCAAAGTCAGCAGAAGTGCGCTGTCAATGGAAGAATTATGCCAAAAATACGACAAATTGGCATTCCGCAAGAAATGTTCGGGAAGGCATGGAGTTGTTGATCCTTCTTGGTGATATTCTTAAACTTGTAGAACAATTCCATTCCTATGCAGCTCTATTCAATGAGGCCAACAAGCCACTGCCACAGAGAAATCAAAAACATGCTGAGTGACATCCAAAATTGGATTTCAGAAAGTCTTAAAGTCTTCAGTAGCCGCACATACTATAACATCTGAACCTTTTTTCCCGATGTGTAATTCAGTGTCACATGATTAAAACGAGACCCTGTTGCAAAGTCGCTATCACTGTATGTTTCATGATCTTCATGTTCTGAGTCTGAGTGAGATGATGAGCTATCACTCGAGTCAAGGGAAGTTTTGTACAACTCAAGAATATCACATCTACATTCACTACATGGGGTAATTGCATGTCCATGAGTCTCTGCAGTCACAGAGACACTTGCAAGATATGGCACAGTTGTCCATAGCACTCATGACTTCAGTAAAGCTCAACTCGTCGACATACGTTGGTTCTGACATACTGTTTCATTTCATCCGAAATATTCCGCCTGCCACTGAGACATCGTCTAAATTTCATGAGAAGAGCATGTGCCTGCTTTTCTGGATCCCTGCCTGCTCCGTCCTTGTCTCTTGAATATAATCCTCAACATTATTGGCTGGACCATAGTGGATGACGGTTTCCACACTTTGTAAGTCCCAAGCTGAATGGTGTTGAGCAATGGACTATCAAGGGACTATCATCCTCATGAAACCATTTGGATCCATGAAGGACTCTGACACACTTCCCTGTTTTCCTTCTCATTCATACATATTCTGTATGTTGTTATGCATGATTGATGTTGAACTTTAATTGAAACTTTAGCTTGAAAATTGGCCGATTTCTTTTATGAAATTTAACTCCTATTATAAGAATAAGATCAACATATGCAAAAACAATTGTTGTTAGATGATTATTTTTTTGTAACCGATCAACAAGATCAACTTTAGTGTTTTAGTGTTTTAACTTAGCTAATGTAATGTAATACAGTGGATGTATGCATTCCTTTTTCATAAGGGCATTAACATATATTACATAATGCCTCTACCTGGGACTGCGCCCAAACTTACAAAATTAACCCTTGTTTGAGAGTAACAAGTATCAAGTTCATGATGATTGTAGAAGTGATTGTATGTATTCATAAATGTGACACATGCACATTTTGAAATGTTAATATTTGTGCTTTAACTTTGATTTGATGAATATCAAATTAGATATTGTATACACTTTATAGCTACTTGTGATCAGTGCACATTTTTATACCTTTAGATTGTGCAGTTTCATAGTGGTTAGTAAGAATATTTTGTGAATTTATACTTGTTTTATCACAAAACATGTGAATGAGTGAATGTCGTCTCATACTGCAGTCAGCAATATTGCAGCCATATGAAGGCAGCCTGTAAACCAGTAATTGATACGCACACCATCCTAGTACATAAAACATTCGCTCTCCATGCCTACTTATGGTGTCCCCGTCGTGATTTTGCTGGGATTTTGCCAAAAGATGCATAAATCCATGCTCTCTCAATTCAACATGCCATGCCTTGACAGACAAAACGAAATACAAAATATAACATTTATACTTACAATTTTGCAATGCAGTGTGCTTCATCAATGAAAATTGCCATCAAAATCTTCTCTTTAGTCAGGCTGTGTTCCAAGAACTGTCTCTGGACTTGCAAATATTATTATGTCAGTGTCAGGGTGAAAAAACCGTCACAGTAGCATGGTTGGAGTTATTAAGTTTCTTAAACACGAATGGTGCTAATTCAAAAGTAAGTGATTTTCCTGATCCTGTTGGAGAAAAAAAAGGACATCCTTTCCTCTGAGGTAACTTACAATCACTTGTCTTTGATGATTCCTGAAGTGATCAATTATGTAACTGCATTACCTTCCATACCAACAGTTATACATGTAGTTAAGTTAAATAGAGGGCGTATATACTTAAAACACAACATCAATCCTTTGTTCCGTTCAGCAGTGTGTCAGATTCGTGATGGCTAGCTTGAGGTGGCTAGACTTGCTTTTTGTATGCATTACTAGATTCTTTTTTTAAATGAAATAAATATATTCCACGGTCATTGGTGCAGGACTAATTGTGTATATCACCTGAATTTTGGTCAATACCTGAAATACTCAGTCGCCAATACAGCCCCTATTTCATATAAGGTTATGAAAATACATGTCGGTTGGAGCCTGAAGCCTGAAGTAGAATTTAGGTTATTACACGGATGATATACATGTAAGGCCGAAAATTGATGAACTTCTTTATTATGAAGAACACAATGTTTGGGACTAATATCATTAGTTGAAGGAGTAAGTATTACACCCAAACGTTCTGTTCCACACAATGCGTTTCACTTCTGAATGTTTTTCTAAGAGTTGATACATACACTTGCCTTGTATATATGGTTGATGCACGTCGAGTGTCTCAGAAACGCGGGATCTGCAGGTATTAGAGCTGAATACAGTTGTGATTTGACGAATTCTTTTTCTTTTGACTCTTCCTCTTATTTCGTTTTTCAGCTTAGCATTGTGTATACACAACGTAATTAACGGATTCTGACATCAGCCACATATCTCGGACCACCCCACGAGTCTCTCTTAACCGTTCAATTAACGTTCCGCTTGGTGTTGCCACACCTGTCCGCCATCTGCTGTTGAGATACTGTAACGGTTCTCGTCTGAAAAGAGGACTTCTCCCACTGCTGGTGCTGTGCTACCCACTGAAGACGGTCCAGGAAACAAAGAAGAAGACTGAAAGGGTATGATTTCTATTTACTTACTTCTTTTGTTAGTAAATAAGCGGCCTTCAAAAGCGACTATGCTTGTCGTAAGAGGAGACTAACGGGTGGTCAGACTAGCTTGACTTGGTTGATACATGCCATCGTATCCCAATTGTGTGGATTGAGTGTGGCGATAAATAACAAAAAACAAACAAACAGTTGTCTCAGATTATTTATATTTAAAAACATGTATATATTTGTTAAAAGTATGTTTCTATTTATACTGCTCGCACAAAGTAGGGGATATTGAAAAGTTACTACGAAAAGCTTCAGAATTATGTTTAATTTTCATTGGGAAACAATAATAATGTGGAAATAAGGATGTTAAGAAACAGTTTTGAAAGTAATGACTTTGATCAAGCTGCAATTTCATTTTGTCGACACTGGAAAATTCATGAGGGGTAGAAACCCAAAAGTTGTGCTTCTATGCTTTCTTCCGGCTTGGATCATCCCAATTGCTCTCAATCTTTCGTCTTCTCGTAACCTTCGCATTGTGGAAAGTGGTGAAGTGATGGATGAACTTGGTCCAAGACCCATGTTTAACACCCATTTTTGCCCGTGAGGCACGTGGATTTTGTCATTTGCACGTGTGACACAAGATGTGATTTCTCATCCCCACCCCCTGGTACGTTTGAGTGCAATTTTCCTGGATGCAAGGGCATCTGGTGGGTCATTGTGAGGCTTGCTCAGACGGACCTATGCTTTTCCTCAATCATACACAAATGTTTTGTAGGCATCTATATTACTGTCTTTGTGCCATTGATTTTAATTTCAATATACCCTACTTTTTGTGAGCAGTTTATATCCTACACATATGAAAAGATTAATGAAAGATTGTTTCTGAAACTTATACAGTGGAAATTTATTTCAGATACCACTGGGAGTGCTTCAGTGAGGACCTCAGTGACCGTTCTCCATCACAGTAGGTGCTCAGCGGAGGGGACTACCTCACCCTTGAGAGGCAGAAACAAGCCAATCATGCACTTACGAGATGGACCTACACCAAGTTCCAGATTACAAGGACTTGTTCCAAAGATGGAAGAGTTCCATAACGAAGCTGAATTTCTAAAGGTATATGTAATTAACTGCATTTTCTGTAATTGCGATTTAACAAAAGAAGGACAGTTATTGTGTGGTTTGTAAATTGGTTTATTGTTTTGTTGCAAAAGTAACGGATTAGTCTTTGTGTAATACCTGACTACCTGAAGATATTTCTTTTTCAGGTTATATGGAAACACTTGTACTCGTCCTCCTCTAACAAGTCTGTTTGGCACTCTGCATGCTGCAAAGGAGCACAATAAATGCGGTGAATGTTACTCAGGATCCTCATGACAACTTTTACCCATGCTCTGAATTCATGGACAAGGTCACCACCGCCTACATCGTAACTCGGGGACTACATTACTTCCAAATGGAACACCTCACTTCTGTCCCAACGTCAAGTTACATGGGTGCTGTTGGCAATCCATATAAAATGATTGATTATTTTCTAGGTCATGCAGCAAAACAGTTTGTAGACAAGCACGTCTTACCGGAGGTTCCTCAACAGCCAGGTCATGGTCTCCAAATCAAACACACTAGCCTGCAGGTACTGTGGAAAACTGTACCAGAGACCAAAAGCTCTCCGCAAACACGAAGCATCCGGAATATAATGCTGAAAACAATCAGGATTCCACATCTTCAGCAGAATCAAGATCATCTATTTATCAGTACACCCGTCTGTCTCTCATGCTTGGGCTTCTTCGAATAAATCACAACGATTCCATTCACATGGGAGATGGTGGCAGGCATGATGAGACTAGTAAAGTGGTTCTGTTTATACTACAAGGCAAGCAAATGTCCAAAGTATGCATATGGTCTCCTTTGAAACACAGGCAAAGGCATATGCTCTCCTATATGAACGGCAGGCTTTATAGATTGATATGGAACCGCACAGTCAACCATCAAGGCAGAGAAGACACCAATCATCCCATCGACCTTGACTTGGAGCATTGCAACAGGGCTTTCAAAGATGATGTACACACATACAAGGGGAGGTACACAGATAAAAGACGATTCTCAAAGTCAGCAGAAGTGCGCTGTCAATGGAAGAATTATGCCAAAAATACGACAAATTGGCATTCCGCAAGAAATGTTCGGGAAGGCATGGAGTTGTTGATCCTTCTTGGTGATATTCTTAAACTTGTAGAACAATTCCATTCCTATGCAGCTCAATTCAATGAGGCCAACAAGCCACTGCCACAGAGAAATCAAAAACATGCTGAGTGACATCCAAAATTGGATTTCAGAAAGTCTTAAAGTCTTCAGTAGCCGCACATACTATAACATCTGAACCTTTTTTCCCGATGTGTAATTCAGTGTCACATGATTAAAACGAGACCCTGTTGCAAAGTCGCTATCACTGTATGTTTCATGATCTTCATGTTCTGAGTCTGAGTGAGATGATGAGCTATCACTCGAGTCAAGGGAAGTTTTGTACAACTCAAGAATATCACATCTACATTCACTACATGGGGTAATTGCATGTCCATGAGTCTCTGCAGTCACAGAGACACTTGCAAGATATGGCACAGTTGTCCATAGCACTCATGACTTCAGTAAAGCTCAACTCGTCGACATACGTTGGTTCTGACATACTGTTTCATTTCATCCGAAATATTCCGCCTGCCACTGAGACATCGTCTAAATTTCATGAGAAGAGCATGTGCCTGCTTTTCTGGATCCCTGCCTGCTCCGTCCTTGTCTCTTGAATATAATCCTCAACATTATTGGCTGGACCATAGTGGATGACGGTTTCCACACTTTGTAAGTCCCAAGCTGAATGGTGTTGAGCAATGGACTATCAAGGGACTATCATCCTCTTGAAACCATTTGGATCCATGAAGGACTCTGACACACTTCCCTGTTTTCCTTCTCATTCATACATATTCTGTATGTTGTTATGCATGATTGATGTTGAACTTTAATTGAAACTTTAGCTTGAAAATTGGCCGATTTCTTTTATGAAATTTAACTCCTATTATAAGAATAAGATCAACATATGCAAAAACAATTGTTGTTAGATGATTATTTTTTTGTAACCGATCAACAAGATCAACTTTAGTGTTTTAGTGTTTTAACTTAGCTAATGTAATGTAATACAGTGGATGTATGCATTCCTTTTTCATAAGGGCATTAACATATATTACATAATGCCTCTACCTGGGACTGCGGCCAAACTTACAAAATTAACCCTTGTTTGAGAGTAACAAGTATCAAGTTCATGATGATTGTAGAAGTGATTGTATGTATTCATAAATGTGACACATGCACATTTTGAAATGTTAATATTTGTGCTTTAACTTTGATTTGATGAATATCAAATTAGATATTGTATACACTTTATAGCTACTTGTGATCAGTGCACATTTTTATACCTTTAGATTGTGCAGTTTCATAGTGGTTAGTAAGAATATTTTGTGAATTTATACTTGTTTTATCACAAAACATGTGAATGAGTGAATGTCGTCTCATACTGCAGTCAGCAATATTGCAGCCATATGAAGGCAGCCTGTAAACCAGTAATTGATACGCACACCATCCTAGTACATAAAACATTCGCTCTCCATGCCTATTTATGGTGTCCCCGTCGTGATTTTGCTGGGATATTGCCAAAAGATGCGTAAATCCATGCTCTCTCAATTCAACATGCCATGCCTTGACAGACAAAACGAAATACAAAATATAACATTTATACTTACAATTTTGCAATGCAGTGTGCTTCATCAATGAAAATTGCCATCAAAATCTTCTCTTTAGTCAGGCTGTGTTCCAAGAACTGTCTCTGGACTTGCAAATATTATTATGTCAGTGTCAGGGTGAAAAAACCGTCACAGTAGCATGGTTGGAGTTATTAAGTTTCTTAAACACGAATGGTGCTAATTCAAAAGTAAGTGATTTTCCTGATCCTGTTGGAGAAAAAAAAGGACATCCTTTCCTCTGAGGTAACTTACAATCACTTGTCTTTGATGATTCCTGAAGTGATCAATTATGTAACTGCATTACCTTCCATACCAACAGTTATACATGTAGTTAAGTTAAATAGAGGGCGTATATACTTAAAACACAACATCAATCCTTTGTTCCGTTCAGCAGTGTGTCAGATTCGTGATGGCTAGCTTGAGGTGGCTAGACTTGCTTTTTGTATGCATTACTAGATTATTTTTTTAAATGAAATAAATATATTCCACGGTCATTGGTGCAGGACTAATTGTGTATATCACCTGAATTTTGGTCAATACCTGAAATACTCAGTCGCCAATACAGCCCCTATTTCATATAAGGTTATGAAAATACATGTCGGTTGGAGCCTGAAGCCTGAAGTAGAATTTAGGTTATTACACGGATGATATACATGTAAGGCCGAAAATTGATGAACTTCTTTATTATGAAGAACACAATGTTTGGGACTAATATCATTAGTTGAAGGAGTAAGTATTACACCCAAACGTTCTGTTCCACACAATGCGTTTCACTTCTGAATGTTTTTCTAAGAGTTGATACATACACTTGCCTTGTATATATGGTTGATGCACGTCGAGTGTCTCAGAAACGCGGGATCTGCAGGTATTAGAGCTGAATACAGTTGTGATTTGACGAATTCTTTTTCTTTTGACTCTTCCTCTTATTTCGTTTTTCAGCTTAGCATTGTGTATACACAACGTAATTAACGGATTCTGACATCAGCCACATATCTCGGACCACCCCACGAGTCTCTCTTAACCGTTCAATTAACGTTCCGCTTGGTGTTGCCACACCTGTCCGCCATCTGCTGTTGAGATACTGTAACGGTTCTCGTCTGAAAAGAGGACTTCCCCCACTGCTGGTGCTGTGCTACCCACTGAAGACGGTCCAGGAAACAAAGAAGAAGACTGAAAGGGTATGATTTCTATTTACTTACTTCTTTTGTTAGTAAATAAGCGGCCTTCAAAAGCGACTATGCTTGTCGTAAGAGGAGACTAACGGGTGGTCAGACTAGCTTGACTTGGTTGATACATGCCATCGTATCCCAATTGTGTGGATTGAGTGTGGCGATAAATAACAAAAAACAAACAAACAGTTGTCTCAGATTATTTATATTTAAAAACATGTATATATTTGTTAAAAGTATGTTTCTATTTATACTGCTCACACAAAGTAGGGGATATTGAAAAGTTACGACGAAAAGCTTCAGAATTATGTTTAATTTTCATTGGGAAACAATAATAATGTGGAAATAAGGATGTTAAGAAACAGTTTTGAAAGTAATGACTTTGATCAAGCTGCAATTTCATTTTGTCGACACTGGAAAATTCATGAGGGGTAGAAACCCAAAAGTTGTGCTTCTATGCTTTCTTCCGGCTTGGATCATCCCAATTGCTCTCAATCTTTCGTCTTCTCGTAACCTTCGCATTGTGGAAAGTGGTGAAGTGATGGATGAACTTGGTCCAAGACCCATGTTTAACACCCATTTTTGCCCGTGAGGCACGTGGATTTTGTCATTTGCACGTGTGACACAAGATGTGATTTCTCATCCCCACCCCCTGGTACGTTTGAGTGCAATTTTCCTGGATGCAAGGGCATCTGGTGGGTCATTGTGAGGCTTGCTCAGACGGACCTATGCTTTTCCTCAATCATACACAAATGTTTTGTAGGCATCTATATTACTGTCTTTGTGCCATTGATTTTAATTTCAATATACCCTACTTTTTGTGAGCAGTTTATGTCCTACACATATGAAAAGATTAATGAAAGATTGTTTCTGAAACTTATACAGTGGAAATTTATTTCAGATACCACTGGGAGTGCTTCAGTGAGGACCTCAGTGACCGTTCTCCATCACAGTAGGTGCTCAGCGGAGGGGACTACCTCACCCTTGAGAGGCAGAAACAAGCCAATCATGCACTTACGAGATGGACCTACACCAAGTTCCAGATTACAAGGACTTGTTCCAAAGATGGAAGAGTTCCATAACGAAGCTGAATTTCTAAAGGTATATGTAATTAACTGCATTTTCTGTAATTGCGATTTAACAAAAGAAGGACAGTTATTGTGTGGTTTGTAAATTGGTTTATTGTTTTGTTGCAAAAGTAACGGATTAGTCTTTGTGTAATACCTGACTACCTGAAGATATTTCTTTTTCAGGTTATATGGAAACACTTGTACTCGTCCTCCTCTAACAAGTCTGTTTGGCACTCTGCATGCTGCAAAGGAGCACAATAAATGCGGTGAATGTTACTCAGGATCCTCATGACAACTTTTACCCATGCTCTGAATTCATGGACAAGGTCACCACCGCCTACATCGTAACTGGGGGACTACATTACTTCCAAATGGAACACCTCACTTCTGTCCCAACGTCAAGTTACATGGGTGCTGTTGGCAATCCATATAAAATGATTGATTATTTTCTAGGTCATGCAGCAAAACAGTTTGTAGACAAGCACGTCTTACCGGAGGTTCCTCAACAGCCAGGTCATGGTCTCCAAATCAAACACACTAGCCTGCAGGTACTGTGGAAAACTGTACCAGAGACCAAAAGCTCTCCGCAAACACGAAGCATCCGGAATATAATGCTGAAAACAATCAGGATTCCACATCTTCAGCAGAATCAAGATCATCTATTTATCAGTACACCCGTCTGTCTCTCATGCTTGGGCTTCTTCGAATAAATCACAACGATTCCATTCACATGGGAGATGGTGGCAGGCATGATGAGACTAGTAAAGTGGTTCTGTTTATACTACAAGGCAAGCAAATGTCCAAAGTATGCATATGGTCTCCTTTGAAACACAGGCAAAGGCATATGCTCTCCTATATGAACGGCAGGCTTTATAGATTGATATGGAACCGCACAGTCAACCATCAAGGCAGAGAAGACACCAATCATCCCATCGACCTTGACTTGGAGCATTGCAACAGGGCTTTCAAAGATGATGTACACACATACAAGGGGAGGTACACAGATAAAAGACGATTCTCAAAGTCAGCAGAAGTGCGCTGTCAATGGAAGAATTATGCCAAAAATACGACAAATTGGCATTCCGCAAGAAATGTTCGGGAAGGCATGGAGTTGTTGATCCTTCTTGGTGATATTCTTAAACTTGTAGAACAATTCCATTCCTATGCAGCTCTATTCAATGAGGCCAACAAGCCACTGCCACAGAGAAATCAAAAACATGCTGAGTGACATCCAAAATTGGATTTCAGAAAGTCTTAAAGTCTTCAGTAGCCGCACATACTATAACATCTGAACCTTTTTTCCCGATGTGTAATTCAGTGTCACATGATTAAAACGAGACCCTGTTGCAAAGTCGCTATCACTGTATGTTTCATGATCTTCATGTTCTGAGTCTGAGTGAGATGATGAGCTATCACTCGAGTCAAGGGAAGTTTTGTACAACTCAAGAATATCACATCTACATTCACTACATGGGGTAATTGCATGTCCATGAGTCTCTGCAGTCACAGAGACACTTGCAAGATATGGCACAGTTGTCCATAGCACTCATGACTTCAGTAAAGCTCAACTCGTCGACATACGTTGGTTCTGACATACTGTTTCATTTCATCCGAAATATTCCGCCTGCCACTGAGACATCGTCTAAATTTCATGAGAAGAGCATGTGCCTGCTTTTCTGGATCCCTGCCTGCTCCGTCCTTGTCTCTTGAATATAATCCTCAACATTATTGGCTGGACCATAGTGGATGACGGTTTCCACACTTTGTAAGTCCCAAGCTGAATGGTGTTGAGCAATGGACTATCAAGGGACTATCATCCTCATGAAACCATTTGGATCCATGAAGGACTCTGACACACTTCCCTGTTTTCCTTCTCATTCATACATATTCTGTATGTTGTTATGCATGATTGATGTTGAACTTTAATTGAAACTTTAGCTTGAAAATTGGCCGATTTCTTTTATGAAATTTAACTCCTATTATAAGAATAAGATCAACATATGCAAAAACAATTGTTGTTAGATGATTATTTTTTTGTAACCGATCAACAAGATCAACTTTAGTGTTTTAGTGTTTTAACTTAGCTAATGTAATGTAATACAGTGGATGTATGCATTCCTTTTTCATAAGGGCATTAACATATATTACATAATGCCTCTACCTGGGACTGCGGCCAAACTTACAAAATTAACCCTTGTTTGAGAGTAACAAGTATCAAGTTCATGATGATTGTAGAAGTGATTGTATGTATTCATAAATGTGACACATGCACATTTTGAAATGTTAATATTTGTGCTTTAACTTTGATTTGATGAATATCAAATTAGATATTGTATACACTTTATAGCTACTTGTGATCAGTGCACATTTTTATACCTTTAGATTGTGCAGTTTCATAGTGGTTAGTAAGAATATTTTGTGAATTTATACTTGTTTTATCACAAAACATGTGAATGAGTGAATGTCGTCTCATACTGCAGTCAGCAATATTGCAGCCATATGAAGGCAGCCTGTAAACCAGTAATTGATACGCACACCATCCTAGTACATAAAACATTCGCTCTCCATGCCTACTTATGGTGTCCCCGTCGTGATTTTGCTGGGATTTTGCCAAAAGATGTGTAAATCCATGCTCTCTCAATTCAACATGCCATGCCTTGACAGACAAAACGAAATACAAAATATAACATTTATACTTACAATTTTGCAATGCAGTGTGCTTCATCAATGAAAATTGCCATCAAAATCTTCTCTTTAGTCAGGCTGTGTTCCAAGAACTGTCTCTGGACTTGCAAATATTATTATGTCAGTGTCAGGGTGAAAAAACCGTCACAGTAGCATGGTTGGAGTTATTAAGTTTCTTAAACACGAATGGTGCTAATTCAAAAGTAAGTGATTTTCCTGATCCTGTTGGAGAAAAAAAAGGACATCCTTTCCTCTGAGGTAACTTACAATCACTTGTCTTTGATGATTCCTGAAGTGATCAATTATGTAACTGCATTACCTTCCATACCAACAGTTATACATGTAGTTAAGTTAAATAGAGGGCGTATATACTTAAAACACAACATCAATCCTTTGTTCCGTTCAGCAGTGTGTCAGATTCGTGATGGCTAGCTTGAGGTGGCTAGACTTGCTTTTTGTATGCATTACTAGATTATTTTTTTAAATGAAATAAATATATTCCACGGTCATTGGTGCAGGACTAATTGTGTATATCACCTGAATTTTGGTCAATACCTGAAATACTCAGTCGCCAATACAGCCCCTATTTCATATAAGGTTATGAAAATACATGTCGGTTGGAGCCTGAAGCCTGAAGTAGAATTTAGGTTATTACACGGATGATATACATGTAAGGCCGAAAATTGATGAACTTCTTTATTATGAAGAACACAATGTTTGGGACTAATATCATTAGTTGAAGGAGTAAGTATTACACCCAAACGTTCTGTTCCACACAATGCGTTTCACTTCTGAATGTTTTTCTAAGAGTTGATACATACACTTGCCTTGTATATATGGTTGATGCACGTCGATTGTCTCAGAAACGCGGGATCTGCAGGTATTAGAGCTGAATACAGTTGTGATTTGACGAATTCTTTTTCTTTTGACTCTTCCTCTTATTTCGTTTTTCAGCTTAGCATTGTGTATACACAACGTAATTAACGGATTCTGACATCAGCCACATATCTCGGACCACCCCACGAGTCTCTCTTAACCGTTCAATTAACGTTCCGCTTGGTGTTGCCACACCTGTCCGCCATCTGCTGTTGAGATACTGTAACGGTTCTCGTCTGAAAAGAGGACTTCTCCCACTGCTGGTGCTGTGCTACCCACTGAAGACGGTCCAGGAAACAAAGAAGAAGACTGAAAGGGTATGATTTCTATTTACTTACTTCTTTTGTTAGTAAATAAGCGGCCTTCAAAAGCGACTATGCTTGTCGTAAGAGGAGACTAACGGGTGGTCAGACTAGCTTGACTTGGTTGATACATGCCATCGTATCCCAATTGTGTGGATTGAGTGTGGCGATAAATAACAAAAAACAAACAAACAGTTGTCTCAGATTATTTATATTTAAAAACATGTATATATTTGTTAAAAGTATGTTTCTATTTATACTGCTCGCACAAAGTAGGGGATATTGAAAAGTTACTACGAAAAGCTTCAGAATTATGTTTAATTTTCATTGGGAAACAATAATAATGTGGAAATAAGGATGTTAAGAAACAGTTTTGAAAGTAATGACTTTGATCAAGCTGCAATTTCATTTTGTCGACACTGGAAAATTCATGAGGGGTAGAAACCCAAAAGTTGTGCTTCTATGCTTTCTTCCGGCTTGGATCATCCCAATTGCTCTCAATCTTTCGTCTTCTCGTAACCTTCGCATTGTGGAAAGTGGTGAAGTGATGGATGAACTTGGTCCAAGACCCATGTTTAACACCCATTTTTGCCCGTGAGGCACGTGGATTTTGTCATTTGCACGTGTGACACAAGATGTGATTTCTCATCCCCACCCCCTGGTACGTTTGAGTGCAATTTTCCTGGATGCAAGGGCATCTGGTGGGTCATTGTGAGGCTTGCTCAGACGGACCTATGCTTTTCCTCAATCATACACAAATGTTTTGTAGGCATCTATATTACTGTCTTTGTGCCATTGATTTTAATTTCAATATACCCTACTTTTTGTGAGCAGTTTATATCCTACACATATGAAAAGATTAATGAAAGATTGTTTCTGAAACTTATACAGTGGAAATTTATTTCAGATACCACTGGGAGTGCTTCAGTGAGGACCTCAGTGACCGTTCTCCATCACAGTAGGTGCTCAGCGGAGGGGACTACCTCACCCTTGAGAGGCAGAAACAAGCCAATCATGCACTTACGAGATGGACCTACACCAAGTTCCAGATTACAAGGACTTGTTCCAAAGATGGAAGAGTTCCATAACGAAGCTGAATTTCTAAAGGTATATGTAATTAACTGCATTTTCTGTAATTGCGATTTAACAAAAGAAGGACAGTTATTGTGTGGTTTGTAAATTGGTTTATTGTTTTGTTGCAAAAGTAACGGATTAGTCTTTGTGTAATACCTGACTACCTGAAGATATTTCTTTTTCAGGTTATATGGAAACACTTGTACTCGTCCTCCTCTAACAAGTCTGTTTGGCACTCTGCATGCTGCAAAGGAGCACAATAAATGCGGTGAATGTTACTCAGGATCCTCATGACAACTTTTACCCATGCTCTGAATTCATGGACAAGGTCACCACCGCCTACATCGTAACTCGGGGACTACATTACTTCCAAATGGAACACCTCACTTCTGTCCCAACGTCAAGTTACATGGGTGCTGTTGGCAATCCATATAAAATGATTGATTATTTTCTAGGTCATGCAGCAAAACAGTTTGTAGACAAGCACGTCTTACCGGAGGTTCCTCAACAGCCAGGTCATGGTCTCCAAATCAAACACACTAGCCTGCAGGTACTGTGGAAAACTGTACCAGAGACCAAAAGCTCTCCGCAAACAGGAAGCATCCGGAATATAATGCTGAAAACAATCAGGATTCCACATCTTCAGCAGAATCAAGATCATCTATTTATCAGTACACCCGTCTGTCTCTCATGCTTGGGCTTCTTCGAATAAATCACAACGATTCCATTCACATGGGAGATGGTGGCAGGCATGATGAGACTAGTAAAGTGGTTCTGTTTATACTACAAGGCAAGCAAATGTCCAAAGTATGCATATGGTCTCCTTTGAAACACAGGCAAAGGCATATGCTCTCCTATATGAACGGCAGGCTTTATAGATTGATATGGAACCGCACAGTCAACCATCAAGGCAGAGAAGACACCAATCATCCCATCGACCTTGACTTGGAGCATTGCAACAGGGCTTTCAAAGATGATGTACACACATACAAGGGGAGGTACACAGATAAAAGACGATTCTCAAAGTCAGCAGAAGTGCGCTGTCAATGGAAGAATTATGCCAAAAATACGACAAATTGGCATTCCGCAAGAAATGTTCGGGAAGGCATGGAGTTGTTGATCCTTCTTGGTGATATTCTTAAACTTGTAGAACAATTCCATTCCTATGCAGCTCAATTCAATGAGGCCAACAAGCCACTGCCACAGAGAAATCAAAAACATGCTGAGTGACATCCAAAATTGGATTTCAGAAAGTCTTAAAGTCTTCAGTAGCCGCACATACTATAACATCTGAACCTTTTTTCCCGATGTGTAATTCAGTGTCACATGATTAAAACGAGACCCTGTTGCAAAGTCGCTATCACTGTATGTTTCATGATCTTCATGTTCTGAGTCTGAGTGAGATGATGAGCTATCACTCGAGTCAAGGGAAGTTTTGTACAACTCAAGAATATCACATCTACATTCACTACATGGGGTAATTGCATGTCCATGAGTCTCTGCAGTCACAGAGACACTTGCAAGATATGGCACAGTTGTCCATAGCACTCATGACTTCAGTAAAGCTCAACTCGTCGACATACGTTGGTTCTGACATACTGTTTCATTTCATCCGAAATATTCCGCCTGCCACTGAGACATCGTCTAAATTTCATGAGAAGAGCATGTGCCTGCTTTTCTGGATCCCTGCCTGCTCCGTCCTTGTCTCTTGAATATAATCCTCAACATTATTGGCTGGACCATAGTGGATGACGGTTTCCACACTTTGTAAGTCCCAAGCTGAATGGTGTTGAGCAATGGACTATCAAGGGACTATCATCCTCTTGAAACCATTTGGATCCATGAAGGACTCTGACACACTTCCCTGTTTTCCTTCTCATTCATACATATTCTGTATGTTGTTATGCATGATTGATGTTGAACTTTAATTGAAACTTTAGCTTGAAAATTGGCCGATTTCTTTTATGAAATTTAACTCCTATTATAAGAATAAGATCAACATATGCAAAAACAATTGTTGTTAGATGATTATTTTTTTGTAACCGATCAACAAGATCAACTTTAGTGTTTTAGTGTTTTAACTTAGCTAATGTAATGTAATACAGTGGATGTATGCATTCCTTTTTCATAAGGGCATTAACATATATTACATAATGCCTCTACCTGGGACTGCGGCCAAACTTACAAAATTAACCCTTGTTTGAGAGTAACAAGTATCAAGTTCATGATGATTGTAGAAGTGATTGTATGTATTCATAAATGTGACACATGCACATTTTGAAATGTTAATATTTGTGCTTTAACTTTGATTTGATGAATATCAAATTAGATATTGTATACACTTTATAGCTACTTGTGATCAGTGCACATTTTTATACCTTTAGATTGTGCAGTTTCATAGTGGTTAGTAAGAATATTTTGTGAATTTATACTTGTTTTATCACAAAACATGTGAATGAGTGAATGTCGTCTCATACTGCAGTCAGCAATATTGCAGCCATATGAAGGCAGCCTGTAAACCAGTAATTGATACGCACACCATCCTAGTACATAAAACATTCGCTCTCCATGCCTACTTATGGTGTCCCCGTCGTGATTTTGCTGGGATTTTGCCAAAAGATGCGTAAATCCATGCTCTCTCAATTCAACATGCCATGCCTTGACAGACAAAACGAAATACAAAATATAACATTTATACTTACAATTTTGCAATGCAGTGTGCTTCATCAATGAAAATTGCCATCAAAATCTTCTCTTTAGTCAGGCTGTGTTCCAAGAACTGTCTCTGGACTTGCAAATATTATTATGTCAGTGTCAGGGTGAAAAAACCGTCACAGTAGCATGGTTGGAGTTATTAAGTTTCTTAAACACGAATGGTGCTAATTCAAAAGTAAGTGATTTTCCTGATCCTGTTGGAGAAAAAAAAGGACATCCTTTCCTCTGAGGTAACTTACAATCACTTGTCTTTGATGATTCCTGAAGTGATCAATTATGTAACTGCATTACCTTCCATACCAACAGTTATACATGTAGTTAAGTTAAATAGAGGGCGTATATACTTAAAACACAACATCAATCCTTTGTTCCGTTCAGCAGTGTGTCAGATTCGTGATGGCTAGCTTGAGGTGGCTAGACTTGCTTTTTGTATGCATTACTAGATTCTTTTTTTAAATGAAATAAATATATTCCACGGTCATTGGTGCAGGACTAATTGTGTATATCACCTGAATTTTGGTCAATACCTGAAATACTCAGTCGCCAATACAGCCCCTATTTCATATAAGGTTATGAAAATACATGTCGGTTGGAGCCTGAAGCCTGAAGTAGAATTTAGGTTATTACACGGATGATATACATGTAAGGCCGAAAATTGATGAACTTCTTTATTATGAAGAACACAATGTTTGGGACTAATATCATTAGTTGAAGGAGTAAGTATTACACCCAAACGTTCTGTTCCACACAATGCGTTTCACTTCTGAATGTTTTTCTAAGAGTTGATACATACACTTGCCTTGTATATATGGTTGATGCACGTCGAGTGTCTCAGAAACGCGGGATCTGCAGGTATTAGAGCTGAATACAGTTGTGATTTGACGAATTCTTTTTCTTTTGACTCTTCCTCTTATTTCGTTTTTCAGCTTAGCATTGTGTATACACAACGTAATTAACGGATTCTGACATCAGCCACATATCTCGGACCACCCCACGAGTCTCTCTTAACCGTTCAATTAACGTTCCGCTTGATGTTGCCACACCTGTCCGCCATCTGCTGTTGAGATACTGTAACGGTTCTCGTCTGAAAAGAGGACTTCTCCCACTGCTGGTGCTGTGCTACCCACTGAAGACGGTCCAGGAAACAAAGAAGAAGACTGAAAGGGTATGATTTCTATTTACTTACTTCTTTTGTTAGTAAATAAGCGGCCTTCAAAAGCGACTATGCTTGTCGTAAGAGGAGACTAACGGGTGGTCAGACTAGCTTGACTTGGTTGATACATGCCATCGTATCCCAATTGTGTGGATTGAGTGTGGCGATAAATAACAAAAAACAAACAAACAGTTGTCTCAGATTATTTATATTTAAAAACATGTATATATTTGTTAAAAGTATGTTTCTATTTATACTGCTCGCACAAAGTAGGGGATATTGAAAAGTTACTACGAAAAGCTTCAGAATTATGTTTAATTTTCATTGGGAAACAATAATAATGTGGAAATAAGGATGTTAAGAAACAGTTTTGAAAGTAATGACTTTGATCAAGCTGCAATTTCATTTTGTCGACACTGGAAAATTCATGAGGGGTAGAAACCCAAAAGTTGTGCTTCTATGCTTTCTTCCGGCTTGGATCATCCCAATTGCTCTCAATCTTTCGTCTTCTCGTAACCTTCGCATTGTGGAAAGTGGTGAAGTGATGGATGAACTTGGTCCAAGACCCATGTTTAACACCCATTTTTGCCCGTGAGGCACGTGGATTTTGTCATTTGCACGTGTGACACAAGATGTGATTTCTCATCCCCACCCCCTGGTACGTTTGAGTGCAATTTTCCTGGATGCAAGGGCATCTGGTGGGTCATTGTGAGGCTTGCTCAGACGGACCTATGCTTTTCCTCAATCATACACAAATGTTTTGTAGGCATCTATATTACTGTCTTTGTGCCATTGATTTTAATTTCAATATACCCTACTTTTTGTGAGCAGTTTATATCCTACACATATGAAAAGATTAATGAAAGATTGTTTCTGAAACTTATACAGTGGAAATTTATTTCAGATACCACTGGGAGTGCTTCAGTGAGGACCTCAGTGACCGTTCTCCATCACAGTAGGTGCTCAGCGGAGGGGACTACCTCACCCTTGAGAGGCAGAAACAAGCCAATCATGCACTTACGAGATGGACCTACACCAAGTTCCAGATTACAAGGACTTGTTCCAAAGATGGAAGAGTTCCATAACGAAGCTGAATTTCTAAAGGTATATGTAATTAACTGCATTTTCTGTAATTGCGATTTAACAAAAGAAGGACAGTTATTGTGTGGTTTGTAAATTGGTTTATTGTTTTGTTGCAAAAGTAACGGATTAGTCTTTGTGTAATACCTGACTACCTGAAGATATTTCTTTTTCAGGTTATATGGAAACACTTGTACTCGTCCTCCTCTAACAAGTCTGTTTGGCACTCTGCATGCTGCAAAGGAGCACAATAAATGCGGTGAATGTTACTCAGGATCCTCATGACAACTTTTACCCATGCTCTGAATTCATGGACAAGGTCACCACCGCCTACATCGTAACTCGGGGACTACATTACTTCCAAATGGAACACCTCACTTCTGTCCCAACGTCAAGTTACATGGGTGCTGTTGGCAATCCATATAAAATGATTGATTATTTTCTAGGTCATGCAGCAAAACAGTTTGTAGACAAGCACGTCTTACCGGAGGTTCCTCAACAGCCAGGTCATGGTCTCCAAATCAAACACACTAGCCTGCAGGTACTGTGGAAAACTGTACCAGAGACCAAAAGCTCTCCGCAAACACGAAGCATCCGGAATATAATGCTGAAAACAATCAGGATTCCACATCTTCAGCAGAATCAAGATCATCTATTTATCAGTACACCCGTCTGTCTCTCATGCTTGGGCTTCTTCGAATAAATCACAACGATTCCATTCACATGGGAGATGGTGGCAGGCATGATGAGACTAGTAAAGTGGTTCTGTTTATACTACAAGGCAAGCAAATGTCCAAAGTATGCATATGGTCTCCTTTGAAACACAGGCAAAGGCATATGCTCTCCTATATGAACGGCAGGCTTTATAGATTGATATGGAACCGCACAGTCAACCATCAAGGCAGAGAAGACACCAATCATCCCATCGACCTTGACTTGGAGCATTGCAACAGGGCTTTCAAAGATGATGTACACACATACAAGGGGAGGTACACAGATAAAAGACGATTCTCAAAGTCAGCAGAAGTGCGCTGTCAATGGAAGAATTATGCCAAAAATACGACAAATTGGCATTCCGCAAGAAATGTTCGGGAAGGCATGGAGTTGTTGATCCTTCTTGGTGATATTCTTAAACTTGTAGAACAATTCCATTCCTATGCAGCTCAATTCAATGAGGCCAACAAGCCACTGCCACAGAGAAATCAAAAACATGCTGAGTGACATCCAAAATTGGATTTCAGAAAGTCTTAAAGTCTTCAGTAGCCGCACATACTATAACATCTGAACCTTTTTTCCCGATGTGTAATTCAGTGTCACATGATTAAAACGAGACCCTGTTGCAAAGTCGCTATCACTGTATGTTTCATGATCTTCATGTTCTGAGTCTGAGTGAGATGATGAGCTATCACTCGAGTCAAGGGAAGTTTTGTACAACTCAAGAATATCACATCTACATTCACTACATGGGGTAATTGCATGTCCATGAGTCTCTGCAGTCACAGAGACACTTGCAAGATATGGCACAGTTGTCCATAGCACTCATGACTTCAGTAAAGCTCAACTCGTCGACATACGTTGGTTCTGACATACTGTTTCATTTCATCCGAAATATTCCGCCTGCCACTGAGACATCGTCTAAATTTCATGAGAAGAGCATGTGCCTGCTTTTCTGGATCCCTGCCTGCTCCGTCCTTGTCTCTTGAATATAATCCTCAACATTATTGGCTGGACCATAGTGGATGACGGTTTCCACACTTTGTAAGTCCCAAGCTGAATGGTGTTGAGCAATGGACTATCAAGGGACTATCATCCTCTTGAAACCATTTGGATCCATGAAGGACTCTGACACACTTCCCTGTTTTCCTTCTCATTCATACATATTCTGTATGTTGTTATGCATGATTGATGTTGAACTTTAATTGAAACTTTAGCTTGAAAATTGGCCGATTTCTTTTATGAAATTTAACTCCTATTATAAGAATAAGATCAACATATGCAAAAACAATTGTTGTTAGATGATTATTTTTTTGTAACCGATCAACAAGATCAACTTTAGTGTTTTAGTGTTTTAACTTAGCTAATGTAATGTAATACAGTGGATGTATGCATTCCTTTTTCATAAGGGCATTAACATATATTACATAATGCCTCTACCTGGGACTGCGGCCAAACTTACAAAATTAACCCTTGTTTGAGAGTAACAAGTATCAAGTTCATGATGATTGTAGAAGTGATTGTATGTATTCATAAATGTGACACATGCACATTTTGAAATGTTAATATTTGTGCTTTAACTTTGATTTGATGAATATCAAATTAGATATTGTATACACTTTATAGCTACTTGTGATCAGTGCACATTTTTATACCTTTAGATTGTGCAGTTTCATAGTGGTTAGTAAGAATATTTTGTGAATTTATACTTGTTTTATCACAAAACATGTGAATGAGTGAATGTCGTCTCATACTGCAGTCAGCAATATTGCAGCCATATGAAGGCAGCCTGTAAACCAGTAATTGATACGCACACCATCCTAGTACATAAAACATTCGCTCTCCATGCCTATTTATGGTGTCCCCGTCGTGATTTTGCTGGGATATTGCCAAAAGATGCGTAAATCCATGCTCTCTCAATTCAACATGCCATGCCTTGACAGACAAAACGAAATACAAAATATAACATTTATACTTACAATTTTGCAATGCAGTGTGCTTCATCAATGAAAATTGCCATCAAAATCTTCTCTTTAGTCAGGCTGTGTTCCAAGAACTGTCTCTGGACTTGCAAATATTATTATGTCAGTGTCAGGGTGAAAAAACCGTCACAGTAGCATGGTTGGAGTTATTAAGTTTCTTAAACACGAATGGTGCTAATTCAAAAGTAAGTGATTTTCCTGATCCTGTTGGAGAAAAAAAAGGACATCCTTTCCTCTGAGGTAACTTACAATCACTTGTCTTTGATGATTCCTGAAGTGATCAATTATGTAACTGCATTACCTTCCATACCAACAGTTATACATGTAGTTAAGTTAAATAGAGGGCGTATATACTTAAAACACAACATCAATCCTTTGTTCCGTTCAGCAGTGTGTCAGATTCGTGATGGCTAGCTTGAGGTGGCTAGACTTGCTTTTTGTATGCATTACTAGATTCTTTTTTTAAATGAAATAAATATATTCCACGGTCATTGGTGCAGGACTAATTGTGTATATCACCTGAATTTTGGTCAATACCTGAAATACTCAGTCGCCAATACAGCCCCTATTTCATATAAGGTTATGAAAATACATGTCGGTTGGAGCCTGAAGCCTGAAGTAGAATTTAGGTTATTACACGGATGATATACATGTAAGGCCGAAAATTGATGAACTTCTTTATTATGAAGAACACAATGTTTGGGACTAATATCATTAGTTGAAGGAGTAAGTATTACACCCAAACGTTCTGTTCCACACAATGCGTTTCACTTCTGAATGTTTTTCTAAGAGTTGATACATACACTTGCCTTGTATATATGGTTGATGCACGTCGAGTGTCTCAGAAACGCGGGATCTGCAGGTATTAGAGCTGAATACAGTTGTGATTTGACGAATTCTTTTTCTTTTGACTCTTCCTCTTATTTCGTTTTTCAGCTTAGCATTGTGTATACACAACGTAATTAACGGATTCTGACATCAGCCACATATCTCGGAACCACCCCACGAGTCTCTCTTAACCGTTCAATTAACGTTCCGCTTGGTGTTGCCACACCTGTCCGCCATCTGCTGTTGAGATACTGTAACGGTTCTCGTCTGAAAAGAGGACTTCTCCCACTGCTGGTGCTGTGCTACCCACTGAAGACGGTCCAGGAAACAAAGAAGAAGACTGAAAGGGTATGATTTCTATTTACTTACTTCTTTTGTTAGTAAATAAGCGGCCTTCAAAAGCGACTATGCTTGTCGTAAGAGGAGACTAACGGGTGGTCAGACTAGCTTGACTTGGTTGATACATGCCATCGTATCCCAATTGTGTGGATTGAGTGTGGCGATAAATAACAAAAAACAAACAAACAGTTGTCTCAGATTATTTATATTTAAAAACATGTATATATTTGTTAAAAGTATGTTTCTATTTATACTGCTCGCACAAAGTAGGGGATATTGAAAAGTTACGACGAAAAGCTTCAGAATTATGTTTAATTTTCATTGGGAAACAATAATAATGTGGAAATAAGGATGTTAAGAAACAGTTTTGAAAGTAATGACTTTGATCAAGCTGCAATTTCATTTTGTCGACACTGGAAAATTCATGAGGGGTAGAAACCCAAAAGTTGTGCTTCTATGCTTTCTTCCGGCTTGGATCATCCCAATTGCTCTCAATCTTTCGTCTTCTCGTAACCTTCGCATTGTGGAAAGTGGTGAAGTGATGGATGAACTTGGTCCAAGACCCATGTTTAACACCCATTTTTGCCCGTGAGGCACGTGGATTTTGTCATTTGCACGTGTGACACAAGATGTGATTTCTCATCCCCACCCCCTGGTACGTTTGAGTGCAATTTTCCTGGATGCAAGGGCATCTGGTGGGTCATTGTGAGGCTTGCTCAGACGGACCTATGCTTTTCCTCAATCATACACAAATGTTTTGTAGGCATCTATATTACTGTCTTTGTGCCATTGATTTTAATTTCAATATACCCTACTTTTTGTGAGCAGTTTATATCCTACACATATGAAAAGATTAATGAAAGATTGTTTCTGAAACTTATACAGTGGAAATTTATTTCAGATACCACTGGGAGTGCTTCAGTGAGGACCTCAGTGACCGTTCTCCATCACAGTAGGTGCTCAGCGGAGGGGACTACCTCACCCTTGAGAGGCAGAAACAAGCCAATCATGCACTTACGAGATGGACCTACACCAAGTTCCAGATTACAAGGACTTGTGTCAAAGATGGAAGAGTTCCATAACGAAGCTGAATTTCTAAAGGTATATGTAATTAACTGCATTTTCTGTAATTGCGATTTAACAAAAGAAGGACAGTTATTGTGTGGTTTGTAAATTGGTTTATTGTTTTGTTGCAAAAGTAACGGATTAGTCTTTGTGTAATACCTGACTACCTGAAGATATTTCTTTTTCAGGTTATATGGAAACACTTGTACTCGTCCTCCTCTAACAAGTCTGTTTGGCACTCTGCATGCTGCAAAGGAGCACAATAAATGCGGTGAATGTTACTCAGGATCGTCATGACAACTTTTACCCATGCTCTGAATTCATGGACAAGGTCACCACCGCCTACATCGTAACTGGGGGACTACATTACTTCCAAATGGAACACCTCACTTCTGTCCCAACGTCAAGTTACATGGGTGCTGTTGGCAATCCATATAAAATGATTGATTATTTTCTAGGTCATGCAGCAAAACAGTTTGTAGACAAGCACGTCTTACCGGAGGTTCCTCAACAGCCAGGTCATGGTCTCCAAATCAAACACACTAGCCTGCAGGTACTGTGGAAAACTGTACCAGAGACCAAAAGCTCTCCGCAAACACGAAGCATCCGGAATATAATGCTGAAAACAATCAGGATTCCACATCTTCAGCAGAATCAAGATCATCTATTTATCAGTACACCCGTCTGTCTCTCATGCTTGGGCTTCTTCGAATAAATCACAACGATTCCATTCACATGGGAGATGGTGGCAGGCATGATGAGACTAGTAAAGTGGTTCTGTTTATACTACAAGGCAAGCAAATGTCCAAAGTATGCATATGGTCTCCTTTGAAACACAGGCAAAGGCATATGCTCTCCTATATGAACGGCAGGCTTTATAGATTGATATGGAACCGCACAGTCAACCATCAAGGCAGAGAAGACACCAATCATCCCATCGACCTTGACTTGGAGCATTGCAACAGGGCTTTCAAAGATGATGTACACACATACAAGGGGAGGTACACAGATAAAAGACGATTCTCAAAGTCAGCAGAAGTGCGCTGTCAATGGAAGAATTATGCCAAAAATACGACAAATTGGCATTCCGCAAGAAATGTTCGGGAAGGCATGGAGTTGTTGATCCTTCTTGGTGATATTCTTAAACTTGTAGAACAATTCCATTCCTATGCAGCTCTATTCAATGAGGCCAACAAGCCACTGCCACAGAGAAATCAAAAACATGCTGAGTGACATCCAAAATTGGATTTCAGAAAGTCTTAAAGTCTTCAGTAGCCGCACATACTATAACATCTGAACCTTTTTTCCCGATGTGTAATTCAGTGTCACATGATTAAAACGAGACCCTGTTGCAAAGTCGCTATCACTGTATGTTTCATGATCTTCATGTTCTGAGTCTGAGTGAGATGATGAGCTATCACTCGAGTCAAGGGAAGTTTTGTACAACTCAAGAATATCACATCTACATTCACTACATGGGGTAATTGCATGTCCATGAGTCTCTGCAGTCACAGAGACACTTGCAAGATATGGCACAGTTGTCCATAGCACTCATGACTTCAGTAAAGCTCAACTCGTCGACATACGTTGGTTCTGACATACTGTTTCATTTCATCCGAAATATTCCGCCTGCCACTGAGACATCGTCTAAATTTCATGAGAAGAGCATGTGCCTGCTTTTCTGGATCCCTGCCTGCTCCGTCCTTGTCTCTTGAATATAATCCTCAACATTATTGGCTGGACCATAGTGGATGACGGTTTCCACACTTTGTAAGTCCCAAGCTGAATGGTGTTGAGCAATGGACTATCAAGGGACTATCATCCTCTTGAAACCATTTGGATCCATGAAGGACTCTGACACACTTCCCTGTTTTCCTTCTCATTCATACATATTCTGTATGTTGTTATGCATGATTGATGTTGAACTTTAATTGAAACTTTAGCTTGAAAATTGGCCGATTTCTTTTATGAAATTTAACTCCTATTATAAGAATAAGATCAACATATGCAAAAACAATTGTTGTTAGATGATTATTTTTTTGTAACCGATCAACAAGATCAACTTTAGTGTTTTAGTGTTTTAACTTAGCTAATGTAATGTAATACAGTGGATGTATGCATTCCTTTTTCATAAGGGCATTAACATATATTACATAATGCCTCTACCTGGGACTGCGGCCAAACTTACAAAATTAACCCTTGTTTGAGAGTAACAAGTATCAAGTTCATGATGATTGTAGAAGTGATTGTATGTATTCATAAATGTGACACATGCACATTTTGAAATGTTAATATTTGTGCTTTAACTTTGATTTGATGAATATCAAATTAGATATTGTATACACTTTATAGCTACTTGTGATCAGTGCACATTTTTATACCTTTAGATTGTGCAGTTTCATAGTGGTTAGTAAGAATATTTTGTGAATTTATACTTGTTTTATCACAAAACATGTGAATGAGTGAATGTCGTCTCATACTGCAGTCAGCAATATTGCAGCCATATGAAGGCAGCCTGTAAACCAGTAATTGATACGCACACCATCCTAGTACATAAAACATTCGCTCTCCATGCCTATTTATGGTGTCCCCGTCGTGATTTTGCTGGGATATTGCCAAAAGATGCGTAAATCCATGCTCTCTCAATTCAACATGCCATGCCTTGACAGACAAAACGAAATACAAAATATAACATTTATACTTACAATTTTGCAATGCAGTGTGCTTCATCAATGAAAATTGCCATCAAAATCTTCTCTTTAGTCAGGCTGTGTTCCAAGAACTGTCTCTGGACTTGCAAATATTATTATGTCAGTGTCAGGGTGAAAAAACCGTCACAGTAGCATGGTTGGAGTTATTAAGTTTCTTAAACACGAATGGTGCTAATTCAAAAGTAAGTGATTTTCCTGATCCTGTTGGAGAAAAAAAAGGACATCCTTTCCTCTGAGGTAACTTACAATCACTTGTCTTTGATGATTCCTGAAGTGATCAATTATGTAACTGCATTACCTTCCATACCAACAGTTATACATGTAGTTAAGTTAAATAGAGGGCGTATATACTTAAAACACAACATCAATCCTTTGTTCCGTTCAGCAGTGTGTCAGATTCGTGATGGCTAGCTTGAGGTGGCTAGACTTGCTTTTTGTATGCATTACTAGATTCTTTTTTTAAATGAAATAAATATATTCCACGGTCATTGGTGCAGGACTAATTGTGTATATCACCTGAATTTTGGTCAATACCTGAAATACTCAGTCGCCAATACAGCCCCTATTTCATATAAGGTTATGAAAATACATGTCGGTTGGAGCCTGAAGCCTGAAGTAGAATTTAGGTTATTACACGGATGATATACATGTAAGGCCGAAAATTGATGAACTTCTTTATTATGAAGAACACAATGTTTGGGACTAATATCATTAGTTGAAGGAGTAAGTATTACACCCAAACGTTCTGTTCCACACAATGCGTTTCACTTCTGAATGTTTTTCTAAGAGTTGATACATACACTTGCCTTGTATATATGGTTGATGCACGTCGAGTGTCTCAGAAACGCGGGATCTGCAGGTATTAGAGCTGAATACAGTTGTGATTTGACGAATTCTTTTTCTTTTGACTCTTCCTCTTATTTCGTTTTTCAGCTTAGCATTGTGTATACACAACGTAATTAACGGATTCTGACATCAGCCACATATCTCGGACCACCCCACGAGTCTCTCTTAACCGTTCAATTAACGTTCCGCTTGGTGTTGCCACACCTGTCCGCCATCTGCTGTTGAGATACTGTAACGGTTCTCGTCTGAAAAGAGGACTTCCCCCACTGCTGGTGCTGTGCTACCCACTGAAGACGGTCCAGGAAACAAAGAAGAAGACTGAAAGGGTATGATTTCTATTTACTTACTTCTTTTGTTAGTAAATAAGCGGCCTTCAAAAGCGACTATGCTTGTCGTAAGAGGAGACTAACGGGTGGTCAGACTAGCTTGACTTGGTTGATACATGCCATCGTATCCCAATTGTGTGGATTGAGTGTGGCGATAAATAACAAAAAACAAACAAACAGTTGTCTCAGATTATTTATATTTAAAAACATGTATATATTTGTTAAAAGTATGTTTCTATTTATACTGCTCACACAAAGTAGGGGATATTGAAAAGTTACGACGAAAAGCTTCAGAATTATGTTTAATTTTCATTGGGAAACAATAATAATGTGGAAATAAGGATGTTAAGAAACAGTTTTGAAAGTAATGACTTTGATCAAGCTGCAATTTCATTTTGTCGACACTGGAAAATTCATGAGGGGTAGAAACCCAAAAGTTGTGCTTCTATGCTTTCTTCCGGCTTGGATCATCCCAATTGCTCTCAATCTTTCGTCTTCTCGTAACCTTCGCATTGTGGAAAGTGGTGAAGTGATGGATGAACTTGGTCCAAGACCCATGTTTAACACCCATTTTTGCCCGTGAGGCACGTGGATTTTGTCATTTGCACGTGTGACACAAGATGTGATTTCTCATCCCCACCCCCTGGTACGTTTGAGTGCAATTTTCCTGGATGCAAGGGCATCTGGTGGGTCATTGTGAGGCTTGCTCAGACGGACCTATGCTTTTCCTCAATCATACACAAATGTTTTGTAGGCATCTATATTACTGTCTTTGTGCCATTGATTTTAATTTCAATATACCCTACTTTTTGTGAGCAGTTTATATCCTACACATATGAAAAGATTAATGAAAGATTGTTTCTGAAACTTATACAGTGGAAATTTATTTCAGATACCACTGGGAGTGCTTCAGTGAGGACCTCAGTGACCGTTCTCCATCACAGTAGGTGCTCAGCGGAGGGGACTACCTCACCCTTGAGAGGCAGAAACAAGCCAATCATGCACTTACGAGATGGACCTACACCAAGTTCCAGATTACAAGGACTTGTTCCAAAGATGGAAGAGTTCCATAACGAAGCTGAATTTCTAAAGGTATATGTAATTAACTGCATTTTCTGTAATTGCGATTTAACAAAAGAAGGACAGTTATTGTGTGGTTTGTAAATTGGTTTATTGTTTTGTTGCAAAAGTAACGGATTAGTCTTTGTGTAATACCTGACTACCTGAAGATATTTCTTTTTCAGGTTATATGGAAACACTTGTACTCGTCCTCCTCTAACAAGTCTGTTTGGCACTCTGCATGCTGCAAAGGAGCACAATAAATGCGGTGAATGTTACTCAGGATCCTCATGACAACTTTTACCCATGCTCTGCATTCATGGACAAGGTCACCACCGCCTACATCGTAACTGGGGGACTACATTACTTCCAAATGGAACACCTCACTTCTGTCCCAACGTCAAGTTACATGGGTGCTGTTGGCAATCCATATAAAATGATTGATTATTTTCTAGGTCATGCAGCAAAACAGTTTGTAGACAAGCACGTCTTACCGGAGGTTCCTCAACAGCCAGGTCATGGTCTCCAAATCAAACACACTAGCCTGCAGGTACTGTGGAAAACTGTACCAGAGACCAAAAGCTCTCCGCAAACACGAAGCATCCGGAATATAATGCTGAAAACAATCAGGATTCCACATCTTCAGCAGAATCAAGATCATCTATTTATCAGTACACCCGTCTGTCTCTCATGCTTGGGCTTCTTCGAATAAATCACAACGATTCCATTCACATGGGAGATGGTGGCAGGCATGATGAGACTAGTAAAGTGGTTCTGTTTATACTACAAGGCAAGCAAATGTCCAAAGTATGCATATGGTCTCCTTTGAAACACAGGCAAAGGCATATGCTCTCCTATATGAACGGCAGGCTTTATAGATTGATATGGAACCGCACAGTCAACCATCAAGGCAGAGAAGACACCAATCATCCCATCGACCTTGACTTGGAGCATTGCAACAGGGCTTTCAAAGATGATGTACACACATACAAGGGGAGGTACACAGATAAAAGACGATTCTCAAAGTCAGCAGAAGTGCGCTGTCAATGGAAGAATTATGCCAAAAATACGACAAATTGGCATTCCGCAAGAAATGTTCGGGAAGGCATGGAGTTGTTGATCCTTCTTGGTGATATTCTTAAACTTGTAGAACAATTCCATTCCTATGCAGCTCTATTCAATGAGGCCAACAAGCCACTGCCACAGAGAAATCAAAAACATGCTGAGTGACATCCAAAATTGGATTTCAGAAAGTCTTAAAGTCTTCAGTAGCCGCACATACTATAACATCTGAACCTTTTTTCCCGATGTGTAATTCAGTGTCACATGATTAAAACGAGACCCTGTTGCAAAGTCGCTATCACTGTATGTTTCATGATCTTCATGTTCTGAGTCTGAGTGAGATGATGAGCTATCACTCGAGTCAAGGGAAGTTTTGTACAACTCAAGAATATCACATCTACATTCACTACATGGGGTAATTGCATGTCCATGAGTCTCTGCAGTCACAGAGACACTTGCAAGATATGGCACAGTTGTCCATAGCACTCATGACTTCAGTAAAGCTCAACTCGTCGACATACGTTGGTTCTGACATACTGTTTCATTTCATCCGAAATATTCCGCCTGCCACTGAGACATCGTCTAAATTTCATGAGAAGAGCATGTGCCTGCTTTTCTGGATCCCTGCCTGCTCCGTCCTTGTCTCTTGAATATAATCCTCAACATTATTGGCTGGACCATAGTGGATGACGGTTTCCACACTTTGTAAGTCCCAAGCTGAATGGTGTTGAGCAATGGACTATCAAGGGACTATCATCCTCTTGAAACCATTTGGATCCATGAAGGACTCTGACACACTTCCCTGTTTTCCTTCTCATTCATACATATTCTGTATGTTGTTATGCATGATTGATGTTGAACTTTAATTGAAACTTTAGCTTGAAAATTGGCCGATTTCTTTTATGAAATTTAACTCCTATTATAAGAATAAGATCAACATATGCAAAAACAATTGTTGTTAGATGATTATTTTTTTGTAACCGATCAACAAGATCAACTTTAGTGTTTTAGTGTTTTAACTTAGCTAATGTAATGTAATACAGTGGATGTATGCATTCCTTTTTCATAAGGGCATTAACATATATTACATAATGCCTCTACCTGGGACTGCGGCCAAACTTACAAAATTAACCCTTGTTTGAGAGTAACAAGTATCAAGTTCATGATGATTGTAGAAGTGATTGTATGTATTCATAAATGTGACACATGCACATTTTGAAATGTTAATATTTGTGCTTTAACTTTGATTTGATGAATATCAAATTAGATATTGTATACACTTTATAGCTACTTGTGATCAGTGCACATTTTTATACCTTTAGATTGTGCAGTTTCATAGTGGTTAGTAAGAATATTTTGTGAATTTATACTTGTTTTATCACAAAACATGTGAATGAGTGAATGTCGTCTCATACTGCAGTCAGCAATATTGCAGCCATATGAAGGCAGCCTGTAAACCAGTAATTGATACGCACACCATCCTAGTACATAAAACATTCGCTCTCCATGCCTATTTATGGTGTCCCCGTCGTGATTTTGCTGGGATATTGCCAAAAGATGCGTAAATCCATGCTCTCTCAATTCAACATGCCATGCCTTGACAGACAAAACGAAATACAAAATATAACATTTATACTTACAATTTTGCAATGCAGTGTGCTTCATCAATGAAAATTGCCATCAAAATCTTCTCTTTAGTCAGGCTGTGTTCCAAGAACTGTCTCTGGACTTGCAAATATTATTATGTCAGTGTCAGGGTGAAAAAACCGTCACAGTAGCATGGTTGGAGTTATTAAGTTTCTTAAACACGAATGGTGCTAATTCAAATGTAAGTGATTTTCCTGATCCTGTTGGAGAAAAAAAAGGACATCCTTTCCTCTGAGGTAACTTACAATCACTTGTCTTTGATGATTCCTGAAGTGATCAATTATGTAACTGCATTACCTTCCATACCAACAGTTATACATGTAGTTAAGTTAAATAGAGGGCGTATATACTTAAAACACAACATCAATCCTTTGTTCCGTTCAGCAGTGTGTCAGATTCGTGATGGCTAGCTTGAGGTGGCTAGACTTGCTTTTTGTATGCATTACTAGATTCTTTTTTTAAATGAAATAAATATATTCCACGGTCATTGGTGCAGGACTAATTGTGTATATCACCTGAATTTTGGTCAATACCTGAAATACTCAGTCGCCAATACAGCCCCTATTTCATATAAGGTTATGAAAATACATGTCGGTTGGAGCCTGAAGCCTGAAGTAGAATTTAGGTTATTACACGGATGATATACATGTAAGGCCGAAAATTGATGAACTTCTTTATTATGAAGAACACAATGTTTGGGACTAATATCATTAGTTGAAGGAGTAAGTATTACACCCAAGCGTTCTGTTCCACACAATGCGTTTCACTTCTGAATGTTTTTCTAAGAGTTGATACATACACTTGCCTTGTATATATGGTTGATGCACGTCGAGTGTCTCAGAAACGCGGGATCTGCAGGTATTAGAGCTGAATACAGTTGTGATTTGACGAATTCTTTTTCTTTTGACTCTTCCTCTTATTTCGTTTTTCAGCTTAGCATTGTGTATACACAACGTAATTAACGGATTCTGACATCAGCCACATATCTCGGACCACCCCACGAGTCTCTCTTAACCGTTCAATTAACGTTCCGCTTGGTGTTGCCACACCTGTCCGCCATCTGCTGTTGAGATACTGTAACGCTTCTCGTCTGAAAAGAGGACTTCTCCCACTGCTGGTGCTGTGCTACCCACTGAAGACGGTCCAGGAAACAAAGAAGAAGACTGAAAGGGTATGATTTCTATTTACTTACTTCTTTTGTTAGTAAATAAGCGGCCTTCAAAAGCGACTATGCTTGTCGTAAGAGGAGACTAACGGGTGGTCAGACTAGCTTGACTTGGTTGATACATGCCATCGTATCCCAATTGTGTGGATTGAGTGTGGCGATAAATAACAAAAAACAAACAAACAGTTGTCTCAGATTATTTATATTTAAAAACATGTATATATTTGTTAAAAGTATGTTTCTATTTATACTGCTCACACAAAGTAGGGGATATTGAAAAGTTACGACGAAAAGCTTCAGAATTATGTTTAATTTTCATTGGGAAACAATAATAATGTGGAAATAAGGATGTTAAAAACAGTTTTGAAAGTAATGACTTTGATCAAGCTGCAATTTCATTTTGTCGACACTGGAAAGTTCATGAGGGGTAGAAACCCAAAAGTTGTGCTTCTATGCTTTCTTCCGGCTTGGATCATCCCAATTGCTCTCGTAACCTTCGCATTGTGGAAAGTGGTGAAGTGATGGATGAACTTGGTCCAAGACCCATGTTTAACACCCATTTTTGCCCGTGAGGCACGTGGATTTTGTCATTTGCACGTGTGACACAAGATGTGATTTCTCATCCCCACCCCCTGGTACGTTTGAGTGCAATTTTCCTGGATGCAAGGGCATCTGGTGGGTCATTGTGAGGCTTGCTCAGACGGACCTATGCTTTTCCTCAATCATACACAAATGTTTTGTAGGCATCTATATTACTGTCTTTGTGCCATTGATTTTAATTTCAATATACCCTACTTTTTGTGAGCAGTTTATATCCTACACATATGAAAAGATTAATGAAAGATTGTTTCTGAAACTTATACAGTGGAAATTTATTTCAGATACCACTGGGAGTGCTTCAGTGAGGACCTCAGTGACCGTTCTCCATCACAGTAGGTGCTCAGCGGAGGGGACTACCTCACCCTTGAGAGGCAGAAACAAGCCAATCATGCACTTACGAGATGGACCTACACCAAGTTCCAGATTACAAGGACTTGTTCCAAAGATGGAAGAGTTCCATAACGAAGCTGAATTTCTAAAGGTATATGTAATTAACTGCATTTTCTGTAATTGCGATTTAACAAAAGAAGGACAGTTATTGTGTGGTTTGTAAATTGGTTTATTGTTTTGTTGCAAAAGTAACGGATTAGTCTTTGTGTAATACCTGACTACCTGAAGATATTTCTTTTTCAGGTTATATGGAAACACTTGTACTCGTCCTCCTCTAACAAGTCTGTTTGGCACTCTGCATGCTGCAAAGGAGCACAATAAATGCGGTGAATGTTACTCAGGATCCTCATGACAACTTTTACCCATGCTCTGAATTCATGGACAAGGTCACCACCGCCTACATCGTAACTGGGGGACTACATTACTTCCAAATGGAACACCTCACTTCTGTCCCAACGTCAAGTTACATGGGTGCTGTTGGCAATCCATATAAAATGATTGATTATTTTCTAGGTCATGCAGCAAAACAGTTTGTAGACAAGCACGTCTTACCGGAGGTTCCTCAACAGCCAGGTCATGGTCTCCAAATCAAACACACTAGCCTGCAGGTACTGTGGAAAACTGTACCAGAGACCAAAAGCTCTCCGCAAACACGAAGCATCCGGAATATAATGCTGAAAACAATCAGGATTCCACATCTTCAGCAGAATCAAGATCATCTATTTATCAGTACACCCGTCTGTCTCTCATGCTTGGGCTTCTTCGAATAAATCACAACGATTCCATTCACATGGGAGATGGTGGCAGGCATGATGAGACTAGTAAAGTGGTTCTGTTTATACTACAAGGCAAGCAAATGTCCAAAGTATGCATATGGTCTCCTTTGAAACACAGGCAAAGGCATATGCTCTCCTATATGAACGGCAGGCTTTATAGATTGATATGGAACCGCACAGTCAACCATCAAGGCAGAGAAGACACCAATCATCCCATCGACCTTGACTTGGAGCATTGCAACAGGGCTTTCAAAGATGATGTACACACATACAAGGGGAGGTACACAGATAAAAGACGATTCTCAAAGTCAGCAGAAGTGCGCTGTCAATGGAAGAATTATGCCAAAAATACGACAAATTGGCATTCCGCAAGAAATGTTCGGGAAGGCATGGAGTTGTTGATCCTTCTTGGTGATATTCTTAAACTTGTAGAACAATTCCATTCCTATGCAGCTCTATTCAATGAGGCCAACAAGCCACTGCCACAGAGAAATCAAAAACATGCTGAGTGACATCCAAAATTGGATTTCAGAAAGTCTTAAAGTCTTCAGTAGCCGCACATACTATAACATCTGAACCTTTTTTCCCGATGTGTAATTCAGTGTCACATGATTAAAACGAGACCCTGTTGCAAAGTCGCTATCACTGTATGTTTCATGATCTTCATGTTCTGAGTCTGAGTGAGATGATGAGCTATCACTCGAGTCAAGGGAAGTTTTGTACAACTCAAGAATATCACATCTACATTCACTACATGGGGTAATTGCATGTCCATGAGTCTCTGCAGTCACAGAGACACTTGCAAGATATGGCACAGTTGTCCATAGCACTCATGACTTCAGTAAAGCTCAACTCGTCGACATACGTTGGTTCTGACATACTGTTTCATTTCATCCGAAATATTCCGCCTGCCACTGAGACATCGTCTAAATTTCATGAGAAGAGCATGTGCCTGCTTTTCTGGATCCCTGCCTGCTCCGTCCTTGTCTCTTGAATATAATCCTCAACATTATTGGCTGGACCATAGTGGATGACGGTTTCCACACTTTGTAAGTCCCAAGCTGAATGGTGTTGAGCAATGGACTATCAAGGGACTATCATCCTCTTGAAACCATTTGGATCCATGAAGGACTCTGACACACTTCCCTGTTTTCCTTCTCATTCATACATATTCTGTATGTTGTTATGCATGATTGATGTTGAACTTTAATTGAAACTTTAGCTTGAAAATTGGCCGATTTCTTTTATGAAATTTAACTCCTATTATAAGAATAAGATCAACATATGCAAAAACAATTGTTGTTAGATGATTATTTTTTTGTAACCGATCAACAAGATCAACTTTAGTGTTTTAGTGTTTTAACTTAGCTAATGTAATGTAATACAGTGGATGTATGCATTCCTTTTTCATAAGGGCATTAACATATATTACATAATGCCTCTACCTGGGACTGCGGCCAAACTTACAAAATTAACCCTTGTTTGAGAGTAACAAGTATCAAGTTCATGATGATTGTAGAAGTGATTGTATGTATTCATAAATGTGACACATGCACATTTTGAAATGTTAATATTTGTGCTTTAACTTTGATTTGATGAATATCAAATTAGATATTGTATACACTTTATAGCTACTTGTGATCAGTGCACATTTTTATACCTTTAGATTGTGCAGTTTCATAGTGGTTAGTAAGAATATTTTGTGAATTTATACTTGTTTTATCACAAAACATGTGAATGAGTGAATGTCGTCTCATACTGCAGTCAGCAATATTGCAGCCATATGAAGGCAGCCTGTAAACCAGTAATTGATACGCACACCATCCTAGTACATAAAACATTCGCTCTCCATGCCTATTTATGGTGTCCCCGTCGTGATTTTGCTGGGATATTGCCAAAAGATGCGTAAATCCATGCTCTCTCAATTCAACATGCCATGCCTTGACAGACAAAACGAAATACAAAATATAACATTTATACTTACAATTTTGCAATGCAGTGTGCTTCATCAATGAAAATTGCCATCAAAATCTTCTCTTTAGTCAGGCTGTGTTCCAAGAACTGTCTCTGGACTTGCAAATATTATTATGTCAGTGTCAGGGTGAAAAAACCGTCACAGTAGCATGGTTGGAGTTATTAAGTTTCTTAAACACGAATGGTGCTAATTCAAAAGTAAGTGATTTTCCTGATCCTGTTGGAGAAAAAAAAGGACATCCTTTCCTCTGAGGTAACTTACAATCACTTGTCTTTGATGATTCCTGAAGTGATCAATTATGTAACTGCATTACCTTCCATACCAACAGTTATACATGTAGTTAAGTTAAATAGAGGGCGTATATACTTAAAACACAACATCAATCCTTTGTTCCGTTCAGCAGTGTGTCAGATTCGTGATGGCTAGCTTGAGGTGGCTAGACTTGCTTTTTGTATGCATTACTAGATTATTTTTTTAAATGAAATAAATATATTCCACGGTCATTGGTGCAGGACTAATTGTGTATATCACCTGAATTTTGGTCAATACCTGAAATACTCAGTCGCCAATACAGCCCCTATTTCATATAAGGTTATGAAAATACATGTCGGTTGGAGCCTGAAGCCTGAAGTAGAATTTAGGTTATTACACGGATGATATACATGTAAGGCCGAAAATTGATGAACTTCTTTATTATGAAGAACACAATGTTTGGGACTAATATCATTAGTTGAAGGAGTAAGTATTACACCCAAACGTTCTGTTCCACACAATGCGTTTCACTTCTGAATGTTTTTCTAAGAGTTGATACATACACTTGCCTTGTATATATGGTTGATGCACGTCGAGTGTCTCAGAAACGCGGGATCTGCAGGTATTAGAGCTGAATACAGTTGTGATTTGACGAATTCTTTTTCTTTTGACTCTTCCTCTTATTTCGTTTTTCAGCTTAGCATTGTGTATACACAACGTAATTAACGGATTCTGACATCAGCCACATATCTCGAACCACCCCACGAGTCTCTCTTAACCGTTCAATTAACGTTCCGCTTGGTGTTGCCACACCTGTCCGCCATCTGCTGTTGAGATACTGTAACGGTTCTCGTCTGAAAAGAGGACTTCTCCCACTGCTGGTGCTGTGCTACCCACTGAAGACGGTCCAGGAAACAAAGAAGAAGACTGAAAGGGTATGATTTCTATTTACTTACTTCTTTTGTTAGTAAATAAGCGGCCTTCAAAAGCGACTATGCTTGTCGTAAGAGGAGACTAACGGGTGGTCAGACTAGCTTGACTTGGTTGATACATGCCATCGTATCCCAATTGTGTGGATTGAGTGTGGCGATAAATAACAAAAAACAAACAAACAGTTGTCTCAGATTATTTATATTTAAAAACATGTATATATTTGTTAAAAGTATGTTTCTATTTATACTGCTCACACAAAGTAGGGGATATTGAAAAGTTACGACGAAAAGCTTCAGAATTATGTTTAATTTTCATTGGGAAACAATAATAATGTGGAAATAAGGATGTTAAGAAACAGTTTTGAAAGTAATGACTTTGATCAAGCTGCAATTTCATTTTGTCGACACTGGAAAGTTCATGAGGGGTAGAAACCCAAAAGTTGTGCTTCTATGCTTTCTTCCGGCTTGGATCATCCCAATTGCTCTCGTAACCTTCGCATTGTGGAAAGTGGTGAAGTGATGGATGAACTTGGTCCAAGACCCATGTTTAACACCCATTTTTGCCCGTGAGGCACGTGGATTTTGTCATTTGCACGTGTGACACAAGATGTGATTTCTCATCCCCACCCCCTGGTACGTTTGAGTGCAATTTTCCTGGATGCAAGGGCATCTGGTGGGTCATTGTGAGGCTTGCTCAGACGGACCTATGCTTTTCCTCAATCATACACAAATGTTTTGTAGGCATCTATATTACTGTCTTTGTGCCATTGATTTTAATTTCAATATACCCTACTTTTTGTGAGCAGTTTATATCCTACACATATGAAAAGATTAATGAAAGATTGTTTCTGAAACTTATACAGTGGAAATTTATTTCAGATACCACTGGGAGTGCTTCAGTGAGGACCTCAGTGACCGTTCTCCATCACAGTAGGTGCTCAGCGGAGGGGACTACCTCACCCTTGAGAGGCAGAAACAAGCCAATCATGCACTTACGAGATGGACCTACACCAAGTTCCAGATTACAAGGACTTGTTCCAAAGATGGAAGAGTTCCATAACGAAGCTGAATTTCTAAAGGTATATGTAATTAACTGCATTTTCTGTAATTGCGATTTAACAAAAGAAGGACAGTTATTGTGTGGTTTGTAAATTGGTTTATTGTTTTGTTGCAAAAGTAACGGATTAGTCTTTGTGTAATACCTGACTACCTGAAGATATTTCTTTTTCAGGTTATATGGAAACACTTGTACTCGTCCTCCTCTAACAAGTCTGTTTGGCACTCTGCATGCTGCAAAGGAGCACAATAAATGCGGTGAATGTTACTCAGGATCCTCATGACAACTTTTACCCATGCTCTGAATTCATGGACAAGGTCACCACCGCCTACATCGTAACTCGGGGACTACATTACTTCCAAATGGAACACCTCACTTCTGTCCCAACGTCAAGTTACATGGGTGCTGTTGGCAATCCATATAAAATGATTGATTATTTTCTAGGTCATGCAGCAAAACAGTTTGTAGACAAGCACGTCTTACCGGAGGTTCCTCAACAGCCAGGTCATGGTCTCCAAATCAAACACACTAGCCTGCAGGTACTGTGGAAAACTGTACCAGAGACCAAAAGCTCTCCGCAAACACGAAGCATCCGGAATATAATGCTGAAAACAATCAGGATTCCACATCTTCAGCAGAATCAAGATCATCTATTTATCAGTACACCCGTCTGTCTCTCATGCTTGGGCTTCTTCGAATAAATCACAACGATTCCATTCACATGGGAGATGGTGGCAGGCATGATGAGACTAGTAAAGTGGTTCTGTTTATACTACAAGGCAAGCAAATGTCCAAAGTATGCATATGGTCTCCTTTGAAACACAGGCAAAGGCATATGCTCTCCTATATGAACGGCAGGCTTTATAGATTGATATGGAACCGCACAGTCAACCATCAAGGCAGAGAAGACACCAATCATCCCATCGACCTTGACTTGGAGCATTGCAACAGGGCTTTCAAAGATGATGTACACACATACAAGGGGAGGTACACAGATAAAAGACGATTCTCAAAGTCAGCAGAAGTGCGCTGTCAATGGAAGAATTATGCCAAAAATACGACAAATTGGCATTCCGCAAGAAATGTTCGGGAAGGCATGGAGTTGTTGATCCTTCTTGGTGATATTCTTAAACTTGTAGAACAATTCCATTCCTATGCAGCTCTATTCAATGAGGCCAACAAGCCACTGCCACAGAGAAATCAAAAACATGCTGAGTGACATCCAAAATTGGATTTCAGAAAGTCTTAAAGTCTTCAGTAGCCGCACATACTATAACATCTGAACCTTTTTTCCCGATGTGTAATTCAGTGTCACATGATTAAAACGAGACCCTGTTGCAAAGTCGCTATCACTGTATGTTTCATGATCTTCATGTTCTGAGTCTGAGTGAGATGATGAGCTATCACTCGAGTCAAGGGAAGTTTTGTACAACTCAAGAATATCACATCTACATTCACTACATGGGGTAATTGCATGTCCATGAGTCTCTGCAGTCACAGAGACACTTGCAAGATATGGCACAGTTGTCCATAGCACTCATGACTTCAGTAAAGCTCAACTCGTCGACATACGTTGGTTCTGACATACTGTTTCATTTCATCCGAAATATTCCGCCTGCCACTGAGACATCGTCTAAATTTCATGAGAAGAGCATGTGCCTGCTTTTCTGGATCCCTGCCTGCTCCGTCCTTGTCTCTTGAATATAATCCTCAACATTATTGGCTGGACCATAGTGGATGACGGTTTCCACACTTTGTAAGTCCCAAGCTGAATGGTGTTGAGCAATGGACTATCAAGGGACTATCATCCTCTTGAAACCATTTGGATCCATGAAGGACTCTGACACACTTCCCTGTTTTCCTTCTCATTCATACATATTCTGTATGTTGTTATGCATGATTGATGTTGAACTTTAATTGAAACTTTAGCTTGAAAATTGGCCGATTTCTTTTATGAAATTTAACTCCTATTATAAGAATAAGATCAACATATGCAAAAACAATTGTTGTTAGATGATTATTTTTTTGTAACCGATCAACAAGATCAACTTTAGTGTTTTAGTGTTTTAACTTAGCTAATGTAATGTAATACAGTGGATGTATGCATTCCTTTTTCATAAGGGCATTAACATATATTACATAATGCCTCTACCTGGGACTGCGGCCAAACTTACAAAATTAACCCTTGTTTGAGAGTAACAAGTATCAAGTTCATGATGATTGTAGAAGTGATTGTATGTATTCATAAATGTGACACATGCACATTTTGAAATGTTAATATTTGTGCTTTAACTTTGATTTGATGAATATCAAATTAGATATTGTATACACTTTATAGCTACTTGTGATCAGTGCACATTTTTATACCTTTAGATTGTGCAGTTTCATAGTGGTTAGTAAGAATATTTTGTGAATTTATACTTGTTTTATCACAAAACATGTGAATGAGTGAATGTCGTCTCATACTGCAGTCAGCAATATTGCAGCCATATGAAGGCAGCCTGTAAACCAGTAATTGATACGCACACCATCCTAGTACATAAAACATTCGCTCTCCATGCCTATTTATGGTGTCCCCGTCGTGATTTTGCTGGGATATTGCCAAAAGATGCGTAAATCCATGCTCTCTCAATTCAACATGCCATGCCTTGACAGACAAAACGAAATACAAAATATAACATTTATACTTACAATTTTGCAATGCAGTGTGCTTCATCAATGAAAATTGCCATCAAAATCTTCTCTTTAGTCAGGCTGTGTTCCAAGAACTGTCTCTGGACTTGTAAATATTATTATGTCAGTGTCAGGGTGAAAAAACCGTCACAGTAGCATGGTTGGAGTTATTAAGTTTCTTAAACACGAATGGTGCTAATTCAAAAGTAAGTGATTTTCCTGATCCTGTTGGAGAAAAAAAAGGACATCCTTTCCTCTGAGGTAACTTACAATCACTTGTCTTTGATGATTCCTGAAGTGATCAATTATGTAACTGCATTACCTTCCATACCAACAGTTATACATGTAGTTAAGTTAAATAGAGGGCGTATATACTTAAAACACAACATCAATCCTTTGTTCCGTTCAGCAGTGTGTCAGATTCGTGATGGCTAGCTTGAGGTGGCTAGACTTGCTTTTTGTATGCATTACTAGATTATTTTTTTTAATGAAATAAATATATTCCACGGTCATTGGTGCAGGACTAATTGTGTATATCACCTGAATTTTGGTCAATACCTGAAATACTCAGTCGCCAATACAGCCCCTATTTCATATAAGGTTATGAAAATACATGTCGGTTGGAGCCTGAAGCCTGAAGTAGAATTTAGGTTATTACACGGACGATATACATGTAAGGCCGAAAATTGATGAACTTCTTTATTATGAAGAACACAATGTTTGGGACTAATATCATTAGTTGAAGGAGTAAGTATTACACCCAAACGTTCTGTTCCACACAATGCGTTTCACTTCTGAATGTTTTTCTAAGAGTTGATACATACACTTGCCTTGTATATATGGTTGATGCACGTCGAGTGTCTCAGAAACGCGGGATCTGCAGGTATTAGAGCTGAATACAGTTGTGATTTGACGAATTCTTTTTCTTTTGACTCTTCCTCTTATTTCGTTTTTCAGCTTAGCATTGTGTATACACAACGTAATTAACGGATTCTGACATCAGCCACATATCTCGGACCACCCCACGAGTCTCTCTTAACCGTTCAATTAACGTTCCGCTTGGTGTTGCCACACCTGTCCGCCATCTGCTGTTGAGATACTGTAACGGTTCTCGTCTGAAAAGAGGACTTCTCCCACTGCTGGTGCTGTGCTACCCACTGAAGACGGTCCAGGAAACAAAGAAGAAGACTGAAAGGGTATGATTTCTATTTACTTACTTCTTTTGTTAGTAAATAAGCGGCCTTCAAAAGCGACTATGCTTGTCGTAAGAGGAGACTAACGGGTGGTCAGACTAGCTTGACTTGGTTGATACATGCCATCGTATCCCAATTGTGTGGATTGAGTGTGGCGATAAATAACAAAAAACAAACAAACAGTTGTCTCAGATTATTTATATTTAAAAACATGTATATATTTGTTAAAAGTATGTTTCTATTTATACTGCTCACACAAAGTAGGGGATATTGAAAAGTTACGACGAAAAGCTTCAGAATTATGTTTAATTTTCATTGGGAAACAATAATAATGTGGAAATAAGGATGTTAAGAAACAGTTTTGAAAGTAATGACTTTGATCAAGCTGCAATTTCATTTTGTCGACACTGGAAAATTCATGAGGGGTAGAAACCCAAAAGTTGTGCTTCTATGCTTTCTTCCGGCTTGGATCATCCCAATTGCTCTCAATCTTTCGTCTTCTCGTAACCTTCGCATTGTGGAAAGTGGTGAAGTGATGGATGAACTTGGTCCAAGACCCATGTTTAACACCCATTTTTGCCCGTGAGGCACGTGGATTTTGTCATTTGCACGTGTGACACAAGATGTGATTTCTCATCCCCACCCCCTGGTACGTTTGAGTGCAATTTTCCTGGATGCAAGGGCATCTGGTGGGTCATTGTGAGGCTTGCTCAGACGGACCTATGCTTTTCCTCAATCATACACAAATGTTTTGTAGGCATCTATATTACTGTCTTTGTGCCATTGATTTTAATTTCAATATACCCTACTTTTTGTGAGCAGTTTATATCCTACACATATGAAAAGATTAATGAAAGATTGTTTCTGAAACTTATACAGTGGAAATTTATTTCAGATACCACTGGGAGTGCTTCAGTGAGGACCTCAGTGACCGTTCTCCATCACAGTAGGTGCTCAGCGGAGGGGACTACCTCACCCTTGAGAGGCAGAAACAAGCCAATCATGCACTTACGAGATGGACCTACACCAAGTTCCAGATTACAAGGACTTGTTCCAAAGATGGAAGAGTTCCATAACGAAGCTGAATTTCTAAAGGTATATGTAATTAACTGCATTTTCTGTAATTGCGATTTAACAAAAGAAGGACAGTTATTGTGTGGTTTGTAAATTGGTTTATTGTTTTGTTGCAAAAGTAACGGATTAGTCTTTGTGTAATACCTGACTACCTGAAGATATTTCTTTTTCAGGTTATATGGAAACACTTGTACTCGTCCTCCTCTAACAAGTCTGTTTGGCACTCTGCATGCTGCAAAGGAGCACAATAAATGCGGTGAATGTTACTCAGGATCCTCATGACAACTTTTACCCATGCTCTGAATTCATGGACAAGGTCACCACCGCCTACATCGTAACTCGGGGACTACATTACTTCCAAATGGAACACCTCACTTCTGTCCCAACGTCAAGTTACATGGGTGCTGTTGGCAATCCATATAAAATGATTGATTATTTTCTAGGTCATGCAGCAAAACAGTTTGTAGACAAGCACGTCTTACCGGAGGTTCCTCAACAGCCAGGTCATGGTCTCCAAATCAAACACACTAGCCTGCAGGTACTGTGGAAAACTGTACCAGAGACCAAAAGCTCTCCGCAAACACGAAGCATCCGGAATATAATGCTGAAAACAATCAGGATTCCACATCTTCAGCAGAATCAAGATCATCTATTTATCAGTACACCCGTCTGTCTCTCATGCTTGGGCTTCTTCGAATAAATCACAACGATTCCATTCACATGGGAGATGGTGGCAGGCATGATGAGACTAGTAAAGTGGTTCTGTTTATACTACAAGGCAAGCAAATGTCCAAAGTATGCATATGGTCTCCTTTGAAACACAGGCAAAGGCATATGCTCTCCTATATGAACGGCAGGCTTTATAGATTGATATGGAACCGCACAGTCAACCATCAAGGCAGAGAAGACACCAATCATCCCATCGACCTTGACTTGGAGCATTGCAACAGGGCTTTCAAAGATGATGTTACACACATACAAGGGGAGGTACACAGATAAAAGACGATTCTCAAAGTCAGCAGAAGTGCGCTGTCAATGGAAGAATTATGCCAAAAATACGACAAATTGGCATTCCGCAAGAAATGTTCGGGAAGGCATGGAGTTGTTGATCCTTCTTGGTGATATTCTTAAACTTGTAGAACAATTCCATTCCTATGCAGCTCTATTCAATGAGGCCAACAAGCCACTGCCACAGAGAAATCAAAAACATGCTGAGTGACATCCAAAATTGGATTTCAGAAAGTCTTAAAGTCTTCAGTAGCCGCACATACTATAACATCTGAACCTTTTTTCCCGATGTGTAATTCAGTGTCACATGATTAAAACGAGACCCTGTTGCAAAGTCGCTATCACTGTATGTTTCATGATCTTCATGTTCTGAGTCTGAGTGAGATGATGAGCTATCACTCGAGTCAAGGGAAGTTTTGTACAACTCAAGAATATCACATCTACATTCACTACATGGGGTAATTGCATGTCCATGAGTCTCTGCAGTCACAGAGACACTTGCAAGATATGGCACAGTTGTCCATAGCACTCATGACTTCAGTAAAGCTCAACTCGTCGACATACGTTGGTTCTGACATACTGTTTCATTTCATCCGAAATATTCCGCCTGCCACTGAGACATCGTCTAAATTTCATGAGAAGAGCATGTGCCTGCTTTTCTGGATCCCTGCCTGCTCCGTCCTTGTCTCTTGAATATAATCCTCAACATTATTGGCTGGACCATAGTGGATGACGGTTTCCACACTTTGTAAGTCCCAAGCTGAATGGTGTTGAGCAATGGACTATCAAGGGACTATCATCCTCTTGAAACCATTTGGATCCATGAAGGACTCTGACACACTTCCCTGTTTTCCTTCTCATTCATACATATTCTGTATGTTGTTATGCATGATTGATGTTGAACTTTAATTGAAACTTTAGCTTGAAAATTGGCCGATTTCTTTTATGAAATTTAACTCCTATTATAAGAATAAGATCAACATATGCAAAAACAATTGTTGTTAGATGATTATTTTTTTGTAACCGATCAACAAGATCAACTTTAGTGTTTTAGTGTTTTAACTTAGCTAATGTAATGTAATACAGTGGATGTATGCATTCCTTTTTCATAAGGGCATTAACATATATTACATAATGCCTCTACCTGGGACTGCGGCCAAACTTACAAAATTAACCCTTGTTTGAGAGTAACAAGTATCAAGTTCATGATGATTGTAGAAGTGATTGTATGTATTCATAAATGTGACACATGCACATTTTGAAATGTTAATATTTGTGCTTTAACTTTGATTTGATGAATATCAAATTAGATATTGTATACACTTTATAGCTACTTGTGATCAGTGCACATTTTTATACCTTTAGATTGTGCAGTTTCATAGTGGTTAGTAAGAATATTTTGTGAATTTATACTTGTTTTATCACAAAACATGTGAATGAGTGAATGTCGTCTCATACTGCAGTCAGCAATATTGCAGCCATATGAAGGCAGCCTGTAAACCAGTAATTGATACGCACACCATCCTAGTACATAAAACATTCGCTCTCCATGCCTATTTATGGTGTCCCCGTCGTGATTTTGCTGGGATATTGCCAAAAGATGCGTAAATCCATGCTCTCTCAATTCAACATGCCATGCCTTGACAGACAAAACGAAATACAAAATATAACATTTATACTTACAATTTTGCAATGCAGTGTGCTTCATCAATGAAAATTGCCATCAAAATCTTCTCTTTAGTCAGGCTGTGTTCCAAGAACTGTCTCTGGACTTGTAAATATTATTATGTCAGTGTCAGGGTGAAAAAACCGTCACAGTAGCATGGTTGGAGTTATTAAGTTTCTTAAACACGAATGGTGCTAATTCAAAAGTAAGTGATTTTCCTGATCCTGTTGGAGAAAAAAAAGGACATCCTTTCCTCTGAGGTAACTTACAATCACTTGTCTTTGATGATTCCTGAAGTGATCAATTATGTAACTGCATTACCTTCCATACCAACAGTTATACATGTAGTTAAGTTAAATAGAGGGCGTATATACTTAAAACACAACATCAATCCTTTGTTCCGTTCAGCAGTGTGTCAGATTCGTGATGGCTAGCTTGAGGTGGCTAGACTTGCTTTTTGTATGCATTACTAGATTATTTTTTTAAATGAAATAAATATATTCCACGGTCATTGGTGCAGGACTAATTGTGTATATCACCTGAATTTTGGTCAATACCTGAAATACTCAGTCGCCAATACAGCCCCTATTTCATATAAGGTTATGAAAATACATGTCGGTTGGAGCCTGAAGCCTGAAGTAGAATTTAGGTTATTACACGGACGATATACAT